AGTCCCTGTGGGCGTTCCATGTAAGTGTAAGTACCCCATGCCAGTGAACATTCAAAAACCTGTGGGGGTACCGTGCAGTCAACCACAGCCGATCATTCCGAAGATCGTGGCCATGCCGGCACCTCAACAGGTAAAGATCCCCGAGGCTGTGCCATGCGTCAACGTCCAAGAATGCCCCTGCCCTGTGCCCATACCGACCCCCGTGATCTGCAATGCCCAAGTGGATACCTCTGCTCTGAACAGCGTCTCCTGTGGTGGTGGCTCGTCCTGTTGCTGCGACTGCACACCGTGCTGCTGTTGTTGCGACTGCACGCCGACCTGCTCGTGCAGCTGTATGCCTTCCTGTCCGTGCGATTGCGGAACTTCCTCTTCTTGCTGCACCTGCTGCCCTACTACCACCTGCACTTGCTGTCCTTGCCCGAGCACCAGCTGCTGTTGTTGTCCATGTGTGAGTTTAGCTATGAACCACATGAAAATTTACTAGAAGATTTCCCTCCAAATTACATAGTTTCATGCTTTTACTGTCTTAAATATGCTTGAGCTACAGTAATCCAAATCAAGTTCTGTGATGATGTATCACATAGGCAGTGATGGAATACGGTAGCTTACGCAAGAACCATTAGTTACAATTATATACATGATCCAGTGCAGGATATGTTTGAGTCTTTCGTAATGTGGTAGTTTGCAGACCACGCTCGGAACCTGACGGCCCCATAATTTTGACATTTCAGTACAACCGTTCTAATGTATTAGGTTGTCGGGTTATTTCTCTTGCACCTTTTTTGTAAATTTCAAGATCCGGAAGCGCTCTAGAATGTTCAAACTTGCTCGATATGTAGGACAAGAAAGGGCATACACAGGGCATAGGGCATACGCAACAGTATGACTGATGTCGCAACTGCGCAAATAGCTAGCAAGTTCACGACATTTTGGAAGCACACTAAAAATGCCATATTTTATTTTATTTTATTTTATTTTCTGCGTTTAATTGTTTTTTCTCTCCAATATTTTTTTCTAAAACACATTTTCGGCTGTCTCTTTTATGGCAGCACATTGGTGCCGCAAGCATGTCAAAAACGAGGGTGAAATATGACTAAAAAAATGAAAATTTGTCGGAAATTTTTTCTTTTCGCATGCATCGTCTAAGATTTGATAGGAGCGGTTGATAATGATTTTTGTAATTTTTCAAAAATAGTTTTTTATGTTAAAACGCGCTGATATGTCGCAACATGTAGCCTATGTGATCGTGTGTGGACATGACTGTGCCATTTCCCTATATTCGCTAAAAACTATGGACCTACCCTGCCCGAATATCACATCGCCCGGTCTCCCTCTGATCTTGGAAAATGCCAGCCAGGTGACAAAAATGTCCATAAAACGTACTCCTACTGAAAAGTGGACGTTTTGCGCACGGACCACGGATCTGACAGCACCATTTCGTAGATCTTTGCATCCCGCCAACGCTTCTTGAACATAAGGATTTTTGAGGGTTTCTTAGATTGTTGAAAAATAAAAAAAAGTGTAACAAAATATCCGAACAGACCAATAGAAAGAGATGTTCACTTACAATTGTTTGAAATTGAGCTTTTCTACACCAGAAAATAATGTAAAATACTAGAAAAGGCAACTTATATAGAATATAAATCGAGAGATGTGACGAATAATGTGCAGTACACATTGTATCACAATGGCTCGACAGTAAGTGGTAGTCTTCATTTGTTTAACACAATTTCTCTGGTTTGGACCAATTTCACTGCCTTTGATGTTACACCTGGGCGTTAAACAATAGTTTCTTTTATCTCAAATTTTCCTCAAAAAACAATTCCTGTGAATTATGACCCTACTAAGCCGCGCGTTGTCTACCGTATCTTTTGAGTGCGCGCGATCTGCCCTTTTGAAAACACCACAAATCTTGCTTTTTGAAAATTACCTGATTTGTAATTAGCTGTCTATTTTCAGAAAAGGGAAACAAAGCAACACAAGCGTAAGAAGGTCGTCAGGAACTAATGATACATTAGGTCCGTGCATACTCTTGAGAAGTTATCATCTGACGACCACATGTAATAGCGGGCCTAAGCTGCTATGTGTTTGTATATGTGTGGATATAATTATTATAATTATCTGCCACATAAATTATAGTGTGATTTGCAATAAAATGCTTTTCTCTTCTAGAATACAGATGAATAATTACTCTCAAACCCGAAAACAAATCAGATTGGATTACCGACGGAGCATGTGCTTCCTGAAGCCAGATTTCCGTCTGCAATCAATTTTGGGCTGTGAAAATAGGTGGACAAAGTTAGGATGATACCAAAAAGACTCGTTAAGAATAGACGCACACGCAATGAATCACGTGACATTAGATCTAGTTTGCATAAAGTGCTTGTATGATCTCTCACTGATTTACAACACTTTTGAACAGACGTAGCAACGAAAAGATTGGAGGAGCTCAGAGCATTTATTGTAGCAGCAATATGAATATATTTCACGCTCGGCTATTTGTGAATCTTGGCAGTGTCAGTTATGTTATATGGTGTTAAGCTTTCCAGGATTCCTTCCCAGGACAAGCCTCCGTAGTCTGCACGCGCCGCTCCGGGCAAGATTGGGGTTTTGGGATTTGAGTGCCATGCGAGAATGGCCTCCCTCAGACACAACATCGCGCAAGTACAACGTCATAACGCTCGGCCTAAAGCAAGAAAAACGGCCGAAAAGTGGGGAAACTTACGCCTTGGGGCGGGGTCCTCCGAGCTGTCCGAATTCCTGCTATGCGCCAGAGTACGCATGCCGCCACAGTTAAAATGTAGGGTCCCGTCGCGAGTCTGCGTCTCTGCCTTGGTGGGGACCGTCAAATTTCAAATTGTGCGGCTTTGGAAAACGTATGTTCTCGCCATTTTCGCGCCTTCTAGTGTGGATTTTCAGATTCAGCGCTGCGGACTTTAGAAGGCGCGAAAACGGCGAGAACCTACGTTTTCCAAAGCCGCACAATTTGAAATTTGACGGTCCCCACTAAGGCAGAGACGCAGACTCGCGACGGGTCCCTACATTTTAACTGTGGCGGCATGCGTACTCTGGCGCATAGCAGGAATTCGGACAGCTCGGAGGACCCCGCCCCAAGGCGTAAGTTTCCCTACTTTTCGGCCGTTTTTCTTGCTGGTCGAGCGTTATGACATCACACTTGTGCAATGTTGTGTCCGAGGAGGGCCAGTTTCGCAAGGCACTGAAATCCCAAAACCCCAAATTGCAGGGACACTGCCTTTAAGGCGCTCATTGCAAACTCTGCCACCAGGATATGGAGTTTGAAGTCAGCATGCTGTTGCTTCCAAAGAAACGAATATCTCGGCACGAAAAACTATGGAGGCTTGCTGGATATCATGCAGATGTTCTAAACTACAGGAAAGGAGAAAGGGTGGGTGTCAACAATAAACTCGCCCCTTTCCTAAAAATTTGTGGATTTGAGTCCGACTATAAAAGAAAAGCTCATTCCATCTACTAACCGGTGAGCAGTGTTCTGACACGTTGCAGAGTGGTGGGCGTGCACTATACAAATCGGTGAAGGTATGTCTACCCTGACTCGCTTCCAGGTCTTGACGAAGGCGATCTCCACCGAAAATAGGCCGTACGTGTTGACTGTACTGGCAATAAAGGAAAGAACCAATCTTGCAAAGCTTAACCGATGGTAACAAGGGATTGAAATTTCCAGAGTTTATCAGAAGAAATCAGAAAATGTTCATAATTGTAGCTAATTATGAACACTGTATGACTTCCAGCTGGCAAAACAGTATAGCTTTAATCATAACCTCTATGTTCCATAAATATAGGTACTGTACTATCATTGCATCTATCTAAGCAAATTTTTTGAATAGTTTGTTTTGTTGAGCCGACCACTAAACTTACCGTGGGCTACATGAAAATGCGATCTCATAACTGACTGAAACATCCGCAGAACGTTTGGGAAAGTTCCGCCGGGTCACTTGCGGAAGTTCCGTGAACGTGCTGCGGAGGTGTTGAAGAATGCGAACCACAACAGCAAAAGAGAACATCTAAGCGAGATTCGAACATTGCTCTATTGACTCCGAGACTCACTTACTATCGAAGACTCACTGCGGATGACATGTTCGACAATGCACTTCAGTTGTTGGCGAGATAACATCGTAAGAAACAACACATTCAAAAACCTGCGGAAGTACAGGCAACAAAGTGCTGGGGAACCAGTGGCATTTTCGAAATTTCTGCTGCGTTTTGTTAAAAGTCCTGCGTAAATTCCTTTCTTGACCAGTGTGCGTGAAAAGCCTTGCGGAAGTTCCCATTTTCAACCAACGTTTTATAGTTGAAAAATCCTGCAGAACCGCTGCAAATTTTGCTTGTCCTGCGGAAGTCTCGGTAAACTGTCTGAAATTGTAGGGCTAGATGGTATCGAAATAGCCATATTAGTAAGCTCCTACGCAAACTCTTTTCTGGTTGAAATCACAGAGACTCGTTATTGAAAAAATCGCATTGTGTCTCTCGTGTTACACTTGGTGTAGCACGCTATTCAGGTGTGTGCAAATGGACTTTCCGGAACATTTCTCGATTTTGTTACTTCCCGGTTTAGTGCACTTGTGCTGTGTTTTAATTTTGTTTTGCAAACTTTTATTTGTAATCAAGTCAATAAGTTATTATGAGAAGTGTACAGACAGATTGCAGCAATGAAACATTGGTCATTCGTCCTGCCTCCGCGATTGAGTCGGAAGTTTTCACTGAAAGCAGCTATTTTTGCATGCTTTGAATTTTGAGCTCACCCACCAAAAGGTGGGCAGCCAGGCATTTGAAATTGAAAATTGCAATTTTGTGCAAAAGGACTCACGCAGGGGCAGCAGGGAGAACAACATGGAGGAGGAGGCGGACAAGGACAGCATGGAGGAGGAGGAGGACAAGGACAGGGACAGCAAGGCGGACACAGTACGGGAGTTGGCACTGGGCACGGAACACGCACTTCTTCGATTACAGGGTACGGTACTGGTTCAGCGCACGGAACTGGGTACGGTGCTGGAACGGGCACAGGGCAGGGAACGATTGGAACTGGCTGGCGAACTGGAACTGATACTCTCTTTTGGATCTTCACTGGGTACGGGCACGGCACTTTGCACGGGACGCCCACTGGCACACGTACGGGACAGGGGACATGTATAGGGCTTGTCGGTGGCAGACATGGCTAAAAAGGAGCGAATTTAGTGGAAATATTACAGTATTTAGAACTTACCTCACAACATTGCTGCGGACAAGGGCAGCAACAACAGCAACCACCTCCACCCATCATTCCCGGGTTGCCGAGTCCTCCTAGAGGTCCACTTGGTCCCACATTTATTCCCATCGGTGCCGGTCCCGCTCCACCCACAGGTGGACCTCCAGGGCCTAACGGCCCTCCCGGAACAGGCGCTGGAGATCCCGGGCCTACTTGTCCTCCACCCCCAAGTCCACCTAGAGTATTTCCCAAATTATCGCCTAATTTATCTAGCGCACCCCCCAGGTTACCGCCCAGGTTACCCAGCGTACCGCCCAGGTTACCTAGCGTACCGCCCAAGTTACCTAGTGGACCTCCCATTCGTCTCCATCTAAAACCGCTTGAGTTGGGGTCTGTGTTGTTTTCCTGGGAGTAGCTGCTTTCATCACTATCACTCTGAAATTAATTCTTCTGCAAATAAATTTAGAGCTTTAGTGAATTTCGACTTACCCAAGGCATAGCATTTGTAGCAAGTATTGACGCTAGAGCGAGGTACTTCCGCATTTCTGAGTACCAGAATCTGTAAAATCTTATTATGGTAGTCATTGAGAAAACGGAGCAAATACTCGAGAAAAGATAAACAGGATATAACCGAATAATAAAAAACTAAAATAAAAAGAAATAAAAACTGAATAATGAAAATATGCAGGAGTTTACTCGAAAATGCAGCAGGTTCTATGTTAACGCCCGTATCATAGTTCAATTATTCAAGTCAACCGCTATAAATTTAAGGAAGCATGCAGCTGCTGTCGCATAAAACTCTGTCATTGCAGTAACGGCTACGGTAGGTATACGGTAATGGGAGAAAAGTTAGAGATCGGCATTGACTGTGAATTTTGGTGAGGTTTAATCCGCAGTGCTGTTGGTATTTATTCCGTTTCGAGGGCCATTCTGGTCAGGCTACGCAATCTTATAAAAACGAATGAATGTGATTTTCGTTTTCATTGTATCAGATTACCCACTTCGCAAATTCTGAGCAAGTTTGTTTGGCTCAGGTTATGCTCGACTTCGTTCTCAGCTCTAGAAAAAAGCATAGATTCCTGTTTCAAGTCAAGCAGTTTGTGCACATTTGCAGCAGATATATTAGCTTACATTGAAAAGACAAATTTTGAGCGCGAAAGGTAAAAAAAGGGAAATGTTATTAGAAGAGACTGCAGAATTAGTCGCCAACTATCAAGTGACTTGAACAAAGTTAGGTAGCTCTCAATTCTATACCAGTAGAGATTGCAATATTCAGCTTATTTGCTCAAGCTAACTTGTCAAAATCAAATCACAAAACACCTGAGAAAATTACCAGAGCTGACACAGTAAGGATATGGATTTTGTAGAGAAATAACTTTTTGATGGACCGTTGAAATAAATCCTGGTTTGGGTCCATTCAAATTTCGATTTTGTAGCCAAATAAATAAACGAATGACTAAGTAAATAAATAAATAATTGAATAAATAAATAAAGAAATAAATAAATAAATAATTATGGCAGAAGATAACAGAAGGTCACAAGGATATTACAAAAATGCAGCTACTATCAAATTTTATTTAATGATCAACCACCGATCACAAACTTGAGGGAGAAAATATTGCAGCTGAACTGTGAAGAATGAAAGCTGAGAAGTTCTTATATGTAGGAAAAGGATAAACAGACATTTTGACTTAAATGCACAAAAAAACTAAATTTAGTTTGCTGGCTCTGGCAAGATTTACAAAAGAACTGAAGTCGAAAAATCATCTTTTTTGACGGAGTTGCTTCAAAGTGGAGGAATTTCAAATCTGCAAAGTGGTGACAAGACAACTCGGCTCTTGAATTTATACTAGAGAGTGGAAGTGTGAGCTGGGCTCAACAGCTCTAAACACTGCCATCGACCATAGCTGGTCGTTAATGGCTGTGTCCAGTTCTCTTTGAGCAACAGCGGTTGTTGTTTTTTCAACGCTATCCCGATACGCGTATATTTGCTGTAGCACATTGAAAACTTCCCAAACTGATGTCTGCTTCTCGGGTTGGACGAGTTTTTCGGTGCGCTCTTTGCGCATGTTCACGGCTCCAAAAGCAACTTGTCCACGCGCGCAGCGTAAGTGAGTAAATAACAAACATGGACTGAAGCGAAATTTTCACAGCTTGATACTCGTTGAACATTTTTTCTCCTGCGCTTAGGGCACTAAACATGAACCCTAAGTGCTTTTCAGCAGGATATGCGCGTTTTTTTCAAGCAGAAGAGATTAAGGAGCACTATAAAAGACTCAGCGGTAAGTAACCACTTTTGCTGCTCTCCTTATTTCATCGGGCTAACTCTTGTCAAAATACAGTATAGTTGTTAGGTTAGCTGAACTGTCAATATTACTCTAGTATTATGTTTAAGGACAGATTGTCAAGTAAGTTTTCCACCTGAGGTGCGGAAGATCACTTATGTCAAAAGTTCAGCAAATTCATGCTACTTTCCTTGTAATAACCCCATTCTTTTGCTAAATTTCAAGTTAATTAGTGTTCTGATGAAGAATTCGAGATTTAGAACTTTACGGATTTGAATCGATTTATATCAAAATTTTTACAGAACACGACGGATTATTGAGTGCAATTCATATTATATTAGATGGGTGCAAAAATAATGAGCGTTTATTTAGACTTTACTTCAAGACAACTTTTTTCTAACAGACTTTCTTCTTTGGATAAAACTTAGCACACTACTAAAGGCTCTTTTCAGCTTCATCTAATGATGGTTGAAACGGACTTCTTGCCTCATTTGTCAGAACTTACAGAGCTTCGAAGCGCATTCGAAATCAAAATTTTAATGCATTTACTTTTCTGTCCCGGATTCAAGCGCGAATGAGGGCAATCTTTTGAGATATTTGGCTGCTGTATGTAATGGAATTCGCCTACATTTCGCATACTTTATTATTTTCCTCAGAAATCTTCTAGCATAAAATATTAGCGCCTCAACACGAGTAGTCCTTTTGGTCACTGTGTGATCCATAAATTTATTCCGAAGAAAGCAATCGCCAAAGCTTTGCTCATTTCTTTAAGCTTATAAAGGTAGGGTTTCCTTTTGACGGTTTTTTGCAGAAACGTTTAGCTGTTAGAAAATCAAAACTCCATAATTTGGGACTTTGAGGTCGACAAGAACATATAAAAACTGACATTTTAAAGTTTGATTTCTTTTCTTTTCGCAAACCTTCTCTGTCCAAGTCTTCTTATCTTCTTTTATACTACTGACTTGCGGCTACAAAAAGGCTACTTATTAGTTGTACTAACAATTGAAGGGTCAGAAAAAACCATTTTTGTTTATCAGTCCATATTTTTGCGCTCCTTTGCATATGAGTACGACGAATATAGGTTGTATTGCGAAAAGTTTGCTGCCTTTGAAGGTCTTTATCGCACTGAAAAATAATAATACAAAAACAAAAATAAATAACTAAGAATATTAAATTATTCTGATATATTTTCCAGATTTTTGAAACTTGAATATTTTAGGCTGAAGATTCTTATCTTTCGATTTCCAGATTTTTGTCAAATTCATGGGATAATATTATTATTTAGTACAAGCTGGAACCTTCATAGGCAAAGAGCATAAGGACTGCAAACATTTAGCAATGATAAAGTGATAAGTATAGGTTTTCTCGGGGAATGAAAAATGAGAAGCATTCAACAACATGAGTTCAACATCGCTGCTGGACTGACTCTAAGTTTAGTGACCATAGCCTGCCAAGATAAACATCGACTGGTAACAAATAGTATTCATGACTAGTTACTCGTAATCCGTTGCTCCGCTTGATCGACAACTCGCGACTTGGCTTGAAAAAAAGGCATGTGGTCAGCCGTAAACTCTTTTTGATTTTACATCTTATAGAAGCTTTTTAGCATTTCTATCATTTCTACACCTTCGGCTGAAACCTACACTTCATATGACACTAAATGGTTGGATATGGAAATAAGATTAAGTGTAAACTAGCCCACGTCCCCTATCCAGCCCGGACAGTGGTAAACTAGCTAGCATGGTAATCAAAACGGACTGTAACTCACAATCCGTTTCTTTCTCTTCATTCTTGACTTTCGCAACCTCTTTTCTTCTTTCTTCTTGCTTCTGCTCCTGGTTTGCACTACAGCGCTAATAATACCCGTGCGTGTAGTCTTATTCTTAATCGCCTCTCTTCAGATGTTAATGATCTCTACGCCCCTTCCACTTTACTCAGTGATATGTCGATAGTAATAAGCTTTCATTTTCTTGAAATGTTAGTCAAATCAATAAATCGATAGAAGGATTCAGCAAATCGTCGCGAAAAGTAGCCTATCTTTTGCGCCGTAACATGTTTATAGGGTAAGAATTTCAGCCTCCGTTTCACATCACAAACATTCTAACAAACGAAAGAGTGTTTGATTTCTATAGTTTTGTAGTTTTTTTAGTTTTAAGGCTGAAAGTTGTATATCAATCTAGGAAATACAGTTCCTTAGTCACAATTGCATTGTTAGTTTCTTAGTTCGAACTCCTCATTAGACAGTAATTACTAGCGGAGCATATTGCTCAAATTATTAGGTCGGTGCAAAAGTTTTGTCAGTTCTTTCAATACATCGGCAAACACGACAGAATGAAGATAAACAAACATTTCAGCATGTATCCTATGCAGAATTTCTTCCTCTTTCTAGCTGCTAAACTTCCATTGTGCTTCGTTGAGAGAGTGATGAGATATTTGCTGGACACTCGTTTTTACTGTCCAACTTTCACTAATTTTCAAAATTTCTGTATGAGACTTTCGGAGGAGCCTCAATAACCAGCAGGTAGGGCAAACCTTTTTCCAACAGATGCAATCTTTTGTGGCCCTATGGCTTGTCTTTCAGAGTTTCTACGATTTATTTTTTGAGGTGACCAAATTTTACATTCAGCCTATTTTAACCTCGTAGAACATAAAATGTTAAATATTTCAGCCACTATTCGATGCAAATTGTTCTCCTCTTCCTAATACTTGTATTTTTTTGGCGAGACAGGCGAAATTTGTGGGGCAAATCGCACTATTTCTCAATTTCAGGAGTGCGCTCTGAAGTAACCTATGTTTCGAAATCTCCATGTTTCGAGGCGAAAATCGCTCGTTTATGTAATGGTAGCGGTAGTAATAATCGAGTGTTGAAACCTCAATATTCTGCTTTTGCAATGTTTGGTGCAATAAAAGGTTACGCGATTTTTCTAAAACATAAGACTTTTGGAAAATTATTTGGCAAAATTCTGAAAACCCGCGGAAAAAAGCAAAAGGTTGCTTAAGTTGGCAAAAGGTTTGCCCTATCTGGTGATTATTAGGGCTCTTCCATAGGTTTCATACAAAAAATTCAAAAAATAGCGAAAGTTGGACATGGTAAAAACGAGTGGTTGTAATTTCCAGCAAATATCTCGTCACTCTCGCAACGAAACACAATGGAAGTTTAGCAGCTGGAAAGAGAAAGAAATTCTGCATAGAATACACTTTAAAATGTTTGTTTATTTTCATTCTAGCGTATTTCTCGATGAATTGAAAAAACTGGCAAAACTTTTGCACCGACCTAATATTTCGTTCGTTGCAGCACTGGCTCATAGAATGCATCTATGCCAGACTTAAGCACCGTTGAAATTTTCATAAACCTGAGAAAGTGGAACATACTATAAGATGGTGAATCCGATTGCGCTCCACCGTCATCTCTCATTCATAAACTGTTATCTTATTGGATCTAAAAGTTTTTCATACTTTTTCAGATTGCATAACCGTAATACTTTATTACTGAAATCGCGCGCCTGGATATGAATGGACAGAACTTCGAGTTTCGGGATCTCTGAAGTACGATAGCTATTTTATGAAGAGCGAATTTATTATTTTAGCATAAAAACTTCGCCAACTCTTTGTTAATTTTATATAGAAAAGATGAGTTTCCAGCGTACAAGAGTGAATTTCGAAAAAAAACACCTCGAACTTCACTTATATAATAGAGAAACCAGAGGTTCTAAGTTAGCTCTGCCAGTTCCTTACTTTCAAAAAATGGCGAAAAAGAAAAGTGAACAGAACTTGGGAAACTTCTATTGTTTTTCCCTCTTTTGTTTGAATTTTTCAATTTTTTTGAAAAGTTTTCATCTTTGAGCCTTTGTGGAGCTATCAGATCATGTTTCAAAACTACAATCATTTCTTATAATTTTTATTGATTGATAGATAAACATGACTAGATTTGCAACGAATCTAACAATGACAAGCACTGAGCACTTTGAAAAATTGAAGGAAACCTAAATGGCACTAATTTGGCACTAATCATACAACGAGGTTGGAAATGGTAAAGAGTATACACCTATATACACACAAATATGATCATATATCTAAGTATGTACAATATGTAAACCGAATAGAATTCTAACAATCTCATATATGGCACAGGGATACTGTGACTAAACATGGGCTATGGTCAGAAAAAGAAATAGAAAATTTATACATTGAGTTTACCTAGTCAATGATCTCAGATTTCACGGTAATTCAGGAATGCGCAGCGCGACCGCGACGCACTACCACGCGCGCCAAAATATGTGAAAGAGGACTACGCAAATGCGCCACTTTTCTATCACATTTCTTATTTTTTGCATTGCTGAGTATGTACAGGAGCATAAAATTGGTACAAAGGGCTAGCCGATGTTACCTCTCTGAAGAGGATTTGGAGTCAAATTCTCAGCCAACAACAGCACTGGGCAATGGGGGCAAGTGAATTGGCATCACTTCGCACTGTTCGCTGAGAATCGTCCTTGGTATCCGTTTTGCGTGTTGTAGAATTCTGCTCGAATATGCTCGAACTCCTTGAACATCGAGCTGAGAAAGCATGGGTAGCTCCAAAATGATTATGAGGCCTATTTCGGTGACCTGAAGTTGAGCGAAGTTATTTCTATACAAATTTCTAGCACGACCGCACTAACGTTTCTGCAGAATTTAATGTCAAGCGCCTTCAGCAGTTTGCAGTTCGTCAATCTTTCCAGGACCTGATCGTCTACTGCCCCAACACCTGCTAGACATAACCACTCCAACTCGTGCAGTAGTCCTGAAATGAGGCAAGTATTAAGTAGTCCCTACTTCGTGATCTACTCTATTTTCAGTTATAACATTGACTCGATGTATTATTTTGGAATAAGAAAATCGTGTGTTTTTTAGCTGCAAAAGCTAAAATTTAAATTTCAAAAATAATTGCAGCAAATCTTGTAAGGTCCGATGAATTTTTGGTTCTGATTATGTAATTATGACCTAATCCTGTAAACTAACAAGATTTGAGGCTGATCAACCTCTGTGCACGTCTTAACTTTCAGGTCTGTTTTTTGATTTAATTCAAGTAAAACAAGTTATTGAAGATACGTTACGCTATACGTTACATATAACAATCTCATCTTATATTTGTTTCTCACATTTTCAAATCAAATTCTCAAGATTCTCAGCTGCAAGGTAGAGCATATGGAACCAGATTCGTCTAACTTATTTCTTACCAAGATTCAGTAGCGAATTCGTTGTGAGCATCGCACAATTGTCCAGAGATAGCCGTTGAAGCCGTGGGCAACCCGCACATACACCTACTACTGCTTCGTCGGTGAGTTCCCGGTTGTTACCAAGGTAGAGATATCTGAAATTTCTTCTCAAACACTTTCTTCGCTATACATTGAAAATTGTTTACCTTAAATTGTAGAGTTCTCCCAGCAATGAACCATCAGTAACATTTATACAAGATGTAAGATCCAGGGTTGTCAGAGAAGATGCCATACCAACCAGTACGTCGAGATCGGCACTTGAGACAAAAGATCGTTGCAGAGATAATGATTCAAGCCTAGAAGCATTCTTTGAGGTATGAATAGATAATACTTAATCGTTTTTCTAAAATGAAAAGATCCTATTGTATAATTGCCGTTGAATTATAGTCGCCATAATAATTTAGTAAATTTAATTTTCTTGGTCTGAATATTAAGGAAGAATTTAAAGCAAATCCAACATGAAACATTTTTTTGTAATTTTCTTTTTTTAAAAAGTATTTTTTTAACTAAATCGACCTGACTGTGGTCGAAAAATTGTAACTGATAAATGGAGGATAAAATTGCTTGAAAGGAGAGGTTTGAGAAACTGTTCATGGTTTTTGTTCTGCTCATTCTTAATTGCCAAAAAAAAATGGAAAATTTTTCAAAGTGGTCACTTGACTCACAATCTCCCTCGAAGAAAATGTAGATTAGTGATTTTAAGCGATCCACCGGCCGATATTGACAGATCTCTTATCGAATTTGGCAAAAGCGCCAGCACATTCTCGTCCAACACAAAATGGTCGAACGTCCAGCCGCGGCCCTGGAATTTCTACCAAAAACAGTCCTAGAAGTACTGTTTTCTAATGGAAAACTAGCGCTCACCGAGATTTCAAATCGCTTCAGATTTGAACTACGTGTGAGAAGTTGGCGTAGGCTAGTTTGAACCATCTCATTTACTCTAGCCGTTGAACATGGCATTCGACAGTTTGATATACTGAATTCCTACAATTTTCGAATTCTTGACTTCGGGAAGAAAATGAACATGTACAGGAATGAACTGATTTAATTACCTCCAGTGTTGTGGGCAACTGAGCAAATACTTCCACTGCTCCTATAGTGACGATCATTCTGAAAAAAGCGGACAAAAGCATATCTCGAGTTTCTGTATGGTGAGTTTGAGTACAGAACTCGTACCTGTCAATTTCGATGCTCCTCAGATCTGTAGCATTTGCTGCAAGAGCTTCAACCATAGATTTCGTCAAGTGATGCTCACTGGCAAATACGGCATATCGCTCATTACTCGATGTTACTTGGAAGCTTACACGCTTTAATCGTTTTCCGCACATCTCTAAAAATTATTGTATTTATTTAGAAAATCACATGGAAAAAAATGAAAACCTTTAAAAATATTATCGAGCTAGAAAGCGGATGAGATATTTTATAGCTAGTAGATAAGTTTAAATGTTATGAGGTTTTTATCTAATATTATTATATATAAAGAATCGTAAGCGCAATTTAAAAATGTGCAAATAGCGGGAAACCGCGTGGCGGTCCCGAAGCGAATGCTCTTCCAAATAGCACCTTTAGATTGCTGGTTCACTAGTCTAACAAAAAAAAACAGCAATTTTATCATTTGGGGGGATCCAAAAGTCTTGCGCGCTGCGCTAGGTCGCAGCTGGCAAAAAATCGATAGTCAGAAAGCATTGCTGAAGTTTGCGTTTCTATTTTGCAGTTACAAAATGTGAGTTCCAGAAAATTTGCTCATATTAATATACCAAATAATAATGTCCAATTGGTAAAAAATGAGGATTTCCTAAATTTTTACTCACCCAGTTTTTATCCACTCAGTAAGTTTTACTCTATCGATAGTCGAAATTTTTTTTGCAAAGAAAAGTGCAAGATTCCTTTTAGTGAGAATCCCCATCTCACATAACTGAATAACTTCGAAAAATCACGAAAATCCTAATTGTTTACCAATAAAGGTGTTTCTAGAAATGTGTGTTTCGGAACCTTTCTATGAGCGATTAATTGCATGGGTTACGCCTTTGAATCAAGAAGTTGTGGAATTTTCTTTAAGTAAATATAGCACGGTTCAAATCAGATTTTACTCACCCAAAATTTTACCCACTCGGCTTGAATCCTCTATAGCACCGGGAAAATCTCGCTCAAAGTTGATGGCTTCAAGTTGTCGCATGGCTCGATGCGCCAGCCGCCTCCACATTTTACAAACTCGTTCACATTTTCTAATCTCACGAGGTGGCAAATAGGAGAACACCGTCGCCCAGGCATCTTCCATCTTAAATTAAGGGGTCAAAGGAGAAAACGCAATAATTTACACACTTAGGAAAGCGACGAAGTGAGTTATGAGTAAAAGTCCCGTGTGTTTTGCCTTATATAAGCAATTGGCTCAAGTGGTACATGTTCTTGAGTGAGTTTTGCTTTTGCCTATGTGTTATAGGGGAAATACGAGGTTGTATAGAACGAGTTTGTGGGTTTACGAGCGACAAAGCAGTATATGAGGAGGGGGGGGGGGGGGCAAGGAGGTTCTATAGAGCCAGTCAGGAAAGCTATCTGAGAGAACTGGATCACTTCTGGGACTACTCCTGGAGTCAGTGTGATCTAACATCAACAAAATATTGTCAACGTTGGAAAATCGTGTAAATGTTGCAATAAATTTGTGTCCCCATCATACAATGCAAATTTTTTAAATATTTTCAAGACAGACAAATACAGACAAATCTCTCCACGAGATAAGAATAAGAATGCAAATTTTTGGTAATTCAGAAATGAAAAATTTCCTCTGAAACATGAAGTGTAGAAAAAGAAGTTTCTAGAAAATCCTCTAGATTACTGCCACCAAAAAATTCTTCTATCCTTCAAATTCTGGAAAAAATGAGTAGAAAACGAACATGTTAATATGTTTTTGGTTGGTTAGAAAATTTCTCACGTTTCAGTTCACGGAAGGGATGAAAATGCAAAATTTTTTATATAATTCAGCCAAAATTTTTCATAATAAACAGAGAAGAATGATAATTTCTTCATTTTATTTCAAAAACGAAAAAACTCTTCCCCAGCTACTGGTATGAGAAGGGAAAACTGCAAAATTTTGGGAATTTTTAGCCACTAGAAATTTTTCTCATTCTTTAAATTGTGAAAAAAAAAACAAGAATACAACTTCATAGTAAATTATGGTATAAAATTTTCTTAATCCTCAATTCCTAGCAAAAGATTGCAAAATCAGCAATTTGAAGAGAAAAAAAATTCCTTGCCTTAAGCCACTGTTGAGGGATAAAAGTTTTCGAAAAATATTAGCCTGGGAAGGAAACGTTCCTTACTTCTCAAGTCTAAGCGAAAGATTAAGATCATGCTTTTTCCTATATTTTTAGCCAGCAACAAATTCCTAACCTCCCTCCCCCCTCCCCAACTAAAAAAAATGATAAGATTATGGATGAATCCGTGACAAATTAATGTCTTAATTTACTGAAAGAATGAAAGCCGCCCAATTGCTTGAAGCCAGCTGATCGAAGGATAGAGATTTTTGCGAGTGAGAGCGATAAAGAGAGAGGAAGAGATTTTTACAGCAGCAGGCTAGGGGTGTGTTCGTTGCGTGCCAAATGCTGGAGACTAGAATTTGCGTGATCAAGACGTCGAGCACTTAGTGCAGGTGAATATCATAAAAAGCATAAGGTCAACAGCTGCTGCGAAAACACGAGCGCTTCGGATTTCTTCAGCAGCAGTGGTTTGAGTGGATAGCAAATGAAAAGTTGGTTGAAGTTTGCTAAAAGTTAACTTCGCGCAGAAAAATCGCGAAAAGATTTTGTTTTTTTTTTGCATTCTTGAAATGCGACTTGCTCAAATTGTAAGTCAATAAACCCGCAGTCAAATAAATTATGTTCAGCTTCATGCTTTATTATGATTGTCGGTTTTGAACCAGTATTTCTGCTTCCTATTACAGTGCAGTTTTATTGCGTTAATTGTGATTTTACGACGAGTGATTCGTAACTCAAAGTACCACATGCACGAGGATATACGACTAGAGCGTTGAAACTTACTCATAAAATAGCAATGAAATAAGCATAATAAAATTTTTGCACCAAATTCTTATGGACAAAGTTATAGATAAGGGACCTGAAGTTCTCACAGGATACCCAAATGGACTAACCAGTGTACAGTAAACTCAAAATAAACAATTGTTTTCCATAAGTTTTCACAAATATTCTCCGCCTCTGCTTTTGGGAATCGATTATGAGTAGTATTTGATTGCAAAACTTTCATTAGACGTAGTCAAGCATACTCTATTTCTTGAGAGGCAAAGAAAAATGACATTTTAAACAATTTGATTGAGAAAAAACCCAAGATTTTCATATTTTAGCTTGGCTTATAAATGTTAAATTAGTGTAATGATAATCCGGCACCATGTGTAGCACACCTTCTATGACTTAATCTTTCAGAACAAATATGCAATGGAACTTTTTTGAGCAGATATGACTTTCGAAAGACATTAAAAAAATACAAATTGATTCTCTTGCTGAATTTCTGTAGTGAGATACTTTTGGAAACATACACTCAACACAAAATTCTTGGAGTCAGAAAAATTAGTTGTGTAGCAGAGTGTACACTACTGACATTTTTCGACATCTTTGAGTATTTTTTGAAACTCAGCTCAAAGTCTGCAAGTTTTGGGCCTTGATAATAAGATGAGATTCCAGCTTTTGGTACTGCATAGAGTTTTATGCTTGGTTACATCAAAATTCTGTGCAACAAATCTGCTCGGTAGAAAAAAATTAGTATTTTTAAAAACATAGGAATAGAAGACTTTCAGAAGACTTGACACGTAGTATTGTACAACAACATAGTTTGGATTCGCAGAAAAACCTCATAGGATTTTTAAGGCAGCTATATCAGCTACTTGTAATTCAACCTTTTGTCTTTTACGCTATTTTTGTTATCAAGAGATCTAGAAAAAATGTTATCTAACAAGTAAATGCGTCATTTGCTCAAATGAACATGCACGAAGCGCACAATGATGCCTATGGTTTCCCAAACAATCAAGAAAAATCTGACAACTGACACGGCGATGACGTAATCAGAGAGCGTTAATTATGCAAGCGGATAGCAAACAGCAGCAGCAGCAGCAACTCGACTTCTGGACTGGTTTTCATCACTCGGGGCGGGTCCCCCGTGCCGCAGCAGCACGTTGGAAATCCCCGTGAACAAGCAAGAATTACGGGCGTGAGAGCATCACAAGCTGTTTGCCGAAGGCAAGAGGAAGCGATCGAAGAATTGGGAAAAAGCTTAGCATCCACAATAACTAGCCAATTCATAGTATATAGTTTTCGTTATTTGTAAGAAAAATGTGAAGCATTTGTCCCAAATTTTCAATAGACACTGGAATATTAGCAGAAAGCCTGTCAAGAAGCAGCCATGCCGATGCAAGTAAGAGCTGGGATTTTAGCACAGCTCAACGCCCTCGAATATCGTTGAAAAAAAAATCTCGCAGCATGTCTTCAAGGATATTTCTGCAAAAATGAATAATTCCCCTAGATCAGAAATTTTCATACCTCTACGGAAGTTTCGAGCACTGGGCGATTCTCAGTTCACCTTCTTATTTCAAACAAAAAATTGTTGTTCAGACATATTTGGTAAGACTGTTTCTTCAATGCAAATGGAGGGGTGAACGGCATTAAAAGTAACAAGATTAGCTATGAAGTGAACAATTTTGTAAGAAGTTTCCAAAAGAATACTACTTTGACAATAGCAAAATTCCACCAATTAAAGGGAGGAATCAAAGCTCACAAATATGGACGATTACCGCAATCTGCTTAGCAACCGAAGCAGCGAAGAGGAGGTGAAACATGAGCCAATCAAGTAGAATAATATAAATCATCTTTCTCCAAGAATCGCAAATTGAAGCGCTGGTTTTCATAGAAGCTACAATATTTCAAATTTCATACGTTTCCATGGCTAACGCTAAGCAACGTCAGAGGAGAATCAATTTCCAAAAGCATCGAAAGGAATTTCTTGGTGAAAACCATAATATCCTACATAACTGGATGTACATGTTTTGAAGGTAAATGTCTATTTAAAGAATAAAAATGCCGCCTGATGTAATCCTCAACAATGCTGAAAGACAATATGGTATCCAGAAAATTCGCATAAGCTCAACTAACAGCTATTTTGTAAATCTACAAAGGAATGCCTGATCTCTAAAAAGCGAATAGACCTCTGGTAATCTGCAGATCTCTGCATCAATTGTGAGAGGGGTGATAAGCCTACAATAAATAGCAGCGAGCTTAATGAGTCTAGAATTGGCGAGATTTATACTAATGCAGGGAGAGCTTATGCTTAGAGGCAAGCTTAAAGCCTAAAGCATGTACTTTCCAACATCGGCTCAATGACTCTGCTAGGTTCAGATTGCAGAGACAAAAATGGAAGAAGGAAACTTTCCGACGTCCGACGATTTGGTGCAAGCCCTTTGAAAATCCGAAAACTTTCCAATAAGATTTGATATAAGCAGAATCGTTTTGATAGAACGAAGTTAGTATTATTTTGAAAAGGTTTAACCTAACCTAACCTAACCTTGCTCACAGACAAGAATGTTTCATTTCTATTTTCCAGAATTCGCATTACGGCCCGATATTTCTCAGCGGTCTAATTTTCGGCTCATATCACTTCTGTTGCTATCGCTACCATACATCAACAGAAGTACGATCGCAAATGTACGGTAATTTTGTGATTTTGACGGTTCTACAGTAGATCTGCGCTCCAGTTCAGCAAACACCGTTTCCGTGTTCCAATCAGCAGTCATATTTAACACTTAATTTTTTCGAACTAGTGTCATACAGAAGCCTTCTACAATTTAGGAAAGCATTATCTTCGGATTTTGAATTCAAAGTTAAGTCTTACTTATGTTATACTTTGAGGTCAGCCAAACCACCTCGCTTTTGCTTGATGACTCCTACTAGTTATAGCTTATTTACTGGCTAGGTTTTCTTTAGTTGTGAATTACGTTTGTGCTGAGTGCTAAGGTTTTATACCAACGTAAGCAAAAATTATAAAGAAAAATGACTCCCCCTGATTGTGAATAATGTTTTTGCATGATATCTGACTAAGCAAAACCGTGCTCTCATATCACCATTGCTTGAGCAAAAGAAACAATGATTCAGAACAGTCACAACAAGAAACGTACGTACACAAAACTTCTGGATCTGATAACTAAGTGGTCATAGCTAGAACAGAAAAAATGAAAATGTGTTGTTTTGTGAAGGAAATGATTCATGGCGAGAGGAACATATGCTTCTTTTTCTTCTTTTTGTGACTAGCGAATGTCTCAAAGATGCATGACGAAGCGCATCTTTGCGCGCATGAAACAATAACAAACGGTTCAGGATTCAGCATAAGTTATACCAAACAAGGAAGCTGAGTTGATCCAGTAGGATATAGTCATCACGCAAAAACTTGTCGTTCTCTTGACGATGCATGCTTCAGATAGGTGCAGTTAATCCGACGAAACATAATCCCATAAGGCGTTCCTAGCGTTTGAACGTGACTACTCATCAGTTGCGCGAGGAAGCGCCTAAATGTCGATTTTTGCGTAACTCAATCTTCGCGGCCGACTTAGGTACTCGTTAGCAGCTTCTATCCCTTGGAAGGTGTTATAGACATTAGCAGTGCAGAATGATTTACGAGATACAGTCGAATCATTTCATATGATCATGGTGCACCCGCACGCACCGTCCATCTTTGGCGTCCTCATCCTGATTTGCGATTGCAGAACGCAAGAAACTGACCGATTGCTATCGCATACATCATCTCTGAGGTGAATAGTATCCAAGAGGAAAGAAAACATTGGAAAATCATCGAAAACACCTGCGCAAAGAGTTGCCTCCTCGGTACATCAAGGATGAAACCGACAAAGGTGGACGGTGCGTGCACACACATGATCATACAAAATGATTCGACTGAAGCTATTTCTGCGGCTTCAAGAAGTCGAAAGAATAAGCGAATAATGCGAAAAATTATTCTCTTAGTTGTCGATCATATCTGTGTAAATTGAAAATAAAAGTATTTATTCTCATATGCAAGTAACGGGTCTCAGAAAATACGAAGTTACGCATATGTTATAGACATGAGAGAAGTTTCACATAATGCTTTCGAATACTGAGTGCTCCATTTTCAGATCTCTGATTCGCTCAAGTTGGAACCCACACGATGCAAGTCGTTCTCTTCCCCTCCCCAAAGAACGAAAAATGAAGTGCGTTAAAATACAAAAGCATTTATGAAACCTTCTCTAAACCAAGGAAAGAAAGCTTTTCTTCATGGTAAAAAGGAGATCTCCTATAAAACTGAGAGCAAGTGATAAGTGAAAAAACACGTTGAGCTGACTTCAAAATTAAAGCATAAGCAGAATAATGCGAACCGGAAAAAAGTTTACAGCTGAAGTTGTTCAACACATTCTATTCAATAGCAGACACCCTCTTTTTGACAGCATCCTCGACTTGCTTCATTTTAGCATTGTAATCCTCCTGTAAACATAGAATTTGATGTCTCGATGAATCATGATAAACAGAAATTCAACCTTGTTCGCAGAAGATGCAGCTACCAACTCCTCCACATTTTCTAAATCTGTCAGTGTTGCTACCATGTGGGCAGGATGTAAAGAAGTAGACATATGGTTGAACACAATATTTCTCAATGCTTCTTCACGATCTGCCGTGCCTATCTGCAGTGAAAACAAATTGAAGATGAAGACGAAATGTCGCTTTCCTCAAACAAGACCAACATTTTCGTAGACATTCCTAATTTGAAGGGAATAGCCTTGATCAGGAAGCCTGAAACGATAGTTCATTGCGCGATTATAGGTTATGCATACAAAAATTCAAATGCAGAAGAAAAACAAACTTTACGATAGGACGAGAATGCGATGGAGAGCGAAACGCTGCGCTTAATCTATCTAACTCCCCCTTGACGACAGATTTGATAGAGAGCAGAGAGTGTAGATAGTCGGACTCAAAACACTTGCAATTAGACGACAGCAACACTTGCAAGCAGACTTACCTCATATTTCGACTCGAGCAGTAATCTCTTCTGCTCTCTCGATACCACATCAATCATGCCCTCGGTACCTTCAGCCGTAAGGTCGTAAGATGCAACCACTTCTTTCATTTTCTCATGCCACTTAGAAGTTAGGAACATGACCTTCTCAGAACTGCGCCAATCGTTCTTAAAAGTATCAATCAAGAGGGAACCAAGATTCAACCTAGCAGGAAAACTCCCAGGGCTGCCCAATGTATGAGCGAAAAATGCAAGGTTTGGCTTTGTAAGGGTCATAATTGCAAACTAGCACTAAACCATAACAATAGGTCTATACAAAATGTATACTAACAATAAAGTTGAAAAACGATACTTGCCTCTTCTCTGGAGGAATTCTCAATTCCGTAAGCAGCGAAACATCGATCAAGAGCCTTCTGGCACGAGTCGCTTGTTGTCGAGACAACAACATCGTCCACTCTGTAAAAAACATAGGTAAGTCTCAAGTGAAAGAGAGGTCTCTCTTGATGCACAAAGCACTGTACAAGCAACTTACACGATGGCTTCACCACTTGGAGGGGTCTGACCAGGCCCAGCGGAAGGTCCTAAGTGAGCAAATTTTGAGGTACTTTCGATGACCTGTCCGAAACTCGCAAAAAATTTACGATATACCTTCAGCTTGTCCCACTTCTGCGCTGGTACTTGCTTCCACCTGGAGTACCGACGACTGCGGAGGCACTTCATGAGCTAAACAGAAGCTGTGAGGTCATAGCGCTTGGTCAGATGGACAAATTTAAAGCAGAAAACACAACTATAGCCAGTTTACCTAGATTATTACAGATAAGCTCGTTGAACAATTCACATGTATAAACAATCGATAATGAATGATGAGAGTGGGAGAAAGAAATGTGAGGAACAAGTAAAAGGTATCGAGTGAAGATGTATGCTGTGTGGAAAGAGAATCACCCCTTGCTTGTACACCATTGAGCGGATAAAAGTTTGCGTTGCTAAGCAAGGGGCGGCAAGTAGGCGCTGTCTCACTTTTGGACATAACACTCTCCAACTTTTAGCAAGATTTAGCAGAACCAAAGAGTAAACACAGTCACTTGTTCAATGTGTGCTACGACATTGGACCCAATTCTAGCTGATGGTGCATATACCGGTGTAAAACATGGCATAAAACCATAATTTTTAACGTCTGTAAGTAAAACAGGAAGTGCCCAAAGACGCACCTTCAACTACCTGCTGCGCCAGATTCTCATCGTCTAAAGCGTTGCTCTCTGAAGTCGGAGTCTCCATCGGTCTCCACCGTTCTTCTCGTGAAACTCGCTTGTAGGCCTTCAAGGTCCCCGAAGGCTTTAAATCGATCTTTATTTGGAATTTCAGCTCTAGTCTGAAAGACATCATGTCAAGTGAAAGTAATCACAGGTCTGTATCATTGCAACTGAAGAGAATGAAAACACATCTTTTTGAACTTGCCATCTACAAAGTCAAACTGTCCATGGCAAGTGCGCAAAAAATTCAAAACTGAGAATATAAAACTGCACCACTTACGCGGTTTTGACATCACTGTCCATAGGTATCTGGTAGCGCAAGTAGAGATACATCATGATATGACATGGGAGATTTGCATCGTGAAGCCTGTTTACCGTAGTTTTACGAAACCTGAAAAGAAGAACTATAAAAGCTTATAGAAACTCTCATCTATTACTACTAGTTCACCTGGAATTTAAACTATCCGCTGTCCTTCCCTCGTTTTCTAGCGCAAACATTTTCCAGATTTCAAGACCCCTGGGCTGCCATGCAGCAGGCACTCCTTTTCGCAGTTGTCTAAATTTTGCTGTGCGATGCGAAAGCTTAGGGTCAAATTTTGAAAATACTCACTCATATAAAAACATCCACATGCGGGTTTCATCTGCGCGGGAGTAAGCTGCGCGTTCTTTCACCATATTTTCTAAAAAAGCAAACATCAAATTCCTGAATTCGGGACTCCGAAATATTCGGAAACTGTTTTCGCGGAATTGGAAATGTCGTGCATTAGTGCGTAGTATGCTGCAATATAGCGCTGATGCTCAATGAGCAGAAAAATACTTTCCCGAGAAGGAGAATAAAAGAATACTTGGAACAGGTCATTCTCACAAACTGCGCGGAAGTTCCGAGCGCCGATCCAATAGTCTGCCTGTCGGCACCTCTAGCGCGACGCTACTTATGGCATCGAATCATGTCGCGAACCATAACAGGCAAAGACTGGGCGCCGTTGTTGCGTCCGGCCAAGATAGAGAGACAGCTGGTAAGAGAAACGAAAGAGCGCTCGATCGGAGAAACACCGGATACGTCTGCAGTCTTTGCGTGTGTGAACCGCGTGTACCTGGCCGCGTCCCTAGTCTCCACTTTGACACCGGAGAGTTTTTGGAGGGTGTAGCGGTCCGCACAACCGTAATGCTTTCCACACCGGATCACCGCCGGACGCGAAACACCCTGCGACGGCTTCTGCCTAAGCAAAGCAGGGGGTAGAAACATTTGCAGTGAGCGTGACGTATTAACAAGTCAAAATCAGGGCGATGCTGGAGATCGCCTGAGCGGAAAGACCTTCCTCGTCCTCGCGGACCGTTTTTTGAGGGCACAAATTAGCGCGGCACGCGAGCCAAGCGGTTTTGATCCCTGCCGCACACTTTAACGCACTGACAAGGAATGACTATCATTTTCATGATTAACATATCAGAAAAGAATTGCGGGAGTGGATCACACTGAACAGCTCAAAAAGGCGCCATCTATTTCTACCGCGCTGGCTGCGCGGGCGGTTCGCGCGCGGCACCCGTATACAGTCGATGTCATTTACGTACTCCCTTTCGCATGGAATGTACGCATGCGCAACGCAAAGGCCCTGCACGCGGACCTCCAATCGATGAGGCCCGTTTGTATGCCTGAGCCATACGCGCGCGAACGTGGCGCGAAGCTCACTGCGCTTACGGAAAAGGGAGCTCGTGATTAACACGGACTTTACGTGGGGCGCGCAATCCTTCCAATGACTGCGACGTTAGGTTGATTTACGCTCTCGACCCCAAACATGCTGAGGAGCATTTTCGCTCCATTATGTATGAGAAGCCAGCTACAATGTTGATAAAGGTATTTACCTTGTCTGCCATGATGTTCGCCTAAGGCCCAGGACAGACTTCACGCGATTTGATCGTCGCGACTGAATCGCGACAAGACAATTGTTACAACATCATTCCATGCCGATCAACTTGCATTTCGGTTGTGATACTTTTCCAGCCCGTGAAAATGAATGGAAATGTCGGCGATTGAGTCGCGACGATCAAATCGCGTGAAGTCCGTCCGGGGCCTAAGACTATTCCTATACATCATCTTACGGATTTCCTTGCTTCGTTGTTTAGGGGTTATTGACTAGTTACTCATTTCACTCGCTGACTTTGGGTCTCTTGATCACAAACGAAATGTTTCCAAAGTAATGGGAGCAAGCTCACTTTCGCTGTTCAGGTCAGAGCATTACAATTGTGTACCAAGTTGACTATCAAAAGTAATGAGATTGTCCGCTTATGTTCCGCAGTAAGAATTTTTAGTGAATGTCTGATGCTCACTTGTTCATTGAAATTTGAAGAGTGCGTAAGGTTTTGCAAATCACGGGCTGTACTCATTTACAGTTTTCGGATCTATCACTACTTGGTATACGTTACGGTTTCATAAGTGATACCAACCAAGCAAGATAGGATTTTTGAAGCTGATTGTTCATCAAGCAGTACCTTGCTTTTACGAACCCTTTTCATATGACTTTCATGAATCAACACGGATATACATACATTAGAGAATACTTAGTGCGAAGAACACACAAACGTAGAATTCGTGCAGAAGATTTGTTACCTCATCCAAAGTGTCGGCTGAGTTGCATATTCTCTAGCAGTCATGACTCTTATTTGTCAGCATTAGCGTTTTCACTTCGACTACTTGCGAACACAGCTAGGTATATGAGCTCAAAGTACAGGGAATTCACCTAAGAAGCTATTCGAAGCTGTGTCTGCTGAGTGGAATGCTGGAGAATTTAATGGAACTTCAGAAGAATGATGTCGAAATGTAGGCGACGCAAGCATTCTTGTACACCTTCTGACTTCGCTACTAATCTAATCCAGCATAATGGGATTATGTTAGCTTATTAAGCCTTGATGCATACTCTTACATATATGGATCACCGACACACCAGTGGTGTCTTAGGCCCGTATGCACGTACATCCCCGCTGGGGAGGGGAGGGGATCTGAGAGGGGATGCGTCATATCTCGCTACTTTACGTATCTTTCTTCTTCCTTTTCTATCTTGCTTATAAAGGTTCTCATACCCTACTACCTGCGCATAATCGATGCCAGGTTTCAGGCATAACTGATTAGATTTGTACTATTTTGTGTGATCCCCTGGGGATCCCCAGGGGATCACACAAAATAGTACAAATCTAATCAGTTATGCCAGTAACCGGGCATCAATTATGCGCAGCTAGTAGGGTATGAGAACCTTCATAAGCAAGATAGAAAAGGAAGAAGAAAGATACGTAAAGTAACAAGATATGGCGCATCCCCTCTCAGATCCCCTCCCCTCCCCAGCGGGGATGTACGTGCATACGGGCCTTAGGCAGGCGCTATTCTCCTCGAGGAGTATAGCATGGCGACGGGCGATCGCCAGTCGCCAATACGGCGACTGTGTCTTCTATGCATATCGATCGCTAACAAGTTACCACACGTCCAATCGATACACATTCAATGTGTAGTCGCCAATATCGGCGACAAAAATCGCCAGTTTTGTACGTATTTGATGCATATCGATCGTCGCCAAGCTATACTCCTCGATGAGTATAGCGCCTGCCTTACATGTACGGAACACAGAAAACAAATAGATCCGCAATTCAGGAAGAAGCCACGAACACACTTGAAGCCTCCCTTTTCATATGTGGAAAAGCAATAAGTTCCAAATAACCGGGTAGGCGCACTTAGGAATTGCAGGGTATCCTCGACTGCCACCTAGTGAAAGAGGCAATACATCAGCGTAGCGGCTACTAAAGTAGAAGCCAATTTTTTCATTAACATCGTCTTGCGCATGGTAGCCTTGTTATCCTGCGACAAGAGCAAAAATCTTTGTTTGCACATTTGAGCCGTTGAAAAGCGGTATATGGCAATGTCATATCCATCCAACTCTGACATTCGTTTCGGATGAACGGCGCGCAAAATAAACTATTCCTACGACCCGCGCCCGTCGAGCGTATGAGCGGCGCGACACAGTCGGATTTGAGTACGAGCGGCGCGCAATTCAGAGTGCATCAGTACGAGCGGCGCGCAATTGACAAGCAGGAGTGGCCGCGTGCCTTCGAACATACGAGCCGCGTACCACTAATCTAAGCTTCTGCAGCTTTTCAGGCAGGTCCACGTGCTCACGGGTACCATAGTGAAAAAAACGTTTAAGTTTGTGCGCGATCATTACTTATGTATTCGGTTACAATTTCCACATTTTTTAGTGCACAAAACTATAGCGTAATTTTCACACGTTATGAGCGTAAAGGATACTTGTGTAAGGTACGACACAGTCGTTAGGCTGCCCTCAATGCTAATTGACTTGCAAGTATACAAGGACAGTCGGAAGGTGGTCCAATAGACAATCTCCGGTGGCACGTCTGTGTTGCTCAATTTTGTAGCCGGACGTGATTTCCGCAACTGCCATATCGGTGGCGTCGACACAAAATTATCATATCAGCGATTCAAGCACCAAATTACAGTCTGCCCCAATCCCAACCAGGCCGAAATTGGCATGGCGGGAGACCGCGTCGCTAGAGTCTCGCGGTCACGCCCACGGCCTGCTTCTCTGCCCTCTTCAATCCTTTTGCTCTCTCCGACAGCGCGCACATGCAGCGCAGACCGCTAGCGCTGCGAGCGCGCAAACTTACGCCGACGGTTCAGCCTGATCCCGATTGGAGCAGACTGTACCGTACCAGCGGCGCGAAATTCGCGTATCACCCGAGCGCATTTAGCGGGCGAACGGCCATTGAGAAGTCCGCTCGTATGCAAATTTCGCGCGGCTCGTACGGAACGAATGTCAGAGAATGCGCGTCCCAACGCTATTCACGGCTGCCGCGCGCGAATCGCCCGCGCCCTCAAAAAAGGAAGACATTATCTTTGGAAAGTTGAATGAGTAGGGGACTACATGAAAGGGTGGGTTCATACTGATTCCCATGTTCTGGAACTGTTCCCGCACAGTTCCCGCACTGTGGTGGAACTGTTCCGAAACTGTGCTGCATGCGCTGCAACCGCCCAGCTCGGGTTTTGCACGCAGGAGTTGGAGAATTTTGACTGTTTTCAACGGTATCTCTTCAAGATTTCTCTCATTTTGGCCTTATTCCTCCCTCGTTTCTCCTAGTGGTTGAAAAAGCTGAACTTGAAGCGGGGTTGAGGAATGAACGTTGTTCTTCCATACTTATCCCAAACATGCACACGAAAGAAAACAGCATTCTCTCCTCAACTCCGCTTCAAATTCGCAGCTTTTCTTATCACTAGGAGAAGCGGGGTAGAAGAGAGGAAGGGAGAAGCAACGATGGAAACAAAAAAGGGGCTGAGACCCAAAAACGAACTTCATCAGGAAACAAGAGCAAAGTTCCAATTTCCGCATTTTCAGAATGTTCGCATGTTCTAATTCGAAACAGATGCCTGCAGAAACTACGCAGCGGCTTCCTGAAACAAAAGGAATACGTTTGAGCGAAAAGAAAACGAAGTGAGAATGGACAAGCGCAAGAACAGACATTTTGTCGGGTACGGAAACGAAGAAAAGCGCTCAATCTTCAACACCGCTTCGAGTTCGAAGTCCTGCTGATCAGAAAAGAAAGCGGGGTAGAAGAATGAGGACAAAATGAGAGGCATCTGAAAGAAAAACCGTTGGAAACGGTCAAAATTCTCCAATTCCCGCCGTTCAAAACGCGTGCGGGGCGGCTGCAGCGCATGCAGCACAGTTCGGGAACAGTTTCAGGGGTGGAGGACATTAGGTCGCCGAAAAAGGGCGGTCCTCGCGGTCATTTGCGACAAATACGCACCCTTGTACATGCGCGGACATGCGTTCCCGCAGGGAATCCGCGCGGGACTCTTCCAAATTCGGCGACCTAATGTCCTCCACCCCAGTTTCAGCACAGTACGGGAACTGTGCGCGAACAGTTCCGCAACATGGGAATCAGTGTGAACCCAGCCAAAGTCATGCGGGTTATGACGCGATGCAAGGTACATCGGCTCCACAATTCACGCGGGGAAGGACGTGCGGGCCTATCAGCGGCGCGGTTCCTCCTAAGTTGAGAGCTTGATAAATTGATCATCTGAAAATCAGGACCGATCTAGCGGCAATTGTGGAGGCGATGATACCGTCCCTTTGACTGGCGCTGAGGCTTATAGCCAAAATGTTCTCCTACAGTCGGTGTCAACGATCTGCTATCCGCTTCAATTCAGTGAACTGACCAATAGTGAGGTGGATGAAGTGGGTCAACCGGATCAAGCAGATAACCGCTTCGCTGTTGCTTAGTTCACTGAATCGACCGATGGCGAAGCGGATCAAGCGGATTAAGTGGATTAAGCGGATCAAGTATGGCGGGTGCCTAATGAGTAGTTTATGAAACTCTAAGAAACATGACTCTCCAGTGGAAGTAACAGTGTAAGATGCGAAATCATGACTAAACTCGAACGAAAATCACGTACAACATCTATTCTCAAATAAGGGAGGGGGCGAGAACCTTCGCGCGCTCAAAGGCAGCGTCCAGGCAGATCTGGACCTATGGGGGCTTTTACGTGGAAAGTATTTTTGGGGCCCTAACTAAGGCACTCCCTAAGTGGCAGCTCAGGTGGTGCTCTAATGGCTGAGATATTCCCCTCGAAATTGGCCCCCGCGAGTGTTCGCATGGATTCATGGCAGTTTTGCGCCAGGATCCACGCTTTGCGCCATGAATCCATGCGAAACACGGTCGCGGGGACCAGTTTCCAGGGCAATATCTCAGTCATGAAAGCACCACCTGAGCTGTCACTTGGGCAGTGCCTTAGTTAGGGCCCCAAAAGTACTTTTCACGTAAAAGCCCCATAGGTCCAGATCTGCCTGGACGCTGCCTTTAAGCTTAACCAGTTATGACTCGCGTTTGACTTTGTTTTGATGCACTTATTTGAATAAAGAACAAGTCCAAGCTTTTTAGACATTGCGGCGCTGGCTCCACCTTAGAACACTAGCCTCGAATCACCAAAAGTTCAACTCAATTCACAAAAGCAAAAACTTAGAAAAGATAATCAATATCGATTTCACTAAAGGGGTGGGGGCTAAGTGAGCAGCCTGATTATAAAAACATAGTGGAGGCAGAATTCTGGCATATAGAGGTGATCAGAAAGAGGATACGTTCTACGGAGAAAGGGCATGGTTATTTCTATCACATGTGTTGACACGGCCCGGTGGAGCAGGGTATGCCAACTAGTAACAAGTTATACTGATGAGTATTCATGATCCGTTACTCTGCCACATCAATTTCAGCTACCATTGCATTTCTACAGCTGCATAACGTCAGAGCTTTGTAAATACACTGGTAAACAAGCCCTAATTTTAAACAAAAATCGCTTTATTTCGGGCATGACAGATCGGAACAAAATGCCGCAAGGAGCGAAAGTTGTGGCTAGCAGTGCGTGAGAAACTTGAGATACAATTTTGGTTTTCAATCTAGGTCTAGAGCAGCTTCAACTGGAGGCTTTTATTGTGTATAAATAGAAGAGCCGAGACGCAAGTATAGGCGATTCATAGCATGCAAAGACTGCGGACATATCGGCGTCTCCGTGATCGAGGGTTCTTTCGTTTCTCTTACCGTCTGCTGTCTCTCCTATGCACAAACTATCTTCGTCGGACGCAACGGCGCCCAGTCTTTGCGTGTCATGAATCGACGATATCTAACACTGAAGACCAAGTCTAGAACATCTCCGATTTATACAATTGTTCAAAATTCACTACTCATGCCAACAGGAAGCAGCACCAACACGAAAACCGAGCAATATCTGACAAATTGCAAAACTATTCAAGGATGGATGCGAAGTATAAGGAAAAGGACTCCATTACCTTACCAAACAACAGGTCTGTCCTATTTTTCAGACAACTGCCACAAAACGATCAAGGAAGAAAAATCTAGGCTCTACATATCGTGAACGATGTAAGTATCTCATACGAATGGAAAATCGGGAGAATGCGAGAGAAACTCAAAGTCAAAAGTAACACATGAGAACTGAATGTAGGGTGTCATTAGCATTATTTATTAACGAAAGTCCAGCTAGATGAACAAAGTATTGATCGACTGAAACTGATGGAGCCGCATTGCGAATAAGTTAAACTTCTCTAGAGGCTGCAAGCAACTGATACGAATGCTTGATAACGTGATATTACAGAAATTAGATATGTCCAACATGTCAATAGCGCTGCAAACACAAGTGCAACTGTAAAAAAGAGAATGGGTACGTGACAGTCCGAGCTTTGGCAGGTGCCAGAGTAAGCGAATATTTTGTTCAGGTTGGGGTCCCGCGCAGAAGACGTCACTTGGATTGACGCCAGCATGGTGAGTGACGTCCATTTCTGCGCGGGACCCCAACGTGAACAAAATATTCGCTTACTCTGGCACCTACCCTACCGATCAGCTTCAGCGCAGCGCTAGAACCGCGTGCCGCGGCGAGCGTACAGCTTGAGCGTTCAAATCTGCTGCATTGGCGCCCGCCATACTTGATCCGCTTGATCCGCTTCATCATTGGTGTCAATTCAGTGAACTGACCAGTAGTGAAGTGAATGAAGTGGATCAAGCGGATTCGGACAACCGCTTCGCTATTGCTCAATTCACTGAATCGACCAGTGACGAAGCGGATCAAGCGGATCAAGTGGATTAAGCGAATCAGGTATGGCGGGTGCCATTGGTAGCAGAGCGCTGCGCATTGTCTACGCGCTGCGGATGGGTAGACACTGTGGAAAAGGGAGCACGTGGCTGGCAACTTATGCGTTTGAGCGCTATTCCACATTAGTTGACCCAAAAAAATGAAAATCGTGAAATTCGCTGAAACTTCGTCTAGGGAGGTAATTTGGCATGTTGAACACGAATATGAGGTTTATCTCGTGCGACAGCGCCAGCAGTGGAGTTACGGTAGATTACGGTAGGGAGGTCAAAACTGATTTGCCCGAAACTTGGCCCAGAAGGGTGATTCGGCCCGCTGATGCTGGATATCACATCGGTTTTGTACCGTAGCGTCATTCTCTCGGATTACCCTGGGTATACAGTAGAGGGTCAAAATCTCAAAATCCGCTGTAACTTCGCACAGAGGGGTTATTCGACATGCTGATTAGAAATGTCACACTTTCTCCGCACGAAAACGTCTCCCTGCATGGTTGCAGTAGGTTTACGATAGGGTCAAAATCACAAATCGGCAAATGTATCTTTTTCCTGTGCTTTGCTTAGGCAAAAGCCGCAGCAGGGTGTGTAGCGCGCGGCGGTGGTCTTGTGTGCAAAGCTTCACGGTCTTCCGAATCGCCGCACATCCGTTTCAGGCAGAACTATGTTTTACATCCGTTTCCGTGTAGCTACCGCAACCCGAGAAAATGACGCTATGGTTCGAAACCAATGTGATAAGTGGCATCAGCGGGCCGATTTACCCCTCTCGCCATGTTTCGAGCAAATCGGTGATTTTGACCGCTTACCGTAATCCTACCGTAACTCCACTGGATGAATGGAGCTGTCGCACGAAATAAACATCATATTCGTGTTCAGCATACTAAATAACCCCCCTAGACGAAGGTTTTAGCTAAATTCACGACTTACATTTTTTGGGTCAACTAATGTGGAATAGACCGTTGTTTGTTGCAAACATGTTGTTGCACATTGCTAACATGTTAGTCATAGTGCCGCAGGTCAGAGACGCGGACCAAGGGTAGCAGCAACGTAAAGGGGGCAGGACTAGCCAACTATTCCAGGAGGTTATTCCTGCGAATCGTATAATTCCTGCAATTCTTGCGATTCCTCGATTTCCGTGTGCCGCACTACGGAGCGCCTTGCAAATTTCACTATACATTGTTTTTTCGAAATATACATTGTTATGGGGCCCGCAGCAAGCACAGGAGTTACTGGAATAGTATGGCCGGTCCCGACGAAATGTCCCTATGTTCCCACAACTCTTTCTCAGCTTGCCGCCTTTCGTTTTGGCACGCACGTTCATTTGGAGAAATTGCCGAGTTTGTTGATTACATGTTGAGGTGAAAGACAGCGAGCTGACGTGGTGCCTATGTAAACATCTCTGAGGGGCAGACAATACCCCTTGAAACAGGAAGACCAGGAGCATCTGTCGCCGCTGGGTGGGGGAACGAACTCCGCCAGTATGGGCCGCCTCCGCGGACTACTGCTCGCGACGACATTCAACAAGTTGCAAAAGGATTGGTTGCGGTGGAGACGGCTCAAAACTGGCCGTTCCCAGGTACTCAGACATTCGTGGTTAACACGCGCAGGAGATCCGCCCACAAAACGGGGCAGCGCGGAAAAATGAGCACTGCTTCGGCATACGCGCTTTTGTTGCGACGTTCGGACTAATCCCGAAACTAAAAAGGGGGCGGGAGAAATTCGTAACACCCGTCGCGACTCCCGAAAATGGCCTTGGTCGCGATTAGTCGTCTAAAATGGTCTTGTCTGTAATCACGCATGCTTCGCCCTAGGCGTCTAAATTCAAAAAAGAAGTTGCGCCGTTGTGTTAATGGTGGAGCGGGCTGATTCTTCCGGTGAATCTAGTTGATATGTGTTGTTCGAATCTGTCTTATTGAAATAGTCTAATGCTTTGCTGGTTTAGTGAGATTTTGAATTCATGTCTTAAGTGTCGCTGTTTCTTTGTTTTTTGTTACGCATTGAGGGGTTAACGGTCAGCATTCTTTTTTGTCCCACCTTTACGATTGACATTCTTGATTTGAGTGTTCGATAAGAGTTTCTTGTTCGTTACAGCATTTTCCAGTTCTTCTCAACGTCGTGCTCGTCTTCATCATCTCGTCGATCATTAGGAAGTGTATGACAAATGCGTTCAACCCTCTATTCAGGAAGCAATTCGCATGCTTGACCCGTTGGGAGACAAGCAACAGAGTTCGCCCTGATTCGATAGTCTCTCCACATCGTCGACCGCAATGAACAGTAACTCGTCGGTTTCATCCGGATCACCACTGAGTCTCTCGTCTCATCTCAGAGAAAGCTCAGGCGCACTCTCACGTCCCACTTGGCTCTTCATAGTCAGGTTGGTTCGTTTTGAATATTGCAAGACTTTTTTGTAGTATTTCTGATCACAATGCGAAACTCTTAGCATTAATTCGATTTTTCTTCTCTATAACTTCTTTTTTTGCTCTTTGTTGCCTATTCTCTATCACCTATCCATTGTGCATCCCTATGCTGAATTCTATAATTTTCATAGAAGAAAATGATTTAGAGTCTGTTCTTATACGCGATCTTATCAAATTCACTAAATATCATTTTAGCTAGCTGATCTTGCCTAACTGAAAAACTTTTGGAAGTGCCCTTGCAGGTTCAGCTTGCGAAAAATTTTCACATATTTCGAGTTTCTGTTCACTATACGCGAGATTATTATAAACCTTTTTTGATTACATTATTATTTATCACTCTGGCGTAAGCAGGAAGTCGAAACATAAGTAAAATGAATGCAAACCATTGTTCGTAACAGTCTCGTTCCTGCTCGCATAGAAACAACGAACTGCCATAGCTTTTTGACTCAGGCCTGCTCCACTCCTCCTGCCTCAACCATGGTAGTTTTCCTAACAAGTGAGTAATCACTCCCCTAGTAGAGTGTACTAAAACTGGTTTTTTAGACTTCATATTAGACGCTTTTGGCTTGTTCGCGGATGAGCTTCTTCTAAGTGCCGCTGAATGCGCAAGACAAGCTAATAGGTATAGCCAAAGATTTTTTAGAGCTCTCTGATTTCTCGTGCTTTCAGTTACTGGCATACGCTAGGAGAGAATGATCAACAACGCACGAAGAGATTTGATAGCATGGTGCAAGCCAGATTTACTTGGAATGGAAATATTCGTTCAGCATTGGCAAGAGCATTGTAGGCTTTCATGTACCCTTCCAATAAATATATATATATATATCTTCAATTTAGGGGAGACCTGCGCGCTTATTCGTTCAAGCCGGAAAAGAACGAACTCGTTCCCTCTTCGGTAATATATACATCCTTTCTATGCGCATCAGCCTTAAAATGGCATCTTTATTCCAGAAAAAACGCACTTGTACAGTTGCAGTGGCCACCGATCCGGTCCAGGTCAGGGATGAGTACAAAGAATATGAACACGAAACACTTTGAAGAAATTCTATCACACATAAGCATTACTATTACTTTTGTTTGTTCTAACATGTTCTCATTATCACCGCACTAAGTAGAAGAACTTCCATTTTTATATCCCATTCCACTTATGATGCTCTTGCTTATTTGTTTACATTCCTATAACTTGAAGATCCGAGGCCGTATTCATTATTCATACCTTGAGGTAAATCTTACTTCCAGGTAGTTTAATCACTCATTATCATAAGTTTTATCACTGATAATGACTGATAAAACTACCTGGAAGTAGGATTTACCTCAAGGTATCAATGATGAATAGGGCCTCTCAATTCACTAGGCCACTGTTATACTCTCATTCCATTTATCATGGTGCTCTTGCTTTGATTTGTTTGCACTCTAACCTCAAGATCTAAATTCACTTATTTTGTGTGTGCACTTGTTTGAGAAGTTCTCAATAAACATCTGTTTGAGTACTGATAAGAGAATAAACTTGAAAACATGGGTATTCAATGCATTTCAAAAAATAACTAAGAGAACAGCGATGAGCGCAAGTTACGCCGTAATTGAATTCTCAACATTACCTGGTCTTGCGCTAAAGCTCAGTTTTTCTCCCGGTCTGCGTGAGTGCGGGAGAATAACTTGTCTCGTGCAGCAATCTCCCGATCACTACGCCAGTGTTCCGAAATTCTCGCGACTGTTTTAATTGAGTCCCGCAGTCATTCTGTCGCTAAATAACTTTTCCTTGCGCGCGAGTCAACCACGAGTGTCTGAGTAGAGGAACGAACACCTCAATTCGGAACCGTCGCCGCGGACTGCTGGTCCTTCCGTCCTACTGTTGTGCATCGTGTTAGGAAGAGTGGTCCGCGGAGACAGTGCCTAATTGGTGTTCGTTCTTCCACCCGCCGTTCCCCTCGGGGCGCTATTCGGAGACTATTGTGGTGGCGCCGAAATCGTTGTTAGACCATTCTTGGTTGATCCTCTGCCGTCTCAGCCTATAAGAAGCGGCAGCGCAGTATTTGCGAGCTTGTTCCTCTTTTGTCTCTATCGTTCTATGTACTGGGTTGGAAGTCCTGTCCGATTTTTAGTTCACTTGTGTCAGTGCAGCCATTTTCTTATAGTTTTGCACTTATTGCAGTGTTATAAACTCTTTTCAATGCTTACTGATTCTCGACGAAACATGTTCCGTCGAGAATCGTCGAGAATCGTTTTGTTGCTGTGAGCATTCGCTTCACAGTCCAAAAAAATTCCGAGTTCAGAAAATTCGAAATTTCGAATTTGAATTCAAAAATTCAGATTCAGCACCCATTCCAGACGCTATCGAGGGATAGCCTTCGTAGAAGTAGAAAGCCTCTCACATCCTTGCAATTACTTAAAGGCAGTGTCTCACCAAAATTTAGTTGCCGAAATTTTTGCATTTTGCAAGCCTGTCGGACCCTGTCTAGCACTATATGGGCTTAAAATCGCACGAATTTCCCAAAAACCCCGTTTTCTGGAGGCCCCGCGGAAGCAAGGTGGACGAGTTGTACCCAGGGCCCGGCACCGATGGTTTGGGGTCAAACTGGACGTCGTTTTTGGAGTTGGAAGCAGCGGGGACATCGTTTTTATGAGGTCGTGGAGGAAGCGCCAAAAAACACGACGAACATGTCAGGTTTCACGAGTTGAACGTGTTCTTTCGCAAGCGCGCGAATTTCAAATGCAAGACTCAAACAAACAAATGGCTTGTTTACAGCGCACAAACAATCACATGGCTCCGAATTTGGGCTATGAGTATACAATATTACTCCAAACTATGTTATGTAAAAAGTTCTCAAAACTTATGTGTCTGAATACCCGTTCCGGATTTGTTGGTTTCTAGACCAACCACCGAACCAACTGGGTTGGTTCGGAGCATAAATTTCGGAGAGTTCACATAAGTTTTGGACCTTTTTGATTTGGACGATTAAAACGCTCAAAAATCTATTATATAGTGAAGAGAGCGAATGAAACTATTGCCTCTCCTCTTCTTTTGAACTAAAAGTAGTGCAAATCTATACGCCTTGATAGATATTGCGTTCCAATCATAGCGGTGTCCTTTGAACTATGTGGCGAAAAACGCACTGCCAGATTGTTGAGGCCACAGATTTGGTTGGCCTAGGAGATTTTCGACATTCTGAGCGCTAAAATGGTACACTCCCAATGACAGAGCCTTTAATCAACTCGAAATGTTTTCTTTTTGCTTTTTTGTTATTAGTTACCTCAAAATGCGCTTTTTTCGCTTTTTTAATGTTATTTTGACTAGTTAAGGGTTTCCCTACTGATTTTTACGTCAAGAGGGAGAATATAGTGCGCGCGGGCCGTACGCTAAGGATTCAAGGCGCGCGGGCCGCACGGTACGTGACCCTGCCCGTAAATCTAGGCGCGCGGGCCGCACTGCTGGCTATTAGCAAGCAAGCGCCGCACGCACCGAATGTCAGAGCAGCTTCTCTCTGGTGAAAATTTGGGTTACGAAGTTAAGTTGCCAAAAACAGTCATGCCCGAGAAAAAAGTTTCTATGAAGAGGATTTCCGCAGCGTTCGTTAAATAACCTGTGTATCTTATTAGGTTGTAAAAGACGATAAAGATTGAGTTAAACTGTTTCATTCATATCTTCATCATGGGTGGTTGTCAATTAACGATATCTTAGTCCACAAACAAACCACTCCACTATTTGCACAAGGTTGGACATGTGAGAAAATTACAGTCGGCACCTCACTTCACCAGCATACCTTGGCACGTAGCCAACTCTATCGTGCGACGCTTGTAATGGTGGTTCCTTGGCTTTACTGTAGCCTGAGGCGAATAGCGCCTGGTAGAGTGTGTTATATAGAACACATTAGCTAATAAGCTTTATGAACAGGCGACCTGCACTCGTGGGTGCTGTGGTAGAATGCTAACGATAATAGGCGTGGCTATATAAGTTACTAGGCATCTGGACGGTAAACAGAATTATATCGCAGCAGGTCATGCTTATAGCATGACCTTTACGGTACTTATTCAACGAGATACAGGCGAAGTGATATAGAATTAAGGAGGTGCCGACAATATCGGCACACTCCCGCCGGCAGAAGGAATAAGGAGCGGAATGTTGGAAGTAATAGCAAAGTAGCAAATCTAAGCATGCAGCAACAATTTTGTCTATAAAGCGGTGGCGTTTGTCTGGATCTCGTAGAGGTCGTTGCTGCACTGCGACGCGATTGAAGATGAGGCGCCGGCGATTTGAGGGACTGTCATGAAGTGGAGAGGAAGACGAGTGTAAACTAGAATGGTGTATACTTCGTTTCTGTAGATTAGCATATACTTGTGAATATGTATGGAGAGGTTCGCGACCACGCTTCTTGTCGTGCTTCATCTCGCGTCGAAATTGCAAACTCTGGGAATGTCGCCTTTTAGTGACATCAGAGCCTGTGTTTGCCTGTGGCATTCCTGATGTAATGACCTGTGCTAAGGTCATCCTCCAGTCTGCGGTAGACTGTAGATTGCCATCACTGTTTTCAGCCTCCGTCTTGTAGCTTTTGGCGTCGTTTTCACTGTCGCTTCCACTATTGACATCTTGCATCGCATCACTGATATATTCCTCTTCTGGAATACCGCTGATGCTCAACTCTGATGGTGAATCATTGTTTTGATCATCGAGCGGAATATCAGCTCTCTGGCTTCGTGTGGCAAACGATCTTCTGCATGTCCTATTCAGTTCCATCTCGCTTAATGTTATACGGGCTTGCAGAAGATGAACAAACATGCGAGCGTCAGTAATGGTTTTGAAAAATCTTATCTCTTTTTCCAGTTTGTCCCATTCCTCCGCCATCACCTTCTTCGCAGCTTCGTGATTAACTTCCTCGAGCCTTTCCATCATTATTTCGTAGTCCATTTCCAGCAATTCGATGCTCTCTTTGACTTCCCCTGTGCATTTTGTAAGCATATCCAGATGTGACTTGCCTAGTTCTTGGCGCCCTTGATCGTCTGGAAAATTTTTGTTCTCACCGTGGCACGCGTACTTCTGCAGTAATTCCGCGAGTTCCTTGATAGACGTTCTGATTACATCTTTGAGGAAAGGCGAAATCCTCAGTGTTCTTGTTGTTGTGCTGCTCTTGAGCAAGCACATATCGGTCGTATTTGGCCGATGCACCAAATGTAATGGTGGTTGCTTGGCCTTACTGTAGCCTGAGGCGAATAGCGCCTGGTAGAGTGTGTTATATAGAACACATTAGCTAATAAGCTTTATGAACAGGCGACCTGCACTCGTGGGTGCTGTGGTAGAATGCTAACGATAATAGGCGTGGCTATATAAGTTACTAGGCATCTGGACGGTAAACAGAATTATATCGCAGCAGGTCATGCTTATAGCATGACCTTTACGGTACTTATTCAACGAGATACAGGCGAAGTGATATAGAATGAAGGAGGTGCCGACAATATCGGCACAACGCTGTTCTCATAAGAATTTTTGGATTCAGCCTTCTTTATAGACGTCTGCTCAGCAAACGGAGATTTTTGCTGAAGCTGCAAAGGAGAAAACAAGAAATGGGACTATTTGGATTCTGTCTTCTTAACGCGAAAATTTTTTTCTCGTTTACTTATCACTTTGCCGAAATATATTTGCTCAATAAGATCGTGTTTTCCCAGGGTATATGCATTCTGGCGTGTTTTCCCAGGGTATATGCATTCTGGCGAAGTGAGAAACGTTCGAAATACGGGCGCAAAGGCATAGTTGGCTGTGTACCACAGGGTGCAGGTCCTCAAATGAAGTGCCTACTGTAAGTTTTTTACATGTCCAACCTTGTGCACATAATGGTTTGCGTTTGGTCGAAGGGCTTTTTCGGATGAGATGTATATCATATTGAAGGGCATAAAACGCTGATTTCAAATCTGCCTTCTTTATCCACAGAAAGTTTATGGACGATGAGTTATGAGCGCTTATTGGAGCAAAAAATTAAATGTGCAAGTAGGACAAAAATAGTCGTCTTTTTCTAGCTCTTCAATGGAGCAGTAATAACCATTAGAGCACTTTTTTCCAAAAAATGCTCTAAAACGCTAGTAAAAAAAAACATATCACACTTGGTTGTTTGGAACTGGTAAGACTTTAGCAACTCCTTTTCGCCAAAATGCGCATTCAATTTTTGGCTGCAAAACTCATAACTCCTCGTCCATAAACATTCTGCAGACAGGGAGGACAGTTTGGGATCAGCGTTTCATGCCCTCTAATATAGTATACATCTCATTTAGAGGCCACTTCGACTAAACAAGTATCCCTCGTAAGAAACGAGCTGGGTGCGTGTCGAAACAAGCTGAGAGTTCGATTTTTCGAACTTTGATATCAAAGGCAGCGTCCAGGCAAGTCCGGACACATGGGGGTCCCATGTGGATAGTAGATTTGGGTCCCTATCTAACCCACTGCCCAACCGGCAGCTCAGGTAGCTTTAATGGGTGAGATATTTCCCTCGAAACTGGACCCCATTGTCGTATTTCGCATGGAGTCATGGCGCAACGCGCGGTCGTCGCGCAAAACTGCCATGAATCCATGCGAATACGATCTTGGGGTCCAGTTTGGAAGCGTATATCTCAGCCGTTAGTCAGTCACCTGCGCTGCCGCTTGGACAGTGTGCCTTATTTGGGGCACTAAAATTCTTTCCACGTAAAATTCTCCATGGGTCCGATCTGCTTGGTCCAGATCTGCCTGCCTTTTCTGCCTAGGTGTAGAAAGCCGATTCGCCACATAGAGCGCGGTAAATCCCCTATCATGATACCATTTCGGGAGAAGGCCCTTCTGAACCCACCGTCCACTACAATAATCAACAACTGGGGCGCGGGCGCAGGCGCTGCGCTGGGTGCGGACGAGCGTTCCTCCAAGGGCTCGTACTTTCGAAAATCACCACTTCCTTCTATCCCGTTCCAGCATCTTAGAATGCAAGCCAGTTTCACTGGATTAATTCATACCATAGCTACTACCCGCCAAATCTCGATAATCTAAGCCCCTCTTGTCTACAGGTATGTTTTTCGATATGAAAGACGTTTTCGGAAAGTTTTTAGCTACGTGATTCGTAAAAAAACAAGTTCTTAGGAACTCTTCTACGTTCAGTATTCTTGCTTTCTCCACTTATATGATTTTCTTATGTGCGCGAGCTGCTTTCTCCATAAGCATGCATGTGGACCTCTTTATGATTCAGAGTACATGATGCCTACTGCACGGGAGAAAACGCGGTCGCTTTATCGACCAAAGGCGATCATTTATATCCGGCGAGAATATGACCAGGGGAACTATTGATGTAGTTGTTGGTAAGAATTTCTCACTCGTCATTAAGGAAAAACGTATGCTTTCCTTACTGGCATCCATATCGCATATATCAATTGAATGTGACTAGATGATGCTGCAAGGATTGCAGACGTAGGAGAGCATGCAGTTGGACTTAACGCAAGTTTGAAAAAAAAACTACAAGTTGAGAAGCTGCAAAAACATCAGAAATGTTTGTAGGTTGGAAATATACCACATTAGGAAGTGGGGCGGAATCAGCGTAGCAGAACAGTACAGTGAATAACTTCCCTCCAAAATCTCATTGTAGATTACTACAAGCAAAACTCGTCCGTCTCCGCAACGTGCCAGCTGAGGTCAACCGCTCACCACCGCATGGCAACCAATCACGAAACCTCTCATTAGCGCTGACCTCTTAGAGTCGTCACGATTTGAGCAGGTTCAAAAGGGCCTACACCTGCTTGGACCACGCAGGCGCGGCTGAATCGTCGCGAGAGCACTACTTGTACAATGTGGATTTGTACTGGGGCAAGCGTTTTACCTCGCGGCGCGTGCCAGTGACATCCAGTCCGTGCGGTCAACGAATCAACTATACTTACCTTGCTCCCTGTGAGTTCAATAAAATCGATACCGATCGATAAAGAAAAGTAGCTTATGACATCCGCCCTGCCCCAAAGTGTGTTTGTGTCCAAAATTTAGTCCGGATCGGTTTATAAATGAAATTTTTTATTCGGGGCATACATACGGGCAGACAGACATTTAGCGTTACATGTAAGACTGAACCACCTCCCCTAACATTTCCATGCCGATGTTTATATATTCCATTTTTCAATACCTCCTTCTTTGAGCAGACGCATGAGTTCGCCACGGGTTAGGCCTCATTCCATTTTAAGGCAGCGTCCACGCAAATCTGGACATATGGAAATCTCACGTGGATAGTAGTCTTGGGTCCTTAACTAAGGACGGCTGACGGCTGATTCACCTCGAAACTGGACCCCAGAATCGTATTCGCATTCATGGCACAATCCATCAGTTTCGCGCGAGGACCCACTCGTTGCGCCATGAATCCAAGCGAAATACGATCTTGGGGTCCAGTTTCGAGGTGAATATCTCAGCCGTTAGAGCACTACCTGAGCTGCCGGTTGGGCAGTGCTTTAGTTAGGACCCCATTACTTTCCATGTAGAATCCCCATAGGTCCAGATTTGCCTGGATGCTGCCTTTAACTGACACGCGGCTTTACCCAACGTTTTCACGAGAAGTCGATTTGTGACTAACTAAGATGTTTTTTACAATCATACAGCTTATCTAGAAGTAGGAAGGGCTGATGGTGAAGTCCTTTATTATGGGGAAATTCGCACTGCGATTGGCCTTTGACAGGTAGAACCTTAAGAAGCCCATCATGATAATCACAGGAAGTGGTCCTTTTGAAAGGCAAAGCCAGCCAGCCAGCCACACTCCAATATGTCTTGCTTCCATTCGTTTGTAATCGCAGTGTCTTTGCAATCTCTTGCAAAAAAAACCTGGCGTTATTACTTTGAGATTCCCGTTACGTGATTGCTAAAGCGTTTGCAGTTAATGAACGGTCGTACTCCCAGCATTTGCTGCGTGATGACTTTTATTCCACGCCTGACAACAGAACAAAAGAGGAGATCGAATTTGTCTGGTAGAGTAGTAATAATAACAAGCAATACTAGAAAAAGGATCTCTCCTATGAACGATACGACTTCAACAAAAACAAGTATCCCAGGCTGCTTAAACTATGAACTGTATTGAGTTAAGTTTAGTTAACCAGAAGGACATACATGGAGGACATGACTATCAAAAAAAAAAAGGCAAGTGCGATCTGTGTAGGCATTAGGAAGGAAAAGAGAAGGCACAACACTGACTGAGGCATCAAGCAAGAGAACCGTTGATGAAGACTAAATGGTGTAATACATGAACGTTGAACTGTATGGAACCGTAGATGGTCATAGTAACCATATGCCAGCGGCATGAATAAGTGATAACGGTACAAACAAAAAGGGGATTATTACTAGAAATTATCACATTTGCGCGTGTTATAGAAAATAGACAACTGCTAGATACTTTTGTAAGTAACTTCCACCTTCCATTCGTGATAGTGCAAAGTGTTCGACCAGGAAAGTAAAATGAGCACCAATATGGTTACATGTATAGTGCTTACCTATAAAACATTCAGTCCTTAAAACTAGATGATACAAGCATGGCTGAAGTTTTACTTATCAAGGTGCACAAGTTCAGAAGTGCATGGAAATCAAAATTACTAGCGATTTTAAAGACATTCTGTTCAAACTACCGATACTGAGGCGGATAAACGGAGGATGATTGATAGGAATCAAGATTGTAGCCCAATATGTTGAGAACATCTGCTGGAGATTTTCCATGTAACTTCATAAGGTGGTGTAGTTGTGCAGCGAATGGTGACGATGTGCTACTGGCCATTGCCTGAATTTTTTTTTTCAAATTGAGCTTGGCTACCAACCACTTCACTTGCAGATTTGTTCTGATTGCAGCAAATTGTTTTATGACAAAAAGAAGCTATTGGCGGTACAAATGAACAAGTTTTGCATTCAAGGTAATTTCTGTTCAACCTGTACATGATTGGAGTAGCCATTCACCGGTACCGTTGGCAACGTAGTTTCCGGAAATGTCTCTCGGCAAGTGACGACAGCAATTCGCAGCGGCGTAAAACTGGAAAGTAGCCGTTTTATATTTAATCGTAACTGGAGGCGTAAAAGACTGTGTACTACAATGGAAAATTAATAGGGGCAGCCCCTTTTCTCTTTTGCTGCGACTTAGACAATGGCTCAGACCCCACTAAAAAACTGAAAATTTTTTGCTGTTTCGATAACACTTTATTATTGAGGCTGCAGACAAAGCGTGGCGTGGGGCTGTCCGCTCGAGGTGAGGTCGTAAAAGTTGAGGCACAGGATTTCGCGGACTGAACATAGTATTCCCGGCAAATTTTCCAGATCTCCAAAACTGCCGAGGAAATCTAAGTGTTCGGAATCTCCGAGAAAATCAAGCGCAGCCGATTAACCGTAAAGAGCTGATACGCAGCTTGCGCTATTTTAAGAAATGAAGCTCTTGTCATTTTCGAGCTTGCTTCGAATTTGTCACGTTTTTCTTTCGAGACTTTAGTTTTTTTACGTCATCTTAAATCTTCTTCTTTTAGGTAGAACATTGCGGATGCAATTTTAGACGAACAAGACCTTGGAGGAAATGCACTACTTCAAGGATGAACTGCTACATGCTTCTCAGTGGAGTTAATGTAGAAAATTGTTCTGATTCTGCCTAAGCCTGTGGCTAAGTCTTCTAAGCAGTACCGTATATCGTCGCTTCATGTTATTGGTTTCCCAAGAATGGGCGATCTTTCCGACTTTGTTTATATGGGATTGCTTGATTTTGAATGGGGCTGTTGTTTTGTGATGAAATACTGTTGTCATTAACTGGGATTGATAGAGATACATTTTCTTCTTCTTTTTTCTAGGGATCGAGATATGCATGACTGAAATGATTCAACTTCGTTTATTAGAGTAAGTCAACGCAAATTGATATTTTTCAGTCTTCTGAATCTATGTATGCATTGCTCGCCTTTATTTCTAATCTACCGCTTTGTTTAGCAGATTTATTTATATCAACTCCATTCAAGAAATAATTCCAGCTTATAAACAAGTCTATGAATTACATCAACGAGCTGCAGACAAACATACTGATCGATCGTACCGTCGATGACATCTCTGCCCCCCAGAGTCTCATATTCGAGCGCCTGCTTAAAGTTAAGCCAGCGTTCGCTGAAAGAGATAATATGACGAGCGCTTGCAGGAAATTTTGCATTGCTGCCCGCTGGCAGAACGCGGAAGTACCGCTTGCTGAAGTTTTCGCCAAGCCCCAAAATTTTGCTGACCGCTTGCAGAAAAGCGCGAGTTTGCGGACCGCCTGCCTCCGGCGATTATCTGAGTCTCCGACCGCCCCGTTACCATTATCATATCGAACGTCTTGCCATCTTTCGAAAAATGTGTTATGCATTATTTGGACTACAAGTCTTCCTTGCGAACTATACTTGAAGGAACAAACCTCATCTCACAAGTGTTATCAAGTGGTCCATTGTGGGTGATGTTTGAGTGGACATTTCTAGTCCTGTGCTGGTCAGCACCAATCTTATACTTCTCTACCAATTGCGCTACAGGCACTAACGAATGCTCAGCTGTCAGGACGTATTCAATCTGAAATTTTTTCCAATTCACGTAAAGGTGTCATGGAGTTGAAAGAGGAGACATGACGGAGACAAACCTTTTCCGACTCAGCAATATCTGCTAGATACTCAAAAGCGCTTTTTGCTTGCAGTTTCTTCAATTCGATCGGCTCCAGATGCACGATTCCTCGTTCTCCTCTTGTAGATATGCAGATGCTTCCTAAAATGATCTTGAAACTATAACGCACACTTTTTGGCGTTTCTGGGGCCAAGCACTTGGATATTGAACCAAGACTCAATCCGCCCGTTACGATGCAGCCCGACCCATTACTACCTAGGGCGACCAAACCTGAATTAGATTCAAAAAGTTTGTTCTGATCACACAGGGACAGCTTTTTTGACCTTGCAATTCCTGCTATAGTCAACAGTCAAGTCGCCGACAAGATGCAAAGCTAACTTCGTGCTTGACCGTTTGGAAGCTTGACATAGCTCAACACTCCTGATTGTTTGGTTAACTGTTAACATGATTGATGTCGCAAGGTCCCGCTATGTGGAATATCAGCTCTTTGTATGGATTCTTGGACTGGTCCTCGCACAAGTGCGACGGCATAACGTTGGACCAGAAGCGAAAAACCTGCTCAGCAAGTTGAGAGACTTACATTTTGGCGAAAGACCTCTCCCACCTGCGCTTTGAAGCTGCAAGCCAGAATGCTCATGTCGCGCTTATTGAGAAGGATTCTTGGAACTCAGCGTAGCAGATAAGCCCAGCTAAGCGAAGACTTTAAAAACTGAATTTTTGCCAGGACACTACCTAAGTCAATGCACAAACTGCGTATTTGGTTTCCTTCACTGGTCTGAAAAGTCAGACACTTATTAACAACTTAACGGACCAAGCTCGATTTCGAAAGAAAAACCCTAGGGTTTTTGAAAAGCTAAAACTGCAGTCAAAAACCCAAAATAAGCTGCTACTCAGCTTGACGGGTGGTAATTTCAGCGTATTGCATTTATCTTTTATCTTAATGCACAACATGCGCTATGACAAACAGAAATCAGAGGGTTAGTGCTCTACAAACTCACCAAACCCACGTTAGTAACAGAACATAACGAAGATACGAAGCCAGCCAAATATTACTTAGCGAAAATAAACCTTTTAGTGGTTTCTTCCATAAGTAGCAAGCTTGGACTAGTAGTCCGAAAGCATTACGATAATATTTTGCACACTAGTCGGCCGAGTATGCTATGGTGTGCCCGATACCAAATGGCATGCCTGGAACCTCACGCTAGATAGGTATGCCGATTGAAACCCTGTCGGACCAGGCTTACCAACAGAATAATACTCTGGGCAAGCTATGCGGGCTACTAGTATTTCCAAGACGAGCTATGAGAAAGAGTTCAGTAAGACAAAATGTAAAAAGAAGTGGACTTAGCGCCGGCTTCAATTTGTGACACATCTTATGCCGGAATCACACGAGGCAAGAACTCTTTTAGTTTGAAACTATAATGAACGTGATGCATTCTGCCATACCAATTCTCAGGTAGGCGTCAGACTACCCGATTGCCTGCTTCAGCAGGACGCGGGACAACTAGTAAGCTGAAGTCATTTGGCTTTATGTTGGACGGAGATTGAAGTGGCGTCTGCGATGTCCGCAACAACATGGTTTTGAAAAGATGATAAAAAGCCTCGCAGAATGAGAGCATAATAAAAAGGCCCTATCAGTAAATTTTTGTTGTGGAGAAATAGGGCTCGCCGAGTTGATTTCCCTACAACGTGACATCACATGACAATAACCGCGCCGGTCCTGCACAGGTAATCGGTGGTCTTGTACTTATCTCGGGTAAAGAAACCCAATCTTTGCAATGTTCTGGTTAATATGTTTGTGCGACCGCCTGAAAAGATTGAGCTGCTTTGCACGCATATTCGATTTCGGTGCACATTTTAGGCTACTTCAGGCAATTCGCTAGGTCTGCGTATCAATTTATTTATCCGGCCTTTACAATGTATCATCGGCTCCACAATTCGTGTAGAGGCGGGGTTTTGCCAACTCAAAGCGTGGCGGTTTTTGATAGCGAGAGAGTACAAAAAACAATGCCATGACGTGGAGGTTCAGCAAGTTTACCTGCATTATCAAGCAAGTCTGCAATACACCTCTATAGGCCGTCCGCGCAGGGCGCGGAGAGTGCGCAAGGTGTGTATTGCGCGTCACTCCTCTTTTCTCGTGCACTCTAGCCGCCTGTTTTTCTCTGCGCTTTTTCCAGTCGTGAACTGCCTTCAATGTACGCAACAGCGTTGCTCTCCGTGCGCAGCACGGACGGCCTATACACGAATCGTGGAGACGATCATACATATCGTCTGCGCCCCAGAGAGGTTCCCATAGGTCTCACTGCCTTTCGCACTTTTGAACGTGTTAACTTCGGGCACTTCCGTTGAAATCTCAGGAGAAACGTGTCAAAAAGAGCCAAAGGCAGCGTCGCACCACGTACGCACGCTGGTTCACATGGGAACCTCTCCGGAGCGCAGAAGGTAAATGTTTTCTCACCGATTTCACCACCTTTCACGGAAACAACAGCAGTAGAGCTCATTTTCATTTTGCGATGATGACGATGTGGTGATTCGAAGCGACCAAGAAGGCAGACTTGTCCATAGGAAAGAAAGGTGGTCGCACTGCGTAACGGGTACGCAGATAGGGAGAGGCACATTGGTGAATGTGAAGAGGGGTGGGAGATGAAAGCGTGAAGATAAAGGATGGAAACAAACAACGAGCAAATTCTGTTGTCAAGTTATATACAAGACTTGTCTCAACTGATCTGAATAATGACCCGGGCGGGAAACCGATAAGGACCAAATTTTGCACACACTTCGGGGCCGGGGCGAATGTCATAGGCTACCTTTCGTCATCGATCGATATCGATTTAATCGATTTTGCAAAGTTCGAGCTACGGGGCTGGGAGTTGACACAGGGGGTAATCGAGCAAGGTGATTACGAATACAATATTAGTTTTTGGATTCACCGATTACCTTTATCGATTTTATCGATTTTTTGCAAAGTTTGAGCCACGGCGCCTGGGAGTTGGCATTGGGGGCGGAGGGGAGTAGTCGAGCATGGTGATAACAAATATAATATTATCTATTGAAATCATCCTTAGTTTTGTTGATTACATCGATTTTTTGCAAAGTTTGAGCCACGGGGTTGGGAGTGGGCACAATGGGAGGGGGATAAGTGATCATGCTGATTACTAACACAGGGGGATAGAGAATTGGCATGTAGAAATGGGCACAATGGGAGTTTTATCATAGTGTATTGACAGGGTCGGGCAGAGCCGGGTAAGCCAGCTATTGCGAGTACAATATTTTTTAGGATTGTTTGTTACTTCAGTCGATTTTATCGATTTCTTGCAAAGTTCGAGCTACGGGACGGGAGGCACAGGGGGGGGGGGCTAAGTAAACATGCTGATTACTAAAGCTGGAATAGGGAATTGCATGGTAGAAGTGAGCATACAATAGCAAGGTTGTAGTTACGTAATAGGGATGGGAGCTTTATCATGATATTTTGACAAAGCCGAGCGGAGCCATGTAAGCCAGCTAGTTGTAATATACAGTTTATCTATGGTTGGGCAGAGTCTGTCCGTGAACAAAAGTACAGTAAAAAGTGGATACAATTGGTCTCTTATCGAGTAGTTCATTGAAAAGATATAACCGCTTCGGCCAACTGAAGTTTTGTGAAATGCTATATACCGGCATTTTTTGCCGCATTTCAGTCAATGATTTTCAATAAGGAATTTACCCACCTCCGGCGATATAGGAGATTCTAAGATACATCACAGAAGACGGTTGGGCCATTAGCATTTCATTTATCTGCAAAAAAATCGTAAACGATCATTTCCAAAAATTCAGACAATAGCTTACCTCATTTATATCCGTCAAGCCATGAAGTATGAAGTCATCCCAGAGTTGTTTGACGTTGGTGCGAGCATCTTGGAATATCTGTAGCACCTCCAGGATACCTTTAAAATCATATAAAAACGTACTGGACCGGGATTTTGTAAATGCAATTTTACCACGCCAGATTGAAAATCTTAGAGTGTTCTGATCACAATCATATCGTAAATGTGGGCAGAGCACATTTTTGAATGTAAGTAGGGGTTCCTCGCCTACAAAAATCCGAACTAATAATTTTTTTTGTAATTTAGCATATAATTATACCTTCTGGAGTGTTGTACTCGCGACAGTCCTCACACTCCATTTTCTCTTTCATGAGCTGAAAGTCAATGTCGCTTAGCGGTCGTTTTACCTCCGCGTTCACCGTGAAATAGGATTGATACAGCTGCTTGAACCGAGACCACTTGATACCGGAAAGAAAGAAGAAATAATCATATCGCGAAAAATGAATGCAAACATATCTTGAGAGGGAGTTAGATTTTACTGCGTTTCTTAACAGAAGAGGAGTAAAAGCCTCAACATTATATAACGACCTCTAACATAAGCCGAGCTCCAACATATTTACAAAAAATGCCTTTTGATCAAAATTTTAGCTTTTCAGTTGCAAATAAGTCTGAGGCAGTGGCCGTGTACGATTGCCTGTATTATTAGAAGTCAATTAACAGTTTGTACTGTGCATCTAACATCAAATTCACCACCGTTATGCGTTTTGACTCTGATTCCCCGCCTGCCTTCAACATTGCATTTGTCGCGGATTCGCGACCCTCTCTCAAAGGAGTCCATCGCCGCGCTGCGAAGGGGTCCCAAAACGCTGTTCTCGCGCTGCTCCCGCCTTCTCATCGCTATCTGCCGCAGCTTTCAAATCAGTCGTCAATGTTGTTACCTGATGAGCGGTTGGGTCCCAGTTTCGTCTTCACTCCAGTCGATCGATGCAGTGCCGTCCCCAACTCACGCTTTCATCTACATTCAACACGCCATGGAGGACCCCATGAGCGCTCGCGCCTGGCACATGCCGGCGACACAGCCGCGAAAGGGGGGGGGGGTTTCGATATTGTCGGTCCCCGTAGGTTCTAACATCTGGCTGGTTGTGCTCCACCCTTGTGTTTGAGTTTAGGGAATTGTTGCGGATGAATGGGGGGCATTTAACATGTGTGACTTGTATTGATGCGGAGAGCCACAGCTCGGCTGTGGCTCCGGGGATATCCTTTGTCATCAATGTTTGTGTGTATCTTACTATAATATCTTTTGATAACTGCCAAAGCGATGCGACGAGGGTACTCTCCTCCCCCATATGCTTTACCGTTGTGCTATGTGTTCTCTTACAGTGTTAACAGCAGATTCGCGACAACCAGGGCAGTCCAGATTATGCGGCGACGAAATATAACTGCGATACATGAACTAACGCGGATGCGCAGAAAAACGCCGAGAGAGTACTGGGGAGCGCATACACTCAAGGAGGATCCACATAGTTTGCATAACAGCGACGTAGAGTTGACGGCGTTCGTAGTTAGTTTCCAGACTGTATGCACTTTAAGTGCAAGTTATAGAGCTTGCTCCGCATGGAAGTGCAAATATCGGCAACAGTCGTCAAAGATCACCTCCTCATTCATAAACAAGCAAGAAGGGGATCGAGTGCGTGTCATGTGCAGAGTTCAAACAACAACGAAATATTGATTCCAGATTACCGAATTAGTGCAAATGTCTGACCCCCCGTTGCTACCATAATTCGGAAAAGTGTCGCCCATTTTGCTTCCTATCCTGCCTAACTTCTTACAATCATTAGTTTTCGAAAAGCACATTATGATATTGAAAAATATGAAGGTTAGGAAAATATGACAAAATAATCTATATTTTACGGGGATTCACTTAAACCTCACCTTTTGAATGCTTGTACACCTTATGAATGCTTGTTTTTGAAAATATTGTTTTTGCCTCTGGAAATAGAAAAACAGGGGGAGCTACGTCTCGTTGGAAGAAAAAATCAGTCGATTCATGCGGTAGTATATTTTCCTAAATTTCTAGGAACATTTTGCTAAATTTCTAGGATTGAATGCTGAATCTCACAAAAACCTGTTAAATACTTACTTTTGAATGCTTTTACAATGTGAAAATTTTGCTTTTGCCTCTTAAAGCAAATGAGGAGAGGGAGCTTGGTCTGCTGAAAGGAAAGACCCAACAAATCCACTCGAAAACATATTTCTTCCAACTAGACTTAATGTGAAAATTCACAGAATTAGCTGCATTTGTTTTTGGCGGCCTCTACTTTGTGAAATCCCTTCTTTTGCCAATAAAAACAACACAGTCTTAATGGAAGAAAAGACTTAGTGTTCGTGGGGCAGGATTTTGATATGATTCTCTAGGTTTCACTGCTGAATCTCACAGGAAAGGCTGGAAATTCAGTTTGGCCGCTTTTATCTTGCGAAAACCGTACTTCTGCTTTAAAAAGCATAAGTCTCGAAGAAAGGAAAGCTTCAAAGGACTTTATGCGGCAACACATTTAGGTTAGGGACTTCTCAGTTTCAATGCTAAATCATGCAAAAGCTCGCTTGAAATACACTCTTGAATACCCAGAGGTTTCATGCGACAGGACATTTTTGCTATTAATGTCCAAGAAAAAGCTTTGAGCAAGCTTTGGTCTCGCTTTGAGAAATGACCGTTTCTTGGCGAGACGTAATAAGGAGAGTATAGGACTGTGCATGATCGCGAAGCTTGATGTGTCAGCGGCCATTGCACAGTTCCTGAATGTCAGCCTGAGTTTGGTTGAGTTTAGTAGCTGTGGTACCTGAATCGGGTACTTGCAAGAAGAACAGCGTAGATGATTTGGGAGTTACTCTGAAAATTTTCCTTGAGAGCATAATCTTACTTCTACTACTACGTACTTACGTTGCCCCAAGATCGTTGAGAAAATGGAAATGATCTTGAAATGAAATCTTGAAATGAGCCTGATCTTGCTTCCACTACTACTTGCATTGCGAAAAAGATCGTTGAGAAAATGGGAAGTCATTCTCTTGCTATTTTTAGTTGCACGCAGACAGTTGTAATGTATCTGCCAAAACCCACTTGCTAGCGACCCGTAGGGTCGTACTGACGCGGGACATTTTTGTTAAGACTTCCTTATTTTCATGGCTAAGTTAGAAAAAACCTCCTTGGAATCCACTTCAAGCAAAAATTCTTGCGCTCTCAATAGCGGAAAAGTAAAGGAGCTTTGCAAGAAGTACAGCGTAGATGATTTGAGAGTTACCTTGTAAAAAGTTTGCTTGAGAGCATGATTTTACTCCTACGACTACATATTTACGTTTCGCCAAAAATCGTTGAGAAAATGGAAGTCCATTTCCTTGCCATTTTAAGTTGCACGCAGATAGTTATCAATGTATCTGCCCCAACCCACTTGGTAGCGACCCCTAGGGTAGACACTGCCGCAGAACATTTTTCCGAACAATTCCTTGTTTTCAAGGCACTATTTTTAGTTGCACGCAGACAGTTATCAATGTATCTGCCCCAACCCACTTGCTAGCGACCCGTAGGGTCGACTGCCGCGGGACATTTTTGTTAAGACTTCCTTGTTTTCAAGGCTAAGTTACAAAAAACCTCCTTGAGATCCACTTCGAGCAAAAATCCTTGTGCTCTTAATAGCGGAAAAGTAAAGGAGCTTTGCAAGAAGAACAGCGTAGATGATTTAAGAGTTACCTTGTATAAAGTTTGCTTGAGAGCATGATTTTACTCCTACGACTACATATTTACGTTTCGCCAAAAATCGTTGAGAAAATGGAAGTCCATTTTCTTCTGCCCCACCCTAGCGACCCCTAGGGTCGCTACTGCCGCAGGACATTTTTCCGGACAATTCCTTTTTTTTCGAGGCAAAGTTATAAAAAAATCCTTGAAATCCATTTTAACCGCGCCTACTTGGCGAAAGTTATGCTTTGGCACCCAAAAGCAGAAAAGCAGAGGAGGCTGGTCTCAAAAGAAGGACAGAGCCACGGGCTTCACGGCAGGACCTTTTTGCTAGATATCCGATAGAAAGCTTCAGCGAGTTTTATATCTTTTAGTATCGCTATAAAAGTGCCTTCATACCGCGGCGGCAGCCGCCGCTGGCAGCCCGTAGCAGCCCGCAGTAGCCGCCAGCAGCCCGTGGCCGTAGCTGGCCGTTTTTGTCATAGAAGCGCAAAATCATCAAATTCTTGGTATTTTAAGCGCAAACGCCCACGCTTTCCATCTTCCACGCTTTTTCCTCCTTGTTGCGGTTAATCTGCAGTTCCACTTTCACACATTACAGAGTTATTCAAGATAAGCACCGGCCAAGGATATAATTGAAGCAGAACCATGCATATAAAATAAGCAGCCCAGAAACTGGATGCACCCAAAGTCAGACGATCACACCGCAAAAAAACTTTGGCGAAATGTGGTTCAACGCGAAAGGGAAACTGAGCACCAATTGGATAACCAATCTACGGCAACAAGATTTTAACAGCAATGACCACAAGTATGATATACGAGATCGAATTGCGAAAACAAAATCGTACTTATGCCTTAAAAAATCAAAAAGAGCAGAGGAGAATTGGTCTCGAAGGGAGGAAAGCTGCAGGAGCTTTATGCGGCAGTGCGTTTCTGTTGATAATTTCTCAGTTTTGATGCTAAATTATACAAAAGCTCGCTTAAAGTCCACTTTTAACCGCTTTTACTTCGCAGAAATCACATCTCTGCCTCTTATAACAAAGAAGCAAAGGGAGCTTGGTCTCGAAAGAAAGGTTCTAAGAGCTGCTTCAAGCGGCAAACATTTCTCCTAAGAATTTCTCAGTTTCTGTGCTAAATTATATAAATCTCTCTTGAAATCCACTTTTGACCGCTTTTATTAGGTCTTAAAGAAAGTTCATGGACACTTGCAAAAATTTTTTTTCGAGTGGGTATAACTTCAAAGAGATTGATTCTTCTTTAAAGCTACAAGCTTCTTTGCAAAGACAATTTTGTTTACAACATATATTTATCTTGCTGGCTTTTCAGCTCTCGCTGCGGTCCACCAGCATGCGCAGAAGGGAAAAAAATCGACGCGAAAAGTAATCTATTTGCGCAGAATATCTCAGGCATGATGAGAGATGGACAGCTCATATGCTGTAGTTATATAGAAGTCTGTCAGGGCTGTCTTGGAGACTATTTACGCCTTTGAGCGACTATCTGCAGAATAAGTCTTTCCAGAAAGGTTAAGAAATCACCATTTTTTGCCTCAAAAATGCACCATTTTTCGAGTAAGCGAATTTGAAGTCTTCTCGTTTTCCACAGGAGACAGCAAATCTTTGATTATTGCGAAGATTGTTGGGCTAATGCCTTTTACATCTTTTGGACCCAATGGCGATTCTCGCAGAAGCGATGTCAGCTGCGAAAATAGTTGCAGTCAGAGGCAAGTTTGACAGCTTGTAATTTCTGAGCGCTGTCGCAAAACAAGTGCAGCTGCGGGTCAGAAAGGTAACAGTCTCCTCGATTGGATCACACACAATTTGGACGAAAACCTATGAACTTCACAAAAAAATGGCCACAGGAAGAAAAATTGTGGAATTGTCATGTTAGAAAGCTTTCCTTCTTTGATGTGCAGATCATACATGCTTTGGTATCGATGAAAATTAGAAGCGGCTTCGAAAATATCAGGCTTCCTCCTACCGAACAGTTCAAAAACTCGGCGTCAAATACCGACGGAGCGGCAAAAAAATGCATTAAAAAACGAAATCTTTAAAAGTGCTCGGACAGTTCCTTTACAACCTAATATTTCGTAGAAATTATACCTCTGCCTCCTTTAACAAAGAAGCAAAGCGAGAGCTTGATCTCGAGGGAAGGAAGGCCTAAGGGCTTCATGCGGCAGTGCATTTCTGCTGAAAACTTCTCAATTTCAATGCTAAACTGTACAAAAGCTCGCTTGATATCCACTTTGGCCGCTTTTACTTCGCAGAAATCATACTTCTGCCCCCTTTAGCAAAAAAGGAAAGGGGACTTGATCTCGTGGTCTCGGTCTATGAGGCAGGACATGTTTGCTAAGATTGTCCAAAAGAGAGCTTTGAGCGGACTTGATCTCGCTTCAAGAAATGACTTTGCGAGATATTTTAAGGAGAGTGTAGGACTGTGCATGATCGCGAAGCTCGATGTGTTTGCGGCCGTCGCACATTCCTGAAAGTCAGTCTGAATTTCGGGTTGAATCAGCTTTCTGCGTAAATGACTGCTTAGGCGATTTCCATTTTTAGAAGCTGGGGTGGGTTTTGCAAGAAGAACAGCGTATATGATTTGGTAGTTAGTCGCTGTAAAAAGTTTGCTTGAGCCTAATTTACTACTTGCATTGCGAAAAAGATCGTTGAAAAAATGGGAATTCATTCTCTTGCTATTCTTAGTTGCATGTAGACAGTTATCAATGTATCTGCCCCAACCCACTTACTAGCGACCCGTAGGGTCGCTAGTCTTATAATCACGCCTAATGGGATAGATCTGTCAGAAGGCTGCCACAATACTAGTTGAGTGCCCCGGTGTAAGTACATCCAACTGTCGATGGTTGGGAGCGTACATCACAGGTGCCGAGTCAACTGCTAAATAGGCTGGTGGCAAGGGCCTCTATTTGTGCATGACGTGGTATGTGGCAGGGCAAGTAGCATTCTCAAAGGTAATCCACCACATCTTACGTTACACCCTTTCCCAGATGGGACCCCTGGCTTTTACCGCCATGCAGGAGAGCCCCAATACCACTGACGTTGGGAGCTGGAAGGCCCAATCCGCGACAGCATTTATTAGGTCTTCCAAAGGCGTTTTCATTTTTGTCCCATGGGCGTTTTAATTTTCGTCCTCATTTCTTAGAGGAGCGGTTGATTTGTGACAAGGTGAGTCTATCATTGGGAAGGGCTAATCATGCTCTCCAAAAATTTTCTACTGATTCCGGTGGAAACCTGATTTACTCAATCTCTTAGCTTCCACGGATGAATCCTGAAAGGCAAAAGGAAGAAATATCGACATTTGCGCATTTTTTTTTATGAAAAGAAGAGTTTTTGCACAGATTTTTTGTCGATTATGAAACATGGCGCTCGCACTCCAATATGAAACAAAAAAGGAACGGATTGCTGGAAAAGATCACGGGCTGAGCAGGGTGTCTGAACAAGACTTTTTGGGGGACGGGCAGGACGTACTGCACTGAAAAATGCTGTACAAGTACGCGATGGTCAAGCATACCGTAAGCAATCCGACTGCGCCATCTAAACTAGGTCCAACGCAGGACGAAGCCTAATAGACAGCCAATATTTTTTTGCATACGAAACATGGCCTCATACGGCAAACGTAGTCAAAACTGTGCTGCATGATTTGACTGGAAGGTACTTCAGTGCCCAACCTACTTTCCAAATCTCGCTTTATCAGATTATCGAGACATTTGTCTTGTCTCGATATCATTTGTTCTGCTCTCTCGCAAGCATCATGAATGGTGCATGTCTCGATTTCAGTGAGTAACTCGTGCGCTGATTAGACTTTTTTGGGACCCGGCGCACTGCCGTTTAAAAAATTGATAGTGAGGAGCTAACGAGTGTGCTAAAAGTAGCTAAAGTGGCTACGAGTGTGCAGCTGTCGGCGACATCAAGGACCATATTCTTGACTGATTTTTACTGTAAATTGATGATTCTGTTGGTTCATAAAAACGCTACGAACCTATCGAACGTAATACTTGCCTCTGAATTGCGAGATTCTCGTAGCCTGACATCCAATATTCCACTAACTTCTGCGATATATGATGCGCTACAACCCAAGCACTCCATGTTACACTAACCCTACCTTTGAGCAGTATCCATCTTTCCATAAGGGCAAACAATACATTGCTCTGATAGACATTCCATTCATGAAGCCTTTTTCTTACCAACTGCTTCTTTATGTTGTCATTTGGGATGTTTGCAAGCATGGCATCATTCTAAAGCTATGCTCGCGCCGTTCTTTGCTTGAAACCGCACCGAAATTATCGAAGATGAAAGGCATGTACAAATTTAGTCAGGCTAAAAAAAAGACCATTCTTCAAGCACGGCAACCCAATGAGTGAGTCCACTGTGCCTTTTTTTGCTCGAGAAGCCGAAAGAGTAAGATTTAGATGTTTAGGACACTCACCAGTTTCAGTCCAATTAAAAATGAGTCCATCCAAAGTGCTTGTTCCATACAACCAGAAACAGGTTGCTGTGTACGAACTCATCATTCTTTGCACTTGACAGTCCTATAGCCATAAAATCTGAAGATTACATGGCAAAATTGAGTAGTTATAAAGTTAAACCTGATTTCGCCTTGTAGCAATTGTGAACGGAAGTGAAAGCGATCGCGAATATGAAATACCGCCAGAAGGGGAGAAAATGGCAGCACGAATATAGAAATAGAACACTGGCCGTTTTCCTACTTGTCCTGCTTTATTATCGAGCAGTACCGTATCCTAGATATGGAGTAAAGAGCTTTGTATAAAAATACAAGAATTTACCTTTTGCCTTGTTGTGCACAGCAAATGGGGGTATGTGGCCTGCCAAGAGCGTAATTTATCGTTATAGGATGGTGTCAACATAACCGATTCCTTGCTGTTTACATCGGATTTTTTGTGAGCAGTATTGCCAACTCCCTCTTGAATTGAAAAACCACTTTTTTGACAACATCTGTGAATATTCCTCTTTACCAGCATTTGCAGTGGCGTTGTTTCGTTTGACGCCGCTGGTAGGTTTCATCGCTAAGAGAGCTGCTGAGGGGAAGTTTCCAGAAATATGGGGTGAAAACGAACCATCTCGAACTTTATTCATTTGGATCTGAAAATCGATTATAGGGAACCTATCCAGGCAAATCTAAGCGACCTTTTAATATGGAAATCAATTGGGAAGCTCTAGTCAAGCCACTGCTTTTGTGGCACCTCATACAGTTCATTCGTAGAGAATTCTACTCCTAATTGTTCTCCAACTCTCCCTGCGCACTCCTTTCTAAGCGGAGCAATCAGCTTTCTCGAGTACGGTAAGCTATTGATTCGTTTCAGAGGAATACGGTCTGAGCGAAAGGCAAGCGATTATGATTGATTTTGCCACAACTATACGAGCAGCCGCTTGGATTATGGCTTAGATAATGCCTCATTCAGTCTTCACATAAAAGGTTTACGTGCCCTCATAGCTTACAGGGAGGTCCGCTTTTCGAAGGATCGGGATCTTTAGCCTAAAGTAATTCCAGGAAAACTGCAAGAATATATGGCTTTTTGTGCAGCACTAAACAGTACTAGCTAAGTCTCATTCTTGTAAAATTTATAATTTTGATCTTCGGGTTAAGCGCTTCATAGCGCTTCGTAGACAAGTGACTTCTCATAGAATGAGCAATTCCTAGGTGCGAGGTGTAAACATCTACGGCTAGGTGTGAAGTCTCGCACTTGTATACTGTAAGAAGGGAAGGGGGAGCGGCTTTTTATACGATTGCTCCACATCATCCTGACCTTCTCGCAACGATCCACTAAAATTTGGCACTGTACCACATTTGGGCCTTCTGGCTCTATGCCAAGAAATGAAGCATCTAAAACAGCTTATGCGGTAAAAAATAAGCTTTTTACTGTAAAAGATAACACTGTAGTTGCAGGGTCCGCCCCACTCCCACCCCCTTACAGTGTGAAGTCCATTTGACATAAATTTCATACGGATGTGAAATATTTCCCAAAATTTTGAATTGATTGCACTTTCCTGTCTTTGCTCCCAATGTTTACGAAAATGACTCCGCTGTGTCCTAAAAACCTTTACTACTACCTTTACTTTTTCAAAGCTTTTCAAAGCATGAACAAGTAAAGAAAAATTTGTGTAGGGTGGCTGGATTTGTGCCCAACAAAATTATGTATTTGCAATCTTGCTCAAAGAATGTTTCAAAAGCGCGTATTCATTTACGTGTCTCACAAACATTTATCTTATACATTTTTGTTAATGAAGATTTTTCCTTTTATCGTAATCTATAAGCGGTTGTATTATTAGCATGCCGGCATAATAACCAAAAGATTAAGATGATCAGGAAGCCTTCGTATGGAAAGTTCTACGAAGTCCTCGTTGTACGAAAAGTCCCCCCCCCCTTCGAAACTGTGCGATGAGAACTGCTGCTTCTACAGCCTTTTGAATGTTGGATTCAAGCATTGTCAGAGTTTGAGATACTTTTTTAGACTTATCTGGATGCCGCTTACAAAATCAACTAACTTTGGTTCAACTGGTTTGGCTCTTGGAAGGCGGGCCTTCGTGACCTGGTTGAGGTTAGATATTGACCAGAGAGTAAGCGCGAGAGAGACACAGACTCGTCGCGGGCGCGAGAGGCCTCAGTTAGGTCACAAAGCCCCGCCTTCCAGGAGCCAAGCCAGTTGAATGCCAAGTCCACAAGTCTTACCTGGACAGCCTGAGCAGTCTCCTCACTGACTATTTGCACATCGAAATGCTTGAAAGTGACAGCTCGAGCTAGACTGTCACAATTGAAGGGAAAGAGATTGTTAGTGACCAGAATGGCACTAGTGGACGGTTCAGCAGCAAAGAGACAATCTGCGACCAACTGATCCACAACCAAATAGACGACGTCAAGAAGTGATTTCACGGGATCACTCATCGAATAAGGGAATTTACACTGCAGCTCAAAGCGGAATCCCTGAACTGGTCTGATCTCGTTCCCATTATTGAAATCATTGTCAGTGTATTGAATTAAGCACCTGGAGCCTGGAGGCGAGGATACCGAGAGTATAGAGCAGTGAGGTATAATAGGAAGTAGCTACTTTCATCTTTTCTTCAGGGATTTCTTTGAAATTAGCCATGCGATCCAGCTGGGCCGATCGCAATGCAGAGAAAATCGTGGCAGAATGCGATTTGCACAGTTCACGAAACGACTCCACGCATGGTCGTAGCTAAAGCAGATCTCTTGAGGTATCCATTCAAAAGGTGTGATACTTACTTGTGCCTCCGCAAAATTAGCTATGGCTGCATCTAAGGATGGAAGAGGAGTGTCCAGCTGGGAATACAGGTCGTGCAATGTCGTGAGGGTTGGTGCCAATAACTGTAAACAAGAATTCTTCGTAATGTCATGCATCTTTTCCGGGATTGCAATGAAGAAGCTTGAAAACACTTGTGATGGCTAACATAAAAATAAAAGAGATGTATGACTGTGATTAGTGTCTTTCGCTGTTTGGTAATTTTCCAGATACCATTGGTGAGTAAAAAATTAAGGTTTTAACTCCATTTGAATGATTTCGTCTAACAATAAGGAACTTGCTTTATCCCCGTTGTGGAGTGACATTATCAGTGACCGGTAGGGATTGACCTCAAAATAAACTTCCAGCTTGAAATGAGCTCTTCCCAACGAAAAATCTTACGATTTTTACCAAGACTAAAAGTTGCGATGAAGATCAAAAATGTGACAGCAATGCTCTCCATCCGCCTGGTCATTTCTATGCATTTTTTACGTTATTTATTTTCTTTTCTTGAACGATACAGCCATGCAAAGCACCTCACCCCGTAGAACTGAACCCAGCGATAATCACTTTCCAACATAGTGGGTGGTGGTCGAACAGGCCGAGCCTAAAACAGCTCATTTTTGTCACTTTTATACATAGGACAACAATGAATACTATTAGGTCAACCCGAAAGTTTGCGCTGTTTTTCAGACCCATACTCAAACCACTTAGAATGAAGATGGACAAACGCTGTAAGCACTGTCCGATGCAGAATTTCTTCTCTTCTCATGGTTGTGTCTTGTTTAGATTCCTCAATGTCCGCCCAATAATCGGCGAGGATCTCCAACCCATGATTTTCACCCATCTCGAGCTTGACTATTTGAATTTCCATCTTCAACTTTTGGACTAGCTTTGATAAAATTTGGATAGAATAAACAAAATGCAATACAATAGATTTTTCTGGCATCTCTAGCTGCCTTCTCAAAATTTTTGGAAATATTTTTCTGATGCTATGAGATTCCATTTTTGGGTATCTCAATCTCCACAGAACAACAAACGACTAGCAGCCAAAGTGTCATTCGATGCAGCTTTTTCTCCTCTCTCTGATAGACTGTTTTTTCTCTTGATTGTATGATATCTAAGGATAAAATCATTGTAAATTTTGTTTTCAGACGCGTCTCAGACTGTAGCCAGAAAATTCGGAATTCAGTTTGAATCGCCAAACACTCAGTTGCTTGCTGAGATTAGAGCTAAGTCATAATAATTCCGAAGATTTGTCAGTGTTTGAAGCGATTATGTACTTCGCGACTTCGCAAAAGTAAGGGTTCTTGGAAAAATTATTTTAAGAAATACTGATGAGAGTTAGGTGATGAAGCCGAAAAAGTTCATTGTATTGCATTTTGTTAATTCGTTAGGGCTGCTATCAAAACTAGTCCAAAAGTTGAAAATAGAAATTTTAAAAAACAGCCAAATCGAAGATGGGTGAAAATCATAGGCCCTGCCGATTATTAAAGGCAGCGGACAGGCAAAATGGACCCCTGTCAGATTTTGGTAGTTTCGGGTAGTGGACCCCCCTAGTACACCGTAGCCCCAACCCCACATTCCAATTCATGCGCTAAGTCCTGAAAAAAGCGCTTCAAAACTCCACCAGCCCCGCCCACTTCCATTGAGTGGGCGTTATTGGTGGAAGTTTGAAGCGCTTTTTTCAGGACTTAGCGCATCAACTGGAAGTTGGGGTTGGGGCTACGGTGTACTAGGGGGGTCCACTACCCGAAACTACCAAAATCTGACAGGGGTCCATTTTGCCTGTCTACTGCCTTTAAGCGGACATTGAGGTAATCCGAACGAAAACATAACCATTAGAAAGAGAAAGAAACTCTGCATCGGACAGTGCTTACAGCGTTTGTCCATCTTTATTCTAACAATAAGTGGTTTGAGCATGGGTCTGAAAAACAGCGCGAACTTTCGGACCGACCTAATATAATGGTTCTAGAAATTCCGTGAAACTGCATGCCTTGTTGATGAGATCAAAAAGCTTAATGTTGAGACGTTTGGTCAACTGCTGTTCTTCTGGATCGACATGGCGAGGATCTATGAATCGCGATGAAAGCCGCGAAATCACGGAAAGCAAAGACCATGTAAGCCGCGTCCATTCGACCGTAAAATTTGCTGACACCGTCTCATTGTCGAGATCTGCAAGGGTTTGAGAAGTTTGAGGAAAACAAACTGAACATTTTTACACAACACAGCTAATGAAAACTAAATGGTGGAAGAAATAAATAAAAACCCCTAAAAAACTCACTCTCGATTCGCTTTTCGTAGACACAGAATAGCTGATTAAGTAATGTTTTTACAGGATCATCTGTAGCATCAACACTTTTCCTCACTCCATGAAGTGCGCACAACTATAATCAGAAAGAATTCAAACAAAAAACTGCTTTTTTGAAAAATTTAGACAACATGTGCTTCATTTCATGAATAAAATTGAGTAAAAGGTGTTGTTCACCAATTGAAGCGATCAAGCTTTTGTACACCGTATATAGGGGATACCGAAAAAAGCTGTAACTAAAGCCAAAGAGCACCAGGCCCGCAAAAGGCTCGTATAAACTGACAGATACAAAACAAGCTCCCTTCAGTCCTCCAAAGAAGACAATATTGGTCGAGATGCCAGGCAATAGGATCCAACATAAAGGCCTGTTCGGCACAAAATCATTGAAAAGCCCAGATTTGAAGAAGAGAGCACATATAAACAAAAAAATTCCCCTCCAACCTCCCCTCCCCCAACCCGTCTCCAGCTTGATCTTGACCATCAAGAACTCCACCTTTTGAATGCGTGAATATATCATATCAATAGTAAATGCATCAAGATTCCTTATTTGATGTCTACGTCATGGCTCCGCATCCACCGTCAAGTAGTGCTTACGTTAACACTTTTTGCACCTGTTTACGCAAATAAACTTCGATCAAACACTCGGCAGAGTATGCAGCCGTGCAAAAACCTGCTATGCTTATCACTACGGTCGCTTCTATGGCTATCTGTTTTTATGGGAATCACAACCATGTGCTGCTTTACACAACGCGCTAAGCGTGAGTATCTCACGATACGTTTATCACCAACGAACTTCCGACTTTAGGCAAGAGAATTTTGATTGTTGATCTTTGCAGCTCACGAATTCTTTTGCACCACCGTCAAGGCGTTTGTCACTGCACAGTTCGAAAATTTACGTATCCTATATAAACAATGCAAGATGACACCACCGAGATAGTGAAAATTCAAGTCATTTATGATTCACTGACGCCTGGACCAAGTTCAATGCGGACTTGTTTCTTCTTATCTGAGAGTGCGCTCCTTTCATGTACAGATGCACAAATCTGTATGTCTGTCTGTACGTATGTTCCAAATAGAAAATTCCATATTTGAACCAGGACCAAACTTTGTACACACGCACTTTGGAGAGGGACGGGTGTCATAGGCTACTTTTGCTTATCGTTTGTGCTATCGATTGTATCGATTTTTTGCAAAATTTGAACTACAGGGCTTTGAATCAAAATAGGGGAGTAAATAAGGGTTCTGATTACGAATGCAATATCAGTCTTGGAATTAATGATTTGTTTTTTGGATTTTTTTGCAAATAAGGGGCTGGAAGTTGACATAGAGGGTAAGAAGGCATGCCGTTATGCCAGCTAGTAATTCATAGTTTCCGAACCGCTCTTCAAAATCTCACCCACTTTCGCATTTTTTTATCATTTTTTAACACAGAAAATAGAATAACCAAGAAATCAACAGTGAGGAACTTACCAAGTCGTGTACAACTTTGTGCAGTGGAGGATCGTGTTGGGCATAACCGGCGCTGGTCATCCGTCGGTAGAGCCGAGGGCAATAATAGATATGAGAAGATTAATTTCGATCTGAAAGAGGAGAGATCGTTTTTTTTGCTTCTAACCTTCAGCGATGCCCTGCATACATACTCGATTCTAGCTATAACACTTTTTGGAACTTTTTTCGTGACTTAACATTCAGTAGATAATTTCCAAGTGGAAACAGAAGAGGTCTGTACATAATCAGCTTTCAAGAATAACGTCAGAAAATCATAAATAGCTCAACTAATCGTATCATAGCAGTAAAACATTTGATGCAAGCAGCTGCCAAGATTTGGGAACGTTATTAACATTCCAAAAGCATGTGATGCAGAAGAAGCTTCCAAGCAATAAAAAAGCAAAGTAGGGTCACATGAAGCTGTAAACGATGATGAAATTTTAACCGAGACCTAGAGGTGCGTTCATTCTTGGGATTGGCCAAATTTTACGATTCAGCCTTTCATACTACGTCACAACCTTGAGATATAAATTATAAAATTTTAGAAACTCGGGAAAGCTGACGAAATGAGCAAGGTACCACTTTGTAGAGCAGGCTTCAACTTAGATTTACAGTATGGAGCGAATCAACAATTTTCGTTCATTACTGTAGGATTAGGTAGGAACTTCTAGAAAGGTTTTGAGGCATTGAGAGCCCTGTTTCACCAGAAAGCAAACCAAACAATGAAACTGCTCTAATATTTGAAACAAAGCTGCAGAAGTACATAAAATTCAATTAATCGATATTGGTTTGTTCTCGTAATGTACTTTTCCAATTCTGAACTCGATACGGCAGAGGACTAGAGGGGTGCGATGCCAATGATAATTAAGATGAAGAATGACTAAAATTTTGTAGAAGAGGAGACATATATAACGATAACTGGAGGGGGAAGAAAGCATGAAATAATACATGGAAGCATTCAATTTGCATAGCAAACTGACAAAATTAATTCCAAACATCATTCTAGAATATGTACGAGACAGCATCGATAACCATTAGATACATATAGCATCTGTGAACAATTTTTCAACTGCAAAGTTATACAAGTCAGTAATCAAAGACTAAGTCTGGGTTTGGTTCTTGATTGTGCCCATGTTAAATCATCTGCCTTCAATCGGATTCTTTCCCTAAGATTTTGCACCAAAAATAACTAGTAAGCTTTCTAAGAAGGTCTTTTGACTGACGCCCATTTTCCACCACGTGAATTTGATTCTGATGAAAGGTGAGGTAATAAGTACTTTTTACTACCACATAGCAACTGAATTTACAAAATGAGTGCTACACAGCCGAGTTTCCAGATTACTGTACTTTACCAGCAGAATTCCTGATAATTTTTGCCTACTTGTCCATTCTAAGCAAAGTTATGAAAAAACAAAAATAGTTTTTTGTCTATGCTAAAAAATCTCCTGCACTGATAAGAGACTATTCCTTCAGCGGCCAAAAGTTGCTTCCGGCATACAGTGTCAAAGCGGCAAAACAAGTTGATGAATTTACTGTAAAAGTGTTATCAGAAATAAGGACTACTTCTAGCACTTTGAAGAAATATTTGACAGTAGCCCATAAAGTGTTTTTACCGGAAATAACAGTCTTATCAATGTTTTGCAGAGCCTCCGTCATGGGACAAAGCTAAATGCTACTTATAGTCAGTTTTGTGGCTTAAATGGAACATCTAATTCCGATGATAACCCAGATACCAAATTTGAAAGATTAGTTATCAAATTTGGGAAGTAGATATTAGGTCAATAAAATCTTGCACCAAATAATCTAGAAAATTCGTCGTTTTTTTTAACTTCAAGGACTCAATTTTGGAAAAAAGTAGGGTGAAGAAAACTTTGCACTTTCCAAAAATACTTGAAGCAAATATATTATTACCATACCGCAATGATAAAGAGATAAGAGATAGCTGACAAAAAAAACACTCGAGTGGTTATTGGATTTCGCCCTCTGAAATCGCTTCCTACTGCGAAAATACAGCAGCTTTTTGCTTTCACTTCGGAAAATCTTTGTTATTTACGGTAGGACACAATGATTTATGTTACAAAAAGTATATGATGCTCTTCGGAAAGTTTGAAGAATTTCAAAACAAGTTTATATTTTTGATGCAAGGCTTATGTATCAAAATTTGTATTTTGTTGTATGTAAAATATGTTCTAGTCCAAGCAGATTTTTATTCACGAGCTGATCTTTTATAGAAAGACAAGCTAAGATATTCAGTATTTTCGTGATTTTTCAAAAAATATTTCGAAGAAATTTTATTTTATTTTATTCCGTTGTTCAAAATTTCTATATAAATATAAATATAATTACCATAAATGTATTTTGTTTTATCGCTCCAGTTTCTTTTATATCAAACACCTTTCTATTGATATATTATTATGGTAGTACATGCAGAATAGAATTTATGAGTTTATTCAAATATTTTAATGAACAAGATAAATAATCAAAGTGTATATGACTACAACGATAAAGAAAGCAATTTCCAAATAGCCTTTTATTTATGCTTTTTAAAAAATACAGGTAAAAGATTATTGTCAAGAAAGCGTCAAATCTTTTGGTACATACTTTCAAGAAGTGATTTTTTAGACAAACATAGCTCACTCAGAAATTTTATCGAAACAAAGTATTTTTGAATTTATAGGTACTCTACTGGAAAGATTCAACTCAACCGGAGAGAAAACAATGATCCATTGAAGCACTAAGAGAATATAAAAGGACTGGATCGTTCGGAAAGCGAACATGGAAATTCGATTGATTCGCGAATCAGCGCTTATCACACACGTCGTCGTCCACAGCTGGACGTGGACTGAGGCCGACACGTAGTTTTGCTCAATTACCATGCGATAATCCAGAAATGTCAATACGGACACCGAAGTCTCGCACATCGTGTGTCAGCACAACACACGGTGTCGGCAGTGGGCTATTTTTTCGGGTATACCTCACTTCTGAGGGTAGAATTCTTATAAAGCTGCTGATAAGAGACGTTTAAGGCTTAGAATAGCTTGAAAAATCAAAAACAAGCAAGCTGAAGCGATCGATCATCGATTGCTTGAATATCGCAAGCGCAGATTTTTCCCCAGAAAAAAATACGGAGGCGGTTTGATAAGGAGACAGTGAAGCGCCAAGGAGGCAATGAACAATTCCATAATCGGCGTCTGTCAATAGGCTTTTATTTCTTGTTTGACAATTAGCAACTTATTAACATGCTGGGGACCAGTTCTCGTAAAAAAAAGTTATAGGATAAAGTTGTGTTCTCCAGAATAATTTTATCAAATCTGTTGACTCCTGCAAACCCATAATATGCATTAAAACCTCGAGATTCTAATCAGTAAAAAATGGTCCTTATTATAGAAAATGCGAAAAAGTACTTGCAAAATTTTATTAGCCTTATAGGCCGCTTCAAGAAATAACTCCGCCCAATTCCGAGAGAGAATGTAAAGATAAGTTAGTAGTTTATACCAATTATCACACTAAGATTGTAGGTCCAAGGTTGATGGAGACCAGTTCTCGCAACAGTGTATGTGGTCACCAGTGAATGATCTTTTTCTAGCGTAATAATAATATAAAATCTGGAGAATTCTGGAAAACTAACAGGGCAAGGCCTTAGCTGCAACGTCCCACACTGCGATAAAGCAATATTGATCAAAGCGGTAGTTAAATACTACTTATCAGCGTCTCTAATAAGCTTTCGGAAAAAACGTGATACTAAAAGTAGTCATTAAGATTAGATAATGCTAATGGAATTTAGATAATATGAAGTGGAGGCTCAGAGACAAAAAGTGAGTTTACGAAACTCTTGTTATATATTGACAATATTGCATATTCTATGTCAACTGCTACAAATTTCTGCAAAGGGTTTCAGAAATCATTTAAGAAACTACAGTGTTACCAAATCACTGGCCACAAAATCATGTTAATCTATGGAGTTAGGAAGCTTTCGAATCGTAAACGTCCTTCAGGATATTTTTTGTTGAGACTACTGCGAAAGCAAAGTACATCGTTCGGAGTCATATCAATCTCCGGAGCAGTCAGGTATGTGTTGTCTGCAAGTGCTATAATGTTTGATTCTTGAAAAAGCATTAGTTTGGCCTTACTTGTTTCATGGTGTGGTGCAAGAGGAACGAAGCATATTCACTTTGCAAGAGGAACGAAGCATATTCACTTTCATGACAGCGAAAATGTTCAATTTTTCGTCCTCGTTGCGTTTTTCAAAAACGAAATTTCAATAGCGCGCAAAAAAGTGGCCAAAGGACAAAAAATAAGCCATATGGCCATTTTTCCGTTCAAGGGTTGCAAATGTGCATTTTTCCCGTGCAGGTGTTGTCGTCACCGAAGGACACTTATTAGCCGTCATGTATACTATCCTAAAACTCATAAAGTCACGTCTCGCGATGCAAGGTGCTTCTCGAAACAGTAGCGAGGAGCATCAGTTGCCGCGTTATCCGGCGACATACGGTAGCCGTGACGCTTGTTGACGCAATCGCCTCCGGACCTCCTCCTTCGCTGGTTCGTTGCCAGTTTGGCGGCTATATAGGGAGGCAGCGCCCAAGTTCAACCCTTGTTTGTCTTTGTCTTTATCAATTGATTCGTTTTCTTGTTCGCGAAATGTATACCAGCCGCTCCCCTGTCCTTTTCTTAAAGGAGCAGTTGAGCATGTCCTTTGGATTGGAAGATGGATTATAGACACTTCTTAGCAAGACTGATTAGAATTGAATGTCAATTCAGAATTGTAAAATCCACAGTAGCTGGGTGGAACGTGCCGTCGTCTGCCACCTTGGCGTTGCGCGGTGGATTTGTTGCGCGAGCCCTCGAGAGCCACATGTGTCTGACAAGGGAGAGATACTTGGTCGAAGTGGGGTTTCCATACAAGGTATGCTATCATTTAGAGCATGCAATGCTGATTCCAAGTCTGCCTTCGTTATCTGCAAAGCGCTTCTGAGAGGGGAGTTATGTAAATGTTTTTGAGGTAAAAACTGTTATTGAAGTTTTCCGAAGCTTAAAAGGCGTGATAACTGGCATAATTTTATTAAGCTGAAGGTATTGATTGCATGAAGCGCCTTGGCAGTGATCATGACCGGCTCACAGACTACACTTTCGGACGATTTTATCACAGCCACACGTTCAAATTTTTCTTGAAAAAAAAATTCCCATAACTCTCCACCCAAAAGCGCTTTGCAGATGCTAAAAGCAGGGAATCAGCGTTTTATGCACTAGAAGATGTAGTACGTATTTCACATGGAAAACCCTACTTCGACCAAGTATCCTTCCCTTATGAGATTACTTAAGAAGATGCATCGGTAGCATGGGAAGTATACTTTGGGAAATTTGAAATTTTTTTCGAATATTCGAATATCGAATAATATTCGAAAATCGAAATTCTCGAATATTCGACTATCAAATATTATTCGAAAACTGAAAACTTCGAATATTCGACTATCGAATTTTATTCGAAAATCGAAATTTTCGAATATTCGACTATCGAATATTATTCGAAAATGGAAGTTTTCGAATCGAATAATATTCGAATATCGAATACCATTCGATATTCGAATTTCGAATATTATTCGGTTCTCGAATAATATTCGATTTCGAATATCATTCGATTTTCGAATACTATGCAAATAAATTATGTCAGTGAGACTACCTGTGAGAGACCAAAACATCTCAGAATAAATTTTTTCAGGTATAGCATTTTTTTATGTTTCAATTTACAACGAAAAAACGGTTCAGTTGCAGCCCCGGCAAGAAGATGGGTGCCGGATTGTGGCGATGTTAAAGTAGTCCCCCCACCTAAGCGATGACTGATGTTCGGAGCGAAAAAGGGGGCTACCAGGCCTAAAATTTGCCCCGTAAGTGGCCCGGATCTTACGGTAGGCTCGTGAGTCGAGATGCATGCAGGGTAGAGACGCAGGGTCGTTGCGGGACCCTGCACTCATGACTGTGTGCGCTATGCGTTCTCTGGCCTTGCAGTTCGAATTCGCTGTACGGGCGGCATTCGGGCCTGCCGTAAGACGGGCCACTTTGGGAGCAATTTTCAAGCTTACCAGACCCTCTTTTTCGCTCCGAACTTCGTCACCACTTAGGTAGGGGGTCTAATTTAACATCGCTGCAAATTCTCGGACCCATCTTTTGGGACGCTGCCTTCAAGAACCTAAAAGCGTACGTGACAGTTGTAAAGATTTCAAAAATCGAAGAAGATTATTCATCCTCATTGAGAGTTGTGGACTGACATACAGGGGTCCCAACAGTATGTGAATCTGTGGGCTGACATCAACCTAGACTTACAGTATGAAGCGATGTATCGATCGCTTTTCACTGTTGTAAATTACCGTAGGAAAATTGAGGATGGTTTTGAGATATCAAGAGCCGTTTGCCCAAGAATGAGAAACAAAAAGGCCGAGTCTCTTTTTTGTTGGGAAACTCTTTTGGATGTCTCATTTCGCAGTTGCTCTATATGCTAAGTTCATACCGTGATAACACAACAAGAAAAACATAGGTGATTTGCTTTCCGCTGTATTTGCAAGCTGAAGCCATCCCTACAGGATGTTACTTAAAGGTTGGCAAAAGACTTCGTGAGAGGTATTAGCGATTAATCAGTTTGTACATACCCTTGGGGCACCCCGTATATGTTGTGAAAATCGAATTTCCGAATATTCGATGCTTCGAATTTTCGAATATTCAGTGCTCATCGAATATTCGAATATTCCATGGACATCGAATGATCGAATTAATGACCATCGAATATTCGACTATCGAATAATATTCGAAAGTTGAGAATTTCGATTATTCGACTTTCGAATAATATTCGAAAATGAAAATTTTCGAATATTCAGATTTTCTCATATTCGAATTTTCGAATCATTCGCATTCGAATGATTTATTCGAATAATCGAATAATTATTCGATTCGGTCCAAAGTATAATGGGAAGGGTCCTTGTCTCGTGTCTGTCTTGAGCAGTACCAGTAGTAACCAGTTTGGTATTTTTGTTTCTGTATGCCATTGGATAAATAGCTTAATTTATCCATTGTTCTGTTAGTCGCGCGTTAGATAACGCAGTAGGCCAGGTACGCGGGCGAACACTAGGCCTCAGATGTCCACCTAGGTGTCATGAGCCCACCGAGTCGCCATACCTAGACTCATTAGCCTACAGGGCGCCATACCGTCACTACCGTACGCCGCCTATCGCGCTAGCTCGCATTCGCTGCTGTTGGCTGCTGATGCCGTGAAGTCGTCGTTCGCAGCGCCAAAGAACCAGAATCGCGCTTGTGCCTTATCAGGAACTCGATCAATAAGGTCATTATTTGCGATTATGCGAAATCGATAAGAACGCAGTGAGCGTGCAATAAGCGCTAATACTTTGATAGGCGCAAACTGGGGAAAGAATTTTTTTCAATAAAAAGGTGATCGCAGCGTTCTTGAATGACTTTAACACTGACAGGTACAGTACCCTGCCCTCTTAACGCTGTATCTTATTTTGTAATATGGAATTATAGTTCCTATCAGTTCTGAAGGTGTGCGGAAATCCAAAAAATGGAGATTCTTAATCTTGATAGCGCGAAACAACCACTTTATACTATAAGTGCTAGTGTGTTTTGTATACTGTCCTCTAATCAATATTTATGAGTGGGTGGAGCTGATTTGATGGGCGTTACAGGAAAGAAAATCAGCTTTCGTACTTTAGTCTTATATGCTGCGCTTAGAAAGCAACATCAAAGAACACGATTTCACAATCATTCCTCGTGATTTTGATCCCAAACCCAAACAAATGTACCAACAAGATTGTAGCAATCTTAGCGCCAAGATAGCGTCTATCTTCTTACTTGTTGTAAGAAGAAAGAGGAAATAAAAAGGTCCAAAAAATAAGAAAGTGTTCATAATTTTGCTATAGCCAATCTGTCACAGAAAAAGAACTATGAGCAGCGGTTCCTGACATTTATTGCGCAAAAACTTAGAGTAGTTGTCCAGAAAAAAAAACGTACTTTCTTTGCAAACAAAGAAAACCGGTTAACCTTTTCTAAATCAGCTAGTAAGTGATCTCCGTTATGGTACGTTATGGTAACTCAGAAAAAGAAATACATATTGAAACACGCACGATTGTTAGTTGAAAATTTTGGGATATGAAGCAGGAACAAGCTTAATTCAAAGTCGAAAAGAGTTGCACAATGAAATTATGAATTGAAATTTTTCTAAAAATATGCGGTATCTGAGAAAGCGGAAAAAAATTTACTGATCTCTAGAAGCCAGACGAAATCACACATGATTCAATTTCCAAAGAAACAGAGAAAACGCACAGTCACATTACAGGCCATTAGCTTATTACTGAAGGAATGAATGAACTATAAAACAGCGTAATGTACACGGACATATCTGTCGGCCAAAAGTGTCGATATGACAGTCGCAGCACACAGACTTACAGACAGACGCTCCTACATAAGACAAAAGATAAGGCATTCGCTCTTGTTCTGCCTTTTCCAGAATTGAGCATTGAATGTCAGCTTATTGGCAATATTTATTACCATTCAAGATGATAACAAATGTAACAACAAAACAGATAACGAGAACAACTGGAACAAAGTAGGAAAAATGAAAAAAAGTCCATTTGCATAAATTTGTACAAAAATAATAAAAACAGCTTCTGATAAGTCAAAGGCTGAAACGTAAAAAAATGGGCTATTACACTCACAATAACACTACCACGCGGTCTCATTATCAAGCGTAAGGGTCATCAATAACGCCTGATACTCGCACCAACTTGCGCGCTATTCAAGGCTGTAATGTCATTAAGAAAAAAGATACGACAAGTATGAAAGAGTGACATCAAAAACTAAGACGCCTCAAAAGTGCATGGTAAGTTGGATGGTGCGGAAAAGTGTCCTAGTCACAGTCAAACTGACTCGATAAGAAAGAAAAAAATACATTTGGCACAATAAGTAGTACAGAACTAGCTGAGAACCACACCTTCCTTAATCATCATCAATCACTGCCAAGTCTTTCTCAATTGCCTCCATACGTTTCTTCTGTTTACGGTTGGCGACGCGTCCACCACTAAAAGTGCATCAGATATGATATCCGTACATGTGATAAAGGGCATGACTGCGGAAGAAAAGAGAAGTGAAAAACCGGCTGTGGAAGGAACACTGTTGGGGGAAAAACACATGTGTAACACATCAGATGGATGCATGAAACAAAGAGCAAAACGAAATCCGAAGCGGATTTTATTCTGCTCTTTCAATTGATGCTCACGAAAAAGTTCTCAGTAAGTCAAGTGATATGGTGCATGGACTAACGGAAAATAACAGGAACAGCTGACAGTCGGGTGCAACTTTAGCATACCATCAATTAATGATGAATTTCCACCTTGATAGAGTTATAGGTAGAGTACACTTTTTTGGAAGAGATGATTAAGGGTACGTCTGGGGTAGCCTGTGCGCAACCTTGAGGCTGCCTTTGGAACTTCTAAAGCTTCTGGTGCGCTGATCCCAAAATAACAGAGCGTGTACGACTTTTTAGATTTTCTTGCATAATGGCTCCGAATGGGTCGGAGAGGAGAGCCTGATTTCTGCGGTGCCGACATTCAAAGGCAAGCTTGCGTGCGTGGCAATGTCAGAAGGCGCAGGAATTTAGATATATGCTCTCTGCGATCATTTGCACACGGAAGTTGCAGTCATTACAGGTGTAGCAGTTTGTTCACGCGCACATGTTGTCTGCAAGTGTCGACATCGCAGGTACACCTACCGTTTGCCGTAAAATCTACCAGCACATACACTGGTATATACTTCGCAAATATCACATTTATATTGCTTATAAACAGCCACTACAAAATTGGGGAAGACAGTCAAGAGGCGCAATTTTTTGGCTGTCACCAACTTATAGCTCCAGTTTAAGGCTATGGGAGGGTTCAAAAAGTGCCGGACATACTCCATAGCTTACTAGCTGTTTGAAGTAACCACTTGATAGGTTTGACGACTTTTGCTTGAAATCTGACCGGATGCGCCTCTTAACATACACCCCAAAACTGGTAGCTGATAATCTGCATTGAATTTAATAATTTTAATGATTTCATACAACAGTTAGAAGCTTTTCTCCGAAAACGATTGATTTATTCATAGCTGTTACTGTTGCACACTTTCACCTAAAGCATGCATACACGATGCATCAAATCACTACGCTCTCACCAAAAGAATTAGCTTACAGATAAAAATTTTCAGCAAGAGCAAAAATGTCATGCAATAAAAAAAAGCCTAATCAAGAAATTGAGATACCTGAACTTCTCCGCGGTTTTCTCTCTCATCTCTTGAACGGAGTCATCGGTCTTCGCCCACTCTAGGACTAATCGCCTCCCATAAAGATGAGTGGAATGAACCAGCGCTTCAAAAGCTCGTTTAGCCTCTGGGATCGATATGAAATCGACGAAACCAAATCCACGATGTTGATCTCGAGCCCCGACCTATAAAGCAGCTTAACAAATTCACTCCGAGACGCTTTATGCAAAACCAACCTTTTTCGGTATTCGGATGCTCTTCACTTCACCAAATGACGAAAATAAGCTCTCAATTTCTTTGATGCTAGCTTGGAATGGAATGTTTCGTACAAGCAACTTCGTACATGTGCCTTGTCCGGTAGCGCTCACGCCTTTGCGTTTCAAGGCTTCCTTATCAACAAGCTCACGTTGTGACAGTTTCAGCTCTAAGGAGTGGCCATTTAAAAGTTCACCCTGAGTAAGAGTCATATGAGAATGAGAGAACAGATGCCAAACAAGGAAAGAACCTGCATCTCCTTAATTGCCTGCTTAGCCTCTTCTTGCGTATAGAATTGTACAAAACCAAAGCCCATTGAGAGGCTTTTGCTTGGATCTGCAGGATTTAATTTCTTCGACACTTGCGCCGATTTTATACGGTACTTCTTGCTGAAAGAGATTTATTCTCACTAGATGTGCTTAGCTCAGAAGAAAAGGAATGCAAAAAAAATGAAACTGACCCAAAAAATTTAGACAGATTTTCGTCTGTTGTAGCAAACGAGAGATTCTTGACAAAAACTGTAGCATTAGGCTCCAATACTTCATCATCTTCAACACCATCCATTTTATCAAAGTCCTTTGTCTGAAGTACACATGATTGTTATAGAAAAGGAAGAGCTTGTAAAACTTACATCTGTCGGATGATCCTCTGCACTTTGCTCTTCTGCCACATCCACTTCTTCTTCCTTCTTAACATCTGACTGTTGTTCTTTTAGTTTCCTCTTTTCAGCCTTCTTCTCTTCATAAGTCTTTTTCTTCTTCTTCTTCGCCGGCTTCTCCTCCTGCGCCTCCTCTTTGGTTTCACTTTCAATATGCTCGACAACCTTAAACTTAGGAGTCCGACTTACAGCAAAGAAAACAAACAAAACAAGACGCTTTACCTCCTTCTCCTTCACCTCCTCCCCGAAGACATCGCCAGGCGCCCATTCGAGGTATAAAGGCTGGGTACGAAAACGTGAGTAAGCCAATGCTTGGAACGCTTTCTTGGCATCTACAGCATTGCTCATCACAACGATTGCACTGATGCCACCCTCTAGAAGAGACACGGGTTGGGAAATAAACTAAGGCATAGCGAAGCCGTAACTGAATAGAATTTCAAAAAAAAAACTGTTTGTAAGCTCTACTCACCTGGTGGCATTAGGACCTTCTCCACCTCTCCGAATTTTGCAAACATGCGCTCCAATTCCTCTACCTCTACACCAGCGGGTAAATTCTTGGTGATTATCACGGTGTCACTAGAATTCTTGAACATTTTCGCTGCATTTAGAGAGCTAAACCATGGTAAATTAATTCCTACCTTCTTTTGGCAGCCGGTCTCGAGAATGCATCAAGGCAGACGCCGTTTTTAAGGAAAAATTCACGCGTTTCACGCACAAGCCTGGTCTCGGCTAGTGCTAAACGGACACCTGCGCTGAAGAAAGAATAACTGAGAAAAGTAAACACGAAAAACTCAACGAGTACCTTTCTCCACCCTCAGAGTTCAGCAGGTCACCTTTTTCAACACCAAGCTTCTCAGCAAGAGTGTCGGCTATAGCGTTCGGACCAAGAAAGAGGGCATTCCATGAATGAGACTAGAACATCAGTTGTTTAAACATAAACAATCGAGCGTTTGCCAGAATTATATGCACCTTCGTAGCAGCAGCTTTGAGCTTTGCCATCTTCTCCTTTCTGTAGGAGGTCTTCTCGCTTGCTGCAGTTTTATCCGCGTCGTTGTTTTCGCGCTTTTCTGAGCCAGGAAGAATGTGAAGCATCCTACCCTATAAATCTTTTGGAACAATCATTAAGCAATAAGAAAAGGGATTAGGACCTTGAAAATCTTTCCATCGCTTGCAGCATAAGCAGCCACAGCGGATTCAGGGAAAACAAAGTCTACAATAGCAAACCCCTTGCATTTGCCAGTCTTTTTGTCAACGATGACCTGAACATGGTGGGATAGGCCAAGGACAGAATAATAATGATTGAGCGAGTGTTATTTGGAAAAACAGTTGATATTAGTAGAAAAAATCTCAACTAACTCTTTGCTATGCCATAAGTTCGGCTAACACAAAAAAGATCAAACAAAAATTATGATGAGAGTTCGGAAAGAAATGACAACAGACCTGCACTTCAGCAATTTCTCCATATTTTTTGAAAAAGAAAAACTCCTTTGTAGTGAAAGGCAGATTTCGCACGAACAATCTTCCTGTTTCCAAAATCTCCTCACGTATTCTAGCCTGAAAGACACCAAAAGTAAGAAGTTACGAGGATGAGAGTAGTTATTACTATCAGTAAGGCAAGTATTGTCTCACCTCCTCTGTTTCCCTGCTGACTTCAGGCTGCTCTTCTTGCTCGGCTTCTTCTGTAGCCTCTTCTTCTGCTTTGACTTTCGTGATAGTAAGCTGAAACAGCCATTTTTCGCAAGACTCCACGAACAAAACGGTGAACTTTCTACGTACTCTGTAACCTCCAATATACTCTTGGTTCCTTTGGAGAACACGTCGTACATCAGGAGGGCGATTGAATGTTACAAAAGCAGCACCAGAAGTGTCATTGGTGACAATCTAGAAACAGAAAGCATAGAGAGCAACTGTTCATGCTTCAAATCTGACCTTCATAGCTTTGATTCGAACAGGACTTAGCCACTCCTTCAGATTTTTCTGCTTGATTGAGGACGGTAACCCGGTGAATAACAGCGATAATTTAGTGTCGCCTACGTGAAAACGTTACAAATTAACCAAAAGAGTTGGACTGCGACTTACCAGTAATGCCTTCCAGCAAGAGTTTGACAAGTTCATCACTTTCAACCGCAGGTACTTGGGCTGCTAATTTTGATTGCTGAAATAGGAAAGTGTAATGTTGGAATATAGTAAGTAGAACTGATAATGAGTGGTGATATATAAATCAAAAATAACTACCACCTGAAGGAGAAACGAGGTCTTTAAGAGAAAACTGCTTCCAAAATGAAAATCTAATCTTACAAACCTCAACTTCCTTCACGCCCTGAGCTTCCAAGAATTCTCGATACTCTGGATCAATTTTCTTCTTCTTTGAAGGCTCGAACGGCTTCATGCCGTCTTCATTTTCTCTTGCATTATGTGAATCCCCTTCGTGTTTTCTTTTATACGCACTGAAAGATGAGTTATCAAAACTATAGATATCGATATTAATCAGATGAAGCTAACAACAAACAAGGAGCTACTTCATCAAATATACAATAAATCAAAACAAAATTGCTGTGGAAAGTAGCATAACTCTCTGTTGATCAAAAATTATCAGTTACAGAACCTTAATTGCAGGAATATACGATTGAAGAGATTCGTTCACAATCTCATATTGATGGTTCAAATTCGTCTAGTGTCAAAACTGCTATAGAGTTGCTGAGTCAATGTGACTCTCTAACTTCTATTAGAACCCTGGGGTGGTAGTAATTTGGTCGAAACCATTATGGAATGTGTTGTTGTTCAATCTTGGTCACGTAATGATAACCATGATCATCCTCTGCTGACCTCCCAGTTCATTCGGCCGTACAAAATCATGAAACAAGCAAGTAAACAACATACCACTCATGACTGTTCTATGAAGGTTTCTTTGAACCAAACTGATAAATATTGGCTAGGTTAAAATCATTGTTTTGTTATCAATTAGTTACTCTATTTTTGATTTTTTGAGGTTTTTTTTTGAATTTTTTTTTTAAATTTTGTTACCAATCAACCTTCAATTAAATCACTTTGTTTGATTTAGAATCAAGTAAGAAGTTGTCCACGTCGTGTATTTTAATTGGTCACTTCTCTCGTGGTTTCGATGTGAAGCCGTTGGTTACTGCGTGTTATGAGAACTTTGTTGAAGGCAGCGTCCAGGCAGATCTGGACCTATGGGGATTTTACGTGGAAAGTATTTTTGGGGCCCTAACTAAGGCACTGTCCAAACGGCAGCGCAGTTAGTGCTCTAACGACTGAGATATTCCCCTCGAAACTGGACCCCGCGATCGTATTCGCATGGATTATGGCAATTTCGCGCCAGGATCCACGCTTTCCGCCATGAATCCATGCGAAATACGATCGCGGGGTCCAGTTTCGAGGGGAATATCTCAACCATTAGAGCACTACCTGAACTGCCGGTTGGGCAGTGGCTTAGTTAGGGCCCCAAAATTACCATCCACGTGAGATCCCCATGTGTCCAGACTTGCCTGGACACTGCATTTAAGATTGTGGTTTCATCCAAATTACTACCACCCAGTGGCGGACCGAGGGGGGGGGGGGCGGGGGGGGGGCGCGCGCCCCCCCCGAGAATGGGTCGCGAAATTTTTGAAACTTACCTATATGGGTTGTAAAAATGTGCAAACGACTTGTTTGCACTTGAAAATAATTAAAATAATTTTTGAAATTTTTTAAAAATTCATTTTAGCCTTATAAAAAAAATTTTTTCGGGGGCGTGGCTGACGCCACGCCCCCTTTTTTCAGATTTTAGGGGTCGGGGACCCGCAAAAATTTTGAGAAGCACCCCAAAAATTTTTTCGGAGTGCGTGGCTAACGCCACGCACCTTCTTTAGAAAAAAATTTTTTTCGCGCCCCCCCCGAAAAAAATTTCTCGGACCGCCACTGCTACCACCCTAATTTTATTGCGAAGGCTCACCATGCGTTTGAGTTTGGAAATCTGAAGTGAGTACCAAGTCAAAAAAAACTGTACTGCGAAAGATGAGGATGAACATAACAATAAGATTGAAAAATTATACAACTTCTAGGCAAAAAGGAAGAAACATAAGGAAAACAGAAATCGAAATAACACAAATACCTGCTGTCTTTTGAGTACTGGCTCCACGCACGAGGTTTATTTGCATCGCCAAATGGTTTGCACTCTTCTACCTAATACAGAGTGATTTACCCGCCACAGCATATATCCACGTTTTAACACTTACATGCAAACGAGACGATCCCATAAAGGAAAGATCTGTTTCCTTGAGAGCTTTCTTGGCATTCTCTTCGCTATCAAAGCCGACGAACGCAAATTTGCGAAACTTTCCCTCTTTAGTATACTTCAGTGTGCAGTCACTAAGTGTCCCGTACTTCTTGAAAAAGGATCTCAAACTCGCTTCAGTGCAGTTCGCCGGCAGACTTTTCACAATCAAGCGTGTGGTCATCAATATCTGCTGAAGTTTGGGATGTACAAACGACTTTAAACACACATTAAAGGCTATTAGCGTTCGATGCGGAAGCACGGTGAACAAGCACCAAACTCTGACACAGAAGAAGCCCTACACCAAAGAAGTACTCATTCATAGTAGTAAAAGCTATCCTCTGTTAAAATCGTTAAATAGAAAAAGAGAAATGCAGAAAAACAAAAAAAAGAGGAATGTAAAGGTATTAAGGCGATTGCGAAGCAGATGCTGTATGTTAGCGTGTTTGTACTGCATTAACAGTCAGAGCATCAATAGGCGTTGCAAAATCTGATAAATTTCGTTTCCTGAGAAAGGAACGTGAAGGGAAAATGGAAAATGCTTTTAGTCGCAAAGCCTATCTATCTATGTAGGCAATAGAAAATCAGCTTTATGAAAAAGTGGCCGAGACTTGAAGTGGATTAGCAATTAATCATTCGAGCCTTCCAACCTTTTCATGAAGGATTTTGTCTCCAAACCTCTAAAGACTGGACAGAGTCGTTTTCAATGAGGAGGTTTCTTGTGTGATTGCACCCTTTCAGGTTTTATTGCGGCTGGAACTTATTATTGTACATATATCCAGGGAAGAACGGGACTGCGTTGTTGCTATTCAAAAAGTATTTTCCCAATAAAATTATGTATCGTCGATTCATGCCACGCAAAGACTGGGCGCCGCTGCGTCCGACGAAGATAGTTTCTGCATACGAGAGATAGCAGACGGTAAGAGGAACGAAAGAGCGCTCAATCACGGAGACGCCGATATGTCCGCAGTCTTTGCGTGCTATGAATCGCCTATAGAAGATGATTTGAAACAAGACGCGCCTGGCTGAGCGTCTAAGCGATAACTCCCGAAAAAACCTCACATCCAATTTTTTGGACTTGTCGCTTCCAGTTTCTTGTCCTGATCTCTATACTTGAGCAATTTCTAGCTCGAAAAATCCTGCAGTCTTATGAGGACACGGAATTATGTTTTTTGTTTCGAAAATTGCCATATAAAGCCGACAATACTGACGCGTCAAAAATGAGCGTAGAGCGCATATATTCAGATTTGCTCTCCATGGCCATTGCTTCCGCGCAAGTGTTGCCGGCACCGCAGGCGCACTATTATCTGTTGGAACTGCCATAGTCATACAATATCAAAAGTTAATAAATGTTCAATGTTTTCCAAGCAGTATACGCCATGAATTTAACAAATAAAGTTTTTTTCAGATTTTTTTTACTCTTATAGTTACTTGTCACTGCAGGATGTACTTAACACGGTAAAAGTTTTGCACTGTTGATCAGAGCCGTTTCAGGTCATCATTTTCACTGCTAACCAGCTTTTATGATTGAAATTCAGATGTGTTCTGTTGATGTTGCCATGGTTACCTGTACGCTAGGTAAGCGGCTGCACGGGCCTGAAAGCTAAATTAATGCGCCCTGTTCTTAACTGGATAGACAAGGTCCCCGAAGATGAAGGTCATGAAGGCGGGTGAGTATCTTGAAAATCACAACATCTCAAAGTCTTTCTTCTTCCTTGTTCATTGTTTAAGCATATTAACCGCCATCCCAATGAATTCCGGGATTAGGCTCACTTTCTTCTTACTTTTCGTGAAAGCCTCATTCCCCACTCAGCCAGGCAGATTTATAATTTCGCGTCTGCATTTGCTAATTCCACAATATATTGCATTTTTTGCCGTCCTTAGCTTGTATTTTACAACCCCCTCTGAGGAAACAAAAAAAGAAAAACAGAGTGATCTTCTTGAAATGTAGAGTCGCATAAAGTTAGTCTTATCGAATGCTAGTCCTCATCTTGCTGAACTTATTTTTAAAGCTTATTTTCCGTTTTCTTTCTTCGCGGCATATGATTACTGCTGTCGATAGTCAATCAGACAGCTTAGAGAATGCGGACTTAGCAGCGGCGCGGTTTCATTTGCGTGCGCATTTCTGCAGTTGTCCACGATGCTCTTGCTTTCAACTCAAAGGCATTCACAGCAGTCACAGAAACTGCTTAAGCATAATTTCCAACATCGTCTTGGCCATGGTTCATCACTAGAATCCAATTATAAAAATTGATGTAATCAACTAATCAGAAGTTTTTTGATTTTTTGCCTGGATTGCCTATTTCGGTCATCGTATTGTCTTAGAATCACAAATCTCTCAAGAAGCATAGCTAATTCATGAAGTTAATCAAAATCAGTCCCTTTATGCAACCAGGGATTACTGTAACTATACGGTAAAGAATTGCTGTCAAACTCAAGCTAAAAAATATGCTTTTTCCAGTATTATCGGATCAGTTTTTCGGTATTGAATTTAGAGTTTTTTTCTGAATAGTGAATTTCGTAGCTTCAATCGATGCCCTTTTTAAGAGTATAAATTTCTTTGACAGTCCCTTCAAGTCATTGCGCCTATTTACAAAAAGTTACTCCTCGATTCAACTGGCTTGGCGGCTGGAAGGGTGGTTCTTCGTGACCTCATTGAAGCTAGATCATGGTCAGAGAGCACGCGCGCGTGAGAGACACAGACTGCGTCGCGGGCGCAAGCTGCTGAGCGAGCGGCCGACTAAGCCCCGCCTTCCAGCCGCCAAGCCAATTGAATCAAAGGTTACCATGTGTAACATTTATCACTTTTAAAGATTACAGTAATATCTTGATAAATATTGTTGTACATTACGGTAGCATTACTATGCCGCCACTGTGTAGCTTTAACAAACTACAAAGATTTATGTGTGCGCCCGCTGCCATGCACATTCACAATATAAACAAATGTATGAATGAATTAATTAGATCTCTATCATAGTTTGAGCGTTGCCCATACGCTCCAGCGCCAGCCCGCGTTGCTGTTGATGGTTGTGATGAGGATTCTATGATGTTGTGGATTAGTGCATCGGTGACAATCACTTGCCGAAACGGAGGAAGTTCGGTTTGCGTCCGAATCGAAGGAAGTTCGGTTCCGCGGAACGTTTACCAAACCGCAAAAAATTCGGGTCGGCTGATGCTCGTCCTGTAAAAAAATTTATGGGTTACAGTCTGTCTCAATGGTAATGTCCTCTTTGGAGCAGCGCATCCGCCTCGCTAGCATCGTGCGCGACAGTCGCGGGCGTTAACTCGCGCAGTCAAGTTGGCCTCGTCGAAAAGGAGCTTTATTTATTGATTTCCCTATCTATGATAGGGTGTTGTTTTGCCACTAGCGACGAATGTCCGATTAGGCAATGAACGCATGTTTATAGCGGCCAAGTGGCGTCGAATCACAGATCGGGAAACTGATGGATACCATCCCAAAGGTCAGTACGCTAAGCTCGCGCGTTGCGGAAGCGTTGCCGCACGTGAAGGCGTGAAGGGGACATTGCAGCCGAGACAAACTGTAGATGTTTTTATTTGAATTGATTTTAAATTTCTGGAGAGTAAGGGCAGTTTATATATAACGTTGTGTGTGCGTATTTAATTAGTTAAGTTACTCTCGGCGCCTTCTCTCCCCCCCCCCCCCCTGATACGCTCTTTTTTATGGAGCCATGGAATAGCAGCTGGCAGTTAGAGATGGTACTTATTACCTCCCGATGTCTGGACGAGCGCCCCCTCGTGCGGTGGGCAATTATCAATCGTAAAACAGCACCCGATCAGATATCGGAAGATTTTGAAAACCGCTCCAGGTTCTGTAACCCCCGAGGGTAATTTACTTATAGTTAACTTACCAAAACGGAGGAAATTTGGATCACCGGCCGCTTTTCCGAATCTGAGGAAATTTGGCTGATTTCGTCCGAATCGCAAGAAATTTGGATCTGATCCCTTCTTTCCGAGAACAACACCTAAATTAGGTTAATTGTTTGTTTTTTGAATTTTTTAATAGCAATAAAACTCGTACTTACTTCTACCGTAGCGCATGAAGTTTGGTTTTCGTTTTTCCATCAATCGAAGAGCTTCATCTGCATCGCCGCTACATGCATCTCCTTGGAGAAGACAGATGTTAATTTACATATTAATTGTTTTTGGAGGATTTGTCTTTGGTTAGATGTGCTTTGACGTATTTTATTGTCAAGCGAAAAACTAGAAGAGAATGAAGTAATCTGAAAATTCGAGGTTTCACCAATGAACTCTAGTTGTAAGACCTTCATTAGAATGTACGAATTTATAGAAAAGTTGCGTGAACTACAAAGCAAAAACGTTTTACGATCACATTGGAATTTTCGGTGAAGACGTGGTGAACTATTCTTTTCTGTTTAAGGAAAATTGCTGAATAGAAAACGATTAGACTTTTATCAATTTTTGAAAATTGAAACTGCAAAAATGTTGTGGCTGCCTTCATCTCAAGGTAACTGGAGATAAAAAGTACCTAAAAACCTACCTAATTAAAAATAATAAAAAGTCTTGGAAGAGATTAATAGACTGAGCTCAGCGATAGAAGGAAAAGCTGAAATTTTTCTCAAAAATGTGAGACAAAACTCACCCAAATAGCTCATAACTTCCGCTTGCTCGATAGGTGACAACATATTGAAGACGAGACAGAAATCTGACTGATCACCGGGTGCACAACATTCGGCTGACACCTTAAACATCACGCCTAATTAGCCAATCACATCAATGCGCAGGGTATACTGTAGCCAATCAGAAAGGACCTGTGCAATAGCGCCGAGCGCTAAGAGCAGCCCGACTTGCAGCAGAGTTAGCATTAGTAGTAAAGCGAGCCACTGAGGGGGCAATTCTTATAGAGAAGGGGCCCTGTGTGTATTAATTCTGTTACTGGTGCGGCTGCGTCGTCCATATGCTCCCCCTCCTACCATCTCTCCACCTCATCCTAGCGCCGTATTCACAATGCCAAGTCTAACGAGATTATTCCATAGATAGATATAAATCCAGAGATTTCAAGCCTAGGAATGCGAGGGTTACGTCGTTGCGTCTGCGATGAAATTAGGGCTGTGATTGATAATTTAATTATCGATATTTATAGAAGAGGAAAATTACACTAAATATTATACACGCACAGCTTCATAATTCTTATGACGTGCATAGGCTTCATTGATTTTCTTAGAGTCTTATTATAGAAGAGTTTGATAATTACTACAATAGACCCAATTCTCTAGTAACCTTTATGTAATTAATTTTTTATGGAGGGCCACATACTTGATCTGATCTGGCTAAGATCTAAAAATATTATTTCAAAAAAGTACATGCACAGTTTTCATAATTTTCATGAAGCCTTTCTGATTTTCTTAGAATCTCTTATAATGATTGGGTTGGTCCATAAGTCTTGCAGTAAAATTTCTAGAAAAAATCCCAATCTTTCCCTTCTGTAAAAAATATTTCAAAACAGCTTAGGGAGGGGGGGGGGGGAGAGGAAGGATCATGGGCTTCTCAGTGCTATGTACTCAAGGTGAAAAAAGGAACGTACTTTTTTTCTGAGTTTCTTCAATTGTTTAAAGGCAGTGTCCCGGCAGATTTTGCACCTCCACCTTTTTGCATGTTTTAGGCCTTTTCGCCACGTAGAATCCGAATTTGAGCTTTGAACGGGCTGAAAAGGCCGATTTTGGGGCGTTTTCCCAATTCCAGAAAAGTAGCTTGGACGAGATTTTTAATGGAAAGCTGGGGGAGGTCCTCGGACGAAGATCCTGCCGCCTGTAATTCTTGCTTTGGATAGCATGCATCATGGGGGAGACCGCTCGTGGGGTCCCGCGCCGAACAGGCGGGGAAGGCCGTCCAAGCGCGCGCCACTTGGGGTTGCGCGCGCCGGTTCAAGGGCCAATTTCTCGGCCCAGGGGCAACATCAGCCAGCCAGAGTGCGCCTGGAGGTCGATGGGGTGACCAGGAACCCCACCACACTTATACCTCCTAGGACCCGAATCTGCCGGGACACTGCCTTTAAGATGAGCGGGAACTGAAAAAAAAAACTTTGTACTTTTTATTTCTGTGTTCAAATTTTTTTCCTTGAGCAAAAGAAAATCATTCATGGTAAGCACAATGATACTAGCTGATAAAAAAGAACAATCAAATCGATTATTCCTAAAAATGCTGCAAAATTTGTAATGAAAACATCATTTTCGATTGCTCTATAACCTACTTTTTCGATTAAAAAAACTCGTTTAGGTTGGATAATTTTACTAATAGATGATTTTCAATTTTCTTACTTAACAACTCCACATTTGTTTCGAATACAATATCCACTGTGTATAGTAAGATGGAGCACTTGTTGTCTATTACAGAGATTTGTGAATTGGATAAAGTTTTTCAAGTGTTTTTTCAATGAATTTTTTTATTTTTGATACAAGACTTCTGAAAAGGCCTGATATAATCAGTTTTTGATAATACTTAGAAATTGTAGTATTGGGTGCATCTGCTCGAAAGCAATTCGATTTTTTTAATCATCGCTAGGTTGTTTTTTCAGGACTTGTGGGATTAACCAATACACAAGATGTGTTGCTTCTGATTTTGAGTGTTGCAATCCTAATTCAGAAAAAAAGAAACTACATATAGAAAGAAATCATCAAAGTTCTATCCGCGTTCGGCGTTTTTGAGTTGTTCAAATATGAGATTCCATAGAAATAATCTACACTCTCAAAATTCGATGCTTCTGATTTCTAATGCACAGCCTGCTTAGCAACGCTTCGTAACCAATTTCATTCATTCTATGTTTCCTCAAATCTTTTTCCGATTTTCTTCGTTTCATCAAAATCCAATCATTTTGCTTGAAGTATAATTTTCGGATTGTTCTTTGGTCATTTGGCGAGCACAACGGGTGCAAATTTTTTCGCTTGAGTATTTATCAATTATTTCCTGTTTCAAATGATCCATGAATAGACGCACGCATCACCACTTTTGATGAGTACCTGTATTACTTACTTGCGTTTTATGTTACGAAACTGAAACATCCGATAGGATGCTAACTATTCGCATAATTTTTTAGAACTTTTTTTCTAAATTTTGACCAAGCTGACCTTGCATCTAGCAGTAATATTTAGACATTGCGTCTATGACTTGGCATTCAAGCCTGATGGTTCTGAACTTTTGGTCGCTGCTGATAATAAAGTGATCATATATGATGGAATTGATGGTACACTGCTACAGGTGCTCAAAGGTTGGTTTTGAATTTTTTAAATCTCTCGAAAAGGACCACAAATGTTTGTGATAGGGCACAAAGACCTGGTCTATGCCGTAGCATGGTCCCACGACGGAGAGACGTTTGCTTCTGGTAGTGCGGATAGATCGGTTATACTTTGGACAGAACAACATGAGGGGACGTTGAAGTACAGGTAGGGGTAAATTTTACCCTACCTAATTAGGGGGTAAGAGTCTGCGAATTTCAGCCATTCGGATGCAATTCAATGCTTGGCTTTTTCTCCAGTGACTTCGCTTCTTTTGAGCTGTGCCGTAGGCGATTTTGGTAAGATTTGAAATTTTGCCATACCAACCTCCCCTCTTCTACAACGCCTTCTTACCCAAGGTTTATGGTCCGCTGACGAGAAAAACGTTCAAAAACAACGAATCACTGGCAGATGTTCATCATGTGCTTGGAACCGAGATGGATCGCTTTTCGCTATAGGAACACATGATGGCTTCGTGCACATCAAAAAAGCCGGCAATTTTGTGAGTCTACAACCACTTTGCTTTCAAAGGTTATGGTAATGGGATGACCTAGCGGGCAATTTTTTCCGAACTCTGGCTATTTTCCACGTCACATATGTGTCTATTTGGCGTTCGTCTTACTTAATGTTATTTGACGTAAATAGCTTTAAGGAAGAGCATTTCATTCATAAAACGGTATTTTTACACAAGCTTCAGATAATCAACAAGTGCGATGAAAGCATGTATGTCGAAGGCTAAAAAGCAACTATGAAATTCGCTCAAACAATTCACCGAACTTCCGCAGGAAACGGAATTTGCAGGGGTTTCGCAGTTTCTCAACCACTGAGAAAGTGCACACTCCGAAATGCGGGGTTTCCGCAGGAACTTGATGTCAGAGCGATTGAAAATCGGAACTTCCGCAGCATTTTCCATAAAACGTGGCGGAAATGCCGTCAAATCGTGGCATATCCGCAGCACTTCGTTGCAGGGGTTCCGCAGCACCTTTGCAGGATTTCTGCAGGATAACGCGGCGGAGAGTTCCGGTCAGTTGTCTGAGCTGGAGGTAAATGGCACGAGAGACGCAATCATAGTACAGGATTTGGGAAACATTTTTCAAGTGTTTTTTTTTGTGATTTCTGTTTGACTTGAAGAAACACTGAATGCAATAAATGCAGTATTTGCAAGAGATACAAAATTAGCCTAGTAAAGAATAGCATTCCACTGCAACAGCTATTCTTCTTTTTTTAGTAGTTTCACTGACTTCTACAACATTCCAAGTAAGGATATGTCGCAGGTCATTTTTTTGCTTCCACCCAACTAACCTTTTTTTCATAAGAAACACTTTGATACGTTAATAGCACATAAGTACTGATTCCTTCCAAGAAAGACTTCCATATATCTTGCAGAGAATTGTAAGTGTGTGGTGCAAGGGATATGTCAAGTACGACGGTCACTGTATATTACTGTAGGATTACGGTGGGTACTTCCAACACACAACGTCATTGTGCGCTATCTGCCATTTCAAAAAATTTCCAAATGAATTCTGAAAAATTTCATAGCAGATTTATGCAGACAGCATCTCTGATTACCCTAGTGCAAAAATGTACAAGTTCTGGTTTCTTTATGAGGCAAAATATTGCCCGCGTTCGCTCAAAACCCTATCCAAGTTCTTACCGTAACCTCACCGTTAAAGAAAACTCGAGAAATTGCACCATACATATAAGTTGTAGCAAATCGGTATCTGTACGGCAAAAAAAGAGAAATGTAACGATTAAACAGTTTATAAATACTTCGAAACACCCTGTACTGTATCTACCCCGTTTTATAATAACTGCACTGGCTCGCAACTGCCTAATGTTCGATTTTAATTCGATATATCATAAGTTAACATCTTAAATAGTATCTCCTAGTCAAGCCTTATTTTTTCTGCTAGAATGACATCACGCTAATAACTTCTCCTTACCAATTTTTTCCAAGATCAGTCATTTGGCAGCTCCCACCAAATGTTGCAGAGACATTAACATCCATATTCCATTGTCAAATTACTTTGCCGCAAAGAGATTGTTGCAAAAAGATAATTCTTGCCTCTTATGTGCCTTTTATGTGGTGCAGACTATTTCGTAAGAATAATGCGCATTTTCTTGCTTTCACATTCTGCATAGGTTGGGTTGGACGCTTCATAATTTATTTCTAAAAAAATTTTTACTGACAAGTGAAGCATGCATAGTCAAAGTGGCCTTCTTAAATGGGATGTATACCATGCTGGGGGTTCAAAACGCTAATTCCACATCTGCTTTCCTAATCTGCAAAAAATTGTGGACGAGGAGTTATGAGCGTTCATTGGAGAAAAAATTGCAAGTAGGACAAGATATTCGTAATATTTTTTTAGCACTTGATGGAGCAGTGATAATTACCAGAGCACATTATTGAAAAAATACCCAAAGATAAAAAATTATTTGAGGGCTAGCAAGACTTTAGCAACTCACTTTATTCCAAATGAACCGTTGATTTTTTGCTTCATTTAACGCTCATAAGTCCTCTTTCACTAATGTTCCGCGAATAAGGACAGATTTGGGATCAGCGCTTTATGGTCTTCAATGGTGTATAAATCCCATCTGAAATAGGCAACATGCTTTTTTTGTGAGTTTTCGAAGTAACCTCTGCGAAAGAATATTGACTGCTGCTGGAAGATGGAACAGAAGCAATACATTTGGACAAATAGGCCAAGGTAGCAAGTGGGGTAGGTAGAAATATGTGGTCCAGAAGTTCAGCTCTACTCCGTCGCCCAAGCCGTATTCTTTTCCGAGTTTACTGGTCTGGATTACGGTACTGGGCAAGACTTTGAAAGTGAATATTTTGCTTGAGTAAGTCATTTGAGAAAACTACTCAGATAATTGTTCGGAACTTGCGCAGAACGTTGGGGCAAGTTTCACCGGATCACCTGCGAAGTTCCGTAAACGTGTGCTGCAAGACTCACTATCCGTTGTGCTACAGATGACATGTTTGAGAAAGCACTCCAGTTTTGGCGAGACAACATCGTAAGAGACAACACATTCAAGGTTTTGGGAAAGTACTGGCAGGCCAAAGTGCTGCGGAACCACGAGCATTCGCTTTTTGCGCAGGGTTTTGTAATCCTGCGGAAGTACCGTTTTTAACCAGTCCGACGTGAAATTCTCGCTAAGCTCCCATTACCGACGTTTCCACTTTTGCAATAGTCAAGAAAATCTTGCGGCCACGGCAAATTTTCCTTGTTTTGCGGAAGTTCCGGTGTGTTGTCTGAGTAGACACTGCCAAACACCTGAGTAACAGGGCAATCTCTAACAATTTAGCCTATTCATTTCTAGCAAAGCGATGAATACGTAGCGAGAATCGAAAGGCCTGGTGGTGAACCTGTGTGGGCACTTCGTTTCTGTGCTCCTCGAACTGTCGACGATGCTTCGAGAAGATTCTACGACAATGAGTAAGACAAATTTCTTCTCTCTACAAGGATCCTAAGTTCGCTTCGTTAGGCCTGCGTTGGAAGTGCTGGTGGTTACCGACTGGAGTCGCAAGGTTGGTTTCTACGATTGCGAGGGTAATTCGATCAAAAGGGACGACATGGAGTTGGACTACGATCCAACTTGTGTGGAATTTATCCCTAGTGGACAATTTTTGCTCATTGGAGGATCGGGACGACAAGTTACTCTACATACAAGGATGGGTAAGGAAGAGCAAAAATATCCTTGCCAGATGTTTCAAAATTCCAATATTAGGGACCGAGATCGGTACGGTAGCCCAGATGGACACATGGGTATGGTGTATCCGTGTGAGACCCGTGTCAAATCCAAGTACTGTAGTCGTTGGCTGTGTGGATGGGACCATTGCTTGTTATAACCTAATGTTCAGTACTATACATGGTCTGCATAAGGAGAGATACGCTTTCAGGTAAAGAAATGAGGCTCAAAATGGTTTTTTTTGGTGAAGTTTGAATAAATTTGGTTACTGGGCTTCTCACGGGGACGTCTCACCGAGCTAGCGCCCAAGCAGCATCTCACTTGGTTTATTCACAGCGCGAAAATTTCTCTTTGTCCCGTCCGCCGCACAGAAGGGCGTTGATTGGTCCGCTCGAAGAAGAGATTACGGTACTGGGCTAGTACTCGAAAATTTGGTCACGAATTGCACGAATTAGTCGTATGAGCTACCGTTTGGACAAAGGCTCAGTTAAGCTCTTCCAATCAGTTTCCACATAAGAATAACAATTATACATATTGGAGATCATAAGTAAGGTGTTTTGGCTTTGTTTATCTCGTAAAAGTTAAAAATAAATGTGCAGGCCGTTGTCCAAATTCAGTACTTGATCGTCCTGACTCAAGCTCAATAAACCTCGGAATAAATTTACAATTAATTTTCATTCTTCTTCAGAGATAACATGACTGACGTTGTTGTTCAACACCTTATTCATCACACAATGACCAGAATTCGATGCAATGATCTTGTCAAGAAAGTCGCTATATATGGCCATAAACTTGCTGTGAGTAATTTTTTAGTATTTGCATTTTTTCACGACCAGAAAATGTTGCAGGTCCAACTCTCCGATCGCTTGCACATCTATCGTCAGATCAAAGGCGATGGCGATAGTGAACAGCTTGAATATACACTTTGTGAACGCATAAATAAAGCATTTGACTGTTCGTTATTGGTAAGCTGTCATCTTCTGGATTTTTTTGGTTTTTCATCTAATAAAGAATGTTTGTGTTCAAGGTGGTCTGCTCGAACCATCTAATTCTATGTGATGAACGGCGATTGCAGTGCTATGACCACAAAGGGCTGAAACAGAGAGAGTGGCAACTTGAGTCCGCCATCAGATACATTAAGGTACATAGAATAATTATTTAAGAAAGGGTCTCATGATTGGCTGTTCACTTTTTAGGTAATTGGAGGGCCACCAGGGCGAGAAACAATTCTAATTGGATTACGCGAGGGACAGGTAAGTTGACTAGCTAATTGTAGGATCAATCAGATAAAGCACGGGGGTGGCGAAAGGCACTCCAAAATTCTTGATGAGCTTTCTAAATTTTTCGCTTGCAGTCCTGAATCTAAATATGACTCTGTTATCTCCGACGAAAATTCACTCTAGCAAAGAAATTTTTTTACGAGTCATTTTTGTTAAACTATCGAGAGGTCAGCCAGGTCTTGGAACAATCATCAGGCTCCGCAAAATTTATAAATTGTAATCCGAAGAATTTTGCGCCTACTACTTTAGAACTAGCAAAATTGAAATGCCTCATTTATTTGAGATTTTTCTCGTTAAAACACAATCTTTCAAAGATTTTGCATGTCGATCGATGAGTCTTTGCAAAAATTCCGACGCTAGAGAATAAAGTTGCTGAAATATTAGTGTGAAAAACTTTGCTGATTTTCCATATCATTTTTATGAAATCAAGAACATTTTTCGTCATTATTTATACAACCATGCTCTTTACGATCTGTTTTGATTAGAAACAATTTGCCGGAAAAATACTCCATTTTAAGGTCTGCAAATTATTTGTGGACAATCCATTCCCTGTCCAAGTACTAAAGCTAAATGGTCCCATTAAATGCATTGACATAAGCGTAACCAGGTATATCTACATAGAAAATGAAAAAACAAAAGCTTATTTTAGCTCTTCCAGGAGACATATTGCGGTTGTCGATGACAGTGGGATTTGTGTTGTTTTTGACGCAAAAACGAAGGAAGTTCTATTTGAGGTGAAAATTTTCAAAATTGCTGTTTTTTAACAGAAAAAACAGTTGAGGATGTTTAGGAGCCAAATTGCAATAGTGTAGCTTTCAACAACGATAATGAGGATATAATATGTTATTCGGGAAATTCCAAGCTAACAGTGAGAGCTCGTGGATATCCTGGGCATCAGCAGAGAATGTTTGTAAGTTTTTATCCGGACGTTTTTTCCTTGCGTGCCTCTAAAGAAGTTTTTCCAGTCATCAAAATTTTTATGACACCCCTTTGCAGGGTTTTGTCGTCGGATTTTCGGGTAATAAAGTCTACTGCTTGCACATTTATGCTATGCAAGCTATTGAGGTTCCATTTTCTAATCAACTCTACCAATATATTGAGAATAAGGAATATCAGTAAGTCAACCTCTTGGAAAGCTGTTTTGTAGGATACTAAATATTCTAATTTTTTATAGAAAAGCCTACGATCTTGCTTGCCTTGGGGTAACCAGCGAAGACTGGCAAATTCTTGCTAAAGATGCTATCATGAACCTCGAATGTGACATCGCTAAAAAGGCATTTGCACGTTACAAAGACTACCGTAGTCTGCAACTTGTCGCTGAAATTAAGGTATTTTCATTTATACATCCTTACAAATAATAAAAAAAGACTTTCTATTCAGGAGATGCTAGCAGCAAATGAGCCCGAATACCTGATTCGAGCGCATGTTCTTTGCTACGAGGGCAAGTTCCAAGAAGCTGCGGCCCTTTATCGAGCAAACGGTGATGACAACCGGGCCATGCAACTGTTTACGGATCTCCGGATGTTTGATGAAGCTCAAGTAGGCTAAATGAAATTGTCAGGGTGGCAGGAGATTAGAAGAAAACCAAAAATTCGAGAAATAATTGTCACAGAAAGAAATGTTTCCTAACACGCAGAGATGATGCCAGCGAAACGACATGATAGCTCAATTTTCTAAAGTGAAAACTTAGTGTATATAATAAGACTTTTTGAGAGAAAAAAATTGAAAAGAACAAGCACATACCATTTTTACATGTAATTACGTAATGAGCACTTTGGCAAAAGCCTCCAAAACAGGCTGAGTAATTGTAAGTTGGCTAAGGCGTTACCTTTTACCACCAGCCGCTTATGAAAATCATCCAAGCTGAGGAATTCATTCTAAATTACGGTATGCAGTCCTTCCGAGGTAACAAATCACGCTCCTTCAGTTGATTAAAGGCAGCGTCCGGGCAAAATTTCGCCGCTCATGTTTCTGCCATTCTGGGGCCTTTTCGTGGCCTTGATTACAGTTGTGAAGTCCTAATTGTTCAAAACCCCCAAAAAACCCGATTCTTGGGGACCCTCTCTTCAAGGAGCGGACGAGTTTCGAATTGCTCGTCCCCATCGCATGCCAGCTTGAGGAGCTGCACTGCACGGATGCAGTTGCATTGCAGTGTGCAGTGCAACAGCAGTGCAACTGCACACCTGCGTGAGCACTCGTCCTCAAGGGTGGTTTGTGATACGAAGGGGTGGTTTGTGATACGCATCACAGGCCCGTACTCCTTTTAGGGGCCACGTCAAAGATCGGACCAACGCAGATCGGATACTCATGGGCCCCTCTTTACAACTACCTATATGCTAATCTGGGTGGATGGATCTTGCCTGGACGCTGCCTTTAAGTGCAGTTTGAGCTAGGCTTCATAGTCGCATTTCTCGCTAGCGAAAATTTTGCATGAACTGCCTTTTGCATAAGGTTGATCAAGGCTTTCATTTATTTTTCTAGGTAGTATAGGGAACTCATTCGTCTTGTTTTTCCTAGAAACTAAATTTTAGATTAGAAGAAAAAATGTAGGCGAGCAAACTTGTACTCATTTTGACTGTTACAATTGAAGTTTTGCTTTTCTGTCAGCCAAAATCGCCTTTGTTGTACCTCTTTCGACTTTTTGAGAGTAATAAACTACACGTTCATTATACTTGATATCATATTCATATATTAGTTTGATTTATTGTATAATTTTTAGGAAGTGATGGCAAGCGCATCTGGCGAGACACAACGCATGCTTATGCGAAAGCGCGCGGACTGGGCCAAAAATTCAAATCAACCAAAAGTTGCAGCCGAAATGCTCATTTCTAGTGGAGATCTCGACAAAGCTGTTCAGCTGATTACGGACAATGACTGGATGGATCTGTAGGACTACACGACTAACCGTAGAGCACTTTTTGCAATGATTGTTGTTTGCAGGGCGATAAACGTTATGCGAAAACTAGAACGAAGTGACGTTGATAGCCTTCGGCGACTTGCCACTTACTTCATCAGAAAGTCCGAGTACAACTTAGCTGCTAGAATCTATGGAAACATCAATGATATAAAGGCCATGGCCCAAATGCATGTGGCTGCGGGACATTGGACGGATGTGAGTTCATACATATTACTTACTGACGGACTTGATTCAAAGTTTCGATGAATTTAGGCTTTTGCTATAGCCGACCGCTATCCGAAGTACATCGAGGATGTGTATTTGCCATATGCAAGGTACCTAGCTGAACGAGATCAGTTTCTAGAGGCACAAAAAGGTTGATCCATTAGAGCAATTTCATTTTGATTCGCAAATGAAGGCACTTGCAGCTTATCACAAAGCTGGACGCGATCAAGAGGCACTTCGAGTGCTCGTACAACTGACAGGCAATGCGGTGGATGAGAATAGATTTGCTGATGCTGGGTAGGAATTTTACCTAGAAGCCTCTGAGGGCCTCTGCTACCATCATTTTGCTCAAATCTTGATTGCAAAGGCTTTTCTGTTCGTATAAGAGCTTTCGAAGAACTAGGGGAACCTCAGCGTGTCAGATCATCTGGCGGCTAGGAAATGATGTTCTAGCTAACTCCGTATAAACAAATATTATCTCCGTTACTTGATGGGAAGTGCATCTAAGCCACCTTGATCTGCTTTTCTTCTAAGATCCGTCTGAACATTACTTTTTGGTTACAAATTCTGACTGAAGCCTTTTTCAGATATTACCACTGGCTATTGAGCATGCAGTATCTGGAAAGATCCAAAGACAATCCCTCACTCATCCCGAAGTACTATGCTAGTGCTAAACTTGCTGAAGTCTACTACGCATATCATGCAATCTTCTTATACTGTGTAAGTGTAACTTTGTTGTTATTGGACATCCTTTTTCATAGAGTTCACCGAGTTCCTAAGCACAAATAAAAAATGCGAATTTTAATGTATGAGAGAAGAATGACTAAGCGAGCAGATCCATTTGAGCTGCAACATGTTTCACTCCATCTGCGACCACCACTACCCCTGATAACCCATTAATGTGTGAATTTTGATGAGGTTTTGTTATGAACGCTCAAATAAAGCTCTATTAAAGCTTATATGTGGCTGCGGATTATACTTAAATCATAAAAAACTGTTTTTAAGACTTCTGCGTTATTATTCTTTCTTTCAGAATCAACCTTTCACCAGGCACAGCTCTGAAACGCTTCTGAATATGGCCAGGTACCTAGCAGCACAAGAACCTGTGCCAAATATCTCTCAAGTGTAAGTTCACTGTCTTTAATGGCTAGAATTGATAAAATTTGATTTCTCCAGTCTCATCAACTACACGATGGCTCGAATAGGTCGCGAACTTGGTGCGTACAAATTAGCTCGTGACACTTTGGATCGTTTGGGGAGTCTTCGGGTTCCACAGCGATTACAAAGGGATCTAGAGTTGATGACCGTGAACATTAGGGCCAAGCCATTTTCGGATGCTGAAGATTTGTTACCTGTTTGTCACAGGTAACCTCAACATTCGTTTGGGACCATTTTGAAGCTCACTGAATTTTTCCAGATGTGGTCTGAACAATCCGCTTACATGTGGAATGAATTGTGTACATTGTAAAACACCTTTCCAGTTCTCTTTTGCCACTTTTGGTAGGTTTTCTGCTAATTTTTTTGTCCTTCTTCCACCTCATCAACAATTTCTTTTCAGAAATTCTGCCTCTGATTGAATTCCTCATCGATGACGATATTCCGACAGAAGAAGCTGTGAGTCTGGTAGAGTCTGAACCACCTCTATCGGATTCGAACTTCAACCCTTTCCAAAACGTTGCGGTTGGTCCTTCACAGTATCTTCTTGTCCATACAAATTTGTGTAATTCAGAAGAAATCCGGGGAAATTCGCCTAAATCGCGATGACCTGACTCGACTCGAAAAAGGTCAAGTAATTATTCTCCACTGGCCAGAACCCCTAAAAACTAAATTCTTATTCAATCAAATGCCTTCTATCTCAGTATCGAAATGTCCATCATGCAACAAGGTAATTTTTCTCGTTTTTTCAGCAAATTTTATTTGACTACCAAATATGTAATCGCTCTCAATTTTTCAGGTATTCCATAGCGACGACTTCGAAATGGCCGTCTTGCAAGAAGGGCATTGTCCATTTTGCCGTAGTGTGCAAGAACGCCCTGACAACCCCTATGCCATAGACGAACCATAGATTTTCTTAACATTGTACTAAATTTATTCATTGTAAAAAGTACGAGTTCTACCTTACTGTGAAAACTTTTATGTATAAGCTGGCGTTACGTTGTAAATAAATGTTCAATATTTGAAAAACTGTGTAGTATTTGGCGCAAAGAGTACGCTTAGGAGTGGCCTTATAACGGTTCAGTCTCTAATTTATTTTGCTCACACACTTCATGGTTAGAAGGCAAGCATAGGCTTCACGGGTAGGAATTTGTGAGGTGGATTTCATTATTTACATCTAGGGATCACTCTCAAGACTCTAACAGGTAGTAAGTACATGAGCAAAGGAATTAAGAAATGGGTAAATCACTGCAGAGAAAAATCTGGAGTGGTAGTAATTTGGTCGAAACTAACAAATGATGTGATAGTTCGATCATGGTTACATCGTGGTAAGCATGATCATCTTTTCACAACCACTCAGTTCAATCGGTCATACAAAATCATGAAACAAGCAAGTAACTAGCAAAAAACGATGACTGTTTCATGCTTGTTTCATTCTAAACCAAACTATGAGTTAAACAGCAGGTTAACACCATTGTTCCCTTATCAGATAGAGTAATGAAAGCAGCACTTCATTTCATGAGACGCAGACGTGAAACCACCACATCATAGTTTAAGATGAAAAAGTACCCCCGACCACTTTTTCGTTTCAAATAATGATGTGTTGGTTTTGCAAGTTAGAAGAGTGAGGGAGATCATTCTGCAACTTATTATGAGAAAGCTTACTTGTTTACAGCTCAGATAAGGTTATAGGAAGGTGCAAGGCTGGAGACGCTGCAAATTTGGTAAAGTGCAATGATTGCCGACAAGCATGAGAATGGTTGGAGTTTCGATCTTCTCCAATGACTTTGCTTTGCAAGATAGCATTTCGAGGTTTCCTATTGGTTAATTCGTGGTTTCGTTGGGAAAATGATGTGAAGCTGCTGGTTAGCTGGTGTCATGAAAACACAGTTAACATGATGGTTTCGACCAAATTACTACCACTCCTGATGTTTTTCTTTTGATCTCACTAACCTATGGTTACTAAAGAACCCAGTGCCTTTGAAAATGATTCCTTCTTTGAATAAAGCTAAAGACGCCATCCACCCCAGATTCTCGACTTCCATTTTTTGATCGTTCAGGGGCTTTCTCATGCCCCTGATTTCAAAAACGAAGCGAGAATCCGCGAAAATCCCAACAATCTCCGTTTTGAAAAGCCCGCACGCCGGTCCGGAACGGTGATTGGGCGAGCGCGCATGGACGGGCGGGCATTACTGAAGGGGGCGGTGCTGACTTGGATTCTTATGCATCTTCACTATTCCGAGGCGATTTTCTCGCTCACGAAGCGACAATTAGCGCCGCGGCTTGTACATTGGCTTGATAGGGGGAGGGGGGGGGTCTCATTATCATAAGCTGCCAAAAGCTCAAGACATCTAACTTAGACTTAGCGGTACCTTTAATGTCGAATAAAGCCATGAAAGAAAGAAGCCACTGTTTATTAAAACAAGGCCAAAGTTATTTTTTACCTAACAAACTGAGCAACATTAGTTAGAAGGCTCAGGTTGCATGAGATTTTCTTTATCTCTAGCAAAACCGTTGTACACTTCTTTTTTCTTGCAAAGCGAAACAGTAGATTCGCCATGTTTTTGGGTTGTTAAGATTTGAATTACAATGCAGTTTTCGCATTCTTCGCAGTGCAGTCTCATTTCGTCTTTGCTGCTTTCTGCAATCCTATAGACCAGCCACAATGATAGTTGTAAAGCACCTTAAGATCTGTAACAGTTGTCTCAACTATTCAACATTTTATAAGGTACCAAAGAACCAAATGAGTCACATAAATCGTTCTTGGGTTTGACGTAAATAATTCTTGGAACAACAAGAACCTCGTTGAACACGCTGTTCTCTTAGTTATGACTGCAGAGTCCCAGCTCAATCGTTGGAATCTGTTTTGTTTGTGTTATAACTTTGAGTATAGTTTTATTCTATAGCTTATTCGCTTGAGCCTCGCTTGTCAAAAACAAGTCGTCTTCTTCTTAAAACAGTCTCTCACTAGCTTCGAACCTGGCATCAGAACATTGCCTCTTACAAGGGAAGGATACTTGGTCACCGCGGCCTTTCACAATGATTTGTATATCAAAAAATGCGCCTTTTAATGCTGGTTCGAATACTGTCTCCCATATCTGCGAAACGATAATCTGGATGGAGTTATGATTTTTTTTTGTCATAAATAAACTGCTTTGCTGCGGATGGTCAAAATCATCAATAAAAACTTTTTTCCTTTTCAAATGCTGAATACGATTTAGATAGGTATAATACAACAGTATTCCTTTCAAGATTCTCTTCAATAGCTTCAAATGGTAACTTAGAACAAATTTGGTGATTTTAACTACACAAAAGTACGCAAATTCCCTACGAAAAAAAGTTCATAACTTCCTTCAGAAGGTCGTTTCGCAGATATCGAGCACAGATTTGGAATCAGCGTGTCGAGGTGCATCTGATGGTATACATCACATTCCAAATGGCCACGGTGACCGAGTATCCTTTCCTTGTTAGTTTTTTTCCAGATTCTAACAAAAGCGCTGTAGAATTGAACACAAACCATCATCATGCTCTCTATAAAGCGCAAGCACCCTCATGTGACTTCGATGGATGTCTGTCTGCAGCAGTGATCTTCGATACCTTGCCACTGCAGTCATGTTTTCGTAGATGAGCTGCGCATCGTTTACTAACAAGGGAATGGTCAGAAATCGAAGTGGCCATTCCAGACAAGCTGCGCAGCGTTAGATGCAGCATGAAGCGCTGACTCTAAATCTGTCTTCTTTATCTGCTTATCGCTTTTCTAGACGAAGTTATAAGCCATCAAAGACCATTATTTTGCTTAGAAATTATGCGTGAAATTGAAAATTTAGCCGTACAGAGCCTCGTTCGCCTCAATGCTGGGGCAAAACATGCAGCTAGCTTACTTAAAATTTTTGAAGCCAGAAGCCGAGCTAAAAGTGCAACAATGTGCTCAATTTCGCTGTTTTTATGTATGATGTTTTCACAATAAAACCGCTTGTAGCTTCGTCCACAGGAGCGGGAAGCAGATAAGGAAGACAGATTCGAAGTCAGCGTTTTATACTGCATCGAATGATATACAGCTTGTTTGGTTTGGCCACGTCGACTTCTGACCATTCCCTTGTAAGTACAGGTGACATTTCGCATCACGACTATACGAGTGTCACCGCTACCTACCATAGACGACAATCATGCCTTCCGAGATGCTTACGTCAATTAAGTGCAGTCTGTGAAATACTGGTCACGGTCGGTGGTATATAAGACTGACCAGTTCAATTTCGTCACACATCACTATACTACCACTTCTACACTAACAAATTAACATATCACCAAACGGGTAGGCGCTATGCAAGTGTAGTTGCCCTTTTGGTATCACGACCAAAATTCGAAAAACCATCTCCTCCGAGACGCTTTGTTACATACGTCAGGATCATTCTCATTCTACAGAAGTTACTAAGCGCTTAAAAAATCACAGTTCGCTACAATTTAACATTATGAAGATGTGTCGACTTTAACCAGAATTTATAGCAAGAGATGGATTTCTCTCATCAAAGTTTTAGGTTTTGATACTAAAGAAATCGACCGTTTTAGCTGTAGCGCAATGGGTTTTGGGCCACTTCGGGTAAACTAAAGAGAGCCAGTCAAACTAAGACCACAGTAAAGAAAAAAAGGTTGGACAGTTTGGCAAGAATTTTGAATGACAATGACATTCTCGAAGAAGAACTTTGGGTGCGAAAGAGAGAATTCTGGAGAAACTCGGGAGAGCGCTGAAATTTGTTTGCGTTAAAGGCAACTTGGTGAAGGAAACTCGAAAGCTCGAGGACCGAAAATTGTAGAGAAGTATTTGAGGAACTCTTCTTAGAGAAGCTTCAGAGTGAAAAAGCCTTGACAGAAAATTTATAGAAACTTTTCAATCATCCTAATTCCATCTGTTCTACTCCTCTATTCTTCAGCAAAAGAAAGAAATCCACGAAGAGTTGGGGAAGGGGTAGGGAGGAGGAAGGAGGAAGATTGGTTTAGACTCTATGGATGGCGGTAAAACGGCACACGTGAACATAATAAAGTTCATACCTGTGGAGAATAGAGGGGAGAGGGATGCTATGGAAGGGGAAGGCTGTAGAGAGCAGGTGAGCATCTACTGGCACGTTTAGTAAAAAAAATTTTGGGCAGCAGAACTGTGGAGCTTTGACCAGGGTAGCAGGGTGGGGCTGTTTCAGCCCGAATTAGCTAAAGAGTGTTTGAGTTCATCCTAGGACGTCTGTACGCTAGAAACTGACTTATCACTTATGGGCGTATTTTACATAAGGCTGTGCGTGCTTGGAAGAAATAGGGCTACCGTTGGCTAAGAAAAGGTAGGCGAAATAAAATCCTGAAGTTCTAACTTCTAAACACATCCTACTTCACACACAAACAGCCATATTATATATCTAATCAATCTACCCCTTAGAACGCTTTGGCTGGAAATTCCATGTGCTTGATCGAGTTGGTTTTTCATTGTTCTTCCTTTTCGCAGCCAAAAAAATCCACACCTTACATAACGTCTTCCGCGGTGACGTCAATATGCAATTTTCTCAGACAGTCGCAAATGATTTCCGGGGCAAAATTGAACTTCTAAAACTTCCGAGGGAACGCTCCTACTGGGCCGCGTGGGTTGGCCGCCTGGCCCTACTTGGCAGCTCCAATAGGAGTTTCTCCCCTCCCCTCCCCCCCCCCCCCGGAGTTTGAGAACTTTAGTTTGCTCCGGAAGCCATTTGCGAATGTCTGAGTTGTTCACGTAACCTTTGATTCAACTGGCTTGGCTTGGGGAAGCGGAACTCTGTGATCAAATCAAGGCCGCTCGCGCCCGCGACGCATCTGCGTCTCTCTCGCGCGAGTGTTCTCCGATCATTACCTAGCCTTAATTAGGTCACGAAGCCCCGCCTTTCAGAAGCCAAG